CATATCACACAGCGCCTAACCATCTGTCCTGATAGACGCTCACCTCTGGATGCCCAGAAGATGTACCCATGGCTGGTCGGGGAAGCAGCCCAAAAGACACCAACGAGCAGCACAGCGACACTCCCGGAGATGCACTACCCGAACCCTCGCATCAGCGGACACTTGCACCCGGTCACACAGGCACGACAAATTGGGCATTGGATAAGCAAAAGCCCACTACTACCCGCCAAGCCTCGGGCCCGCCAAGCCGAAAGTCCCTGGAGCACAAGCCAACTCACGAACTCTAGATCAGCCAGGGTGATATAATACTCGTAGAAAACCATTTAACACCAGCGTGTTTACATCCTGATTATCTTAGTATAGCATATTGTTTAACTCTTTTTTTTTTTTTTTTTTTGACAATCTTTATTTTCAAATTTTATCATTTTTTCAAGGAAAGATGTAGTAACTGTATAACGTCAATTTTAACATCAGTGTTCTGAATAGCTTAACAACATTCGTCACCATTGTTTTAACATTCTCAAAACAGTTTTCTCAGACAATATTTCTATAGTTTCCATCACATGCTTTAGATAGGATTATTTAAGGTCAAGTTTCTAGACTCGCATCCCCACTAGCTTACAATGCGCAGTTTATTGCACCTATGGTGTGCGCTTTACGTGTAGGGTATGAATCGGTGTCTAGTCTGGGTGCTGTGGGGGGTATGTTTTCTGACATGCTACATTTCTCATTTCACGTTTCATACCAATAGTGTCAGGAGCCTTTTTGTCGCTTGACATGTATATATATATATTATTGGGCATGGTATAGGGTCACGCTAGCGAGAAAGGATATTTTTAGTGCCTTAACTCCTCCCCAGACTACTCAGCATTTATTAACATTCAAGGCCATCTTGTCGCCTGGTTGAGAGCAAAGTGTGATGGTTTTGGTTAAATTCCCCACTATTGTGGGTTGGCAGTTGCTAGTGCATATTTTTGTATGCCTATCGGTATAGTTTGTCATATGGGAAGATACTCTGGGTATCAGTCTAGGAGGCCAGGAGGGGATATTTTCATGCCGGTATCAGCTCTAGGTTGGGTCTCGGTTTCCTGTGTGTTTTACACCTGTGATTACAGTGGGTGTGCGTATTGATAAGCCCCTTTTACGAGCTAGTCAGAGTCGGTCGTTGGGGTTCTGTCTAATGTCCAGTCTCGGGAAGGGGTCAGGAGGTAGGGGACCTTGGAGGGAGGGGTAGCCGGGTGGCTTAGCTCTGTATGAGTCAGTCAACTGCGGGCCTCTGGGGGGCCGTGTTTGGGTTTGCTAATCTGTTGGCTAGGTATGTTTCCCAAGGGTACCAGGTCAGTGCACATTGCTCCTGTCTACCGTGTAGGTCTGCAGTTAAGGACTCCATTGAGTGGATTTCTTCCACCCTTGTCACCCATTGCTGGAGGGTAGGCGCCCCCCTCTGTTTCCACATCACTGGGATAAGGGCCTTTGCCGCGTTGAGTAGTGGCAGCAAGAGGGATTTCTTATATGTCTTAACGGGTGTGGGGGTGTGGTGTAATAGCATCGTTAGGGGTTCTAGGGTTAGCTCCGCACCTGTGATTTTGTTTATCTCTACCCTGATCCTCTCCCAGAATGTGGTGATCTCGGGGCACTGCCACCAGATGTGGAAGTATGTGCCGGTATGCAAGCCGCATCTCCAGCAGGTGTCCGGGGCACCTACGTTCATGCGATTGAGTGCGTCAGGGGTTCTGTACCAGCGTGTTAAAATTTTGTAGTTCAGCTCCTGGTACTTGGAGCTGATAGAGCATTTGTGTGTGAGAGTGTAAATCTTGTCCCAGTCTTGCTCAGTAAGGACTTCCCCTGAGTCTCTCTCCCAATGATCTTTAAATTTGAGCACCACATCTTCGTTAGTTTGGGTCTTGAGTATGGTATGTATAGTGGAGATACCTCTGTGTACGTGTGTTCGGTGTACGCACAGGTGTTCAAAGCTGGTGAGGGGTCTAGTCAGGTGTCCTCGACCATGTAAGGACATGAAGTACGTCTTAACTTGGTGGTATCTGAATTGTTCGAGTATCATCGGTGGTCTATCTGGGCAGAGGTTTCTGAGTGGTTTAAGTCCCTGAGTGTCGAGCCATTGGTGCAGGTACATCCAGTCTGCCTGCTGGAGGCCGGCTAGGTCTTGTGGGGTTAGAGCATCGGCCAGGTCTGGGTTATGTGTGATGGGTGTCAAGGGGCTAGGAGAACTTGTGAGTTGCAGTCGGTAGCGTATAGCTATCCACACTCGGAGCGTTGCGTCAATTAGTGGGTTCTCGGTGTGCAGGTCAGTGTATGTGGCTGTATGTAGCCAAAGCCTAGAGGGTATTTTTCTATCGGTTTGTTCTAGCTCAATGGTCACCCATTGTTTTGATGGGTGTTGTGCGTGCCAGTCCGTCAGTCTGTGCAGGTGAGCGGCGCGGTAATATGTCTCTATGGAGGGCAGTCCCGTGCCCCCCATCAGTTTTGGTAGTTCCAGGGTTGATTTTTTTATTCGGGTTGGGCGAGAGTTCCAGACGAACCTGCGAATGGCAGTCGTCATAGAGCTAAAAAAGGCTCTGGGGAGAGTAATTGGCACTGTTTGGAGTAGGTAGAGTATCCTGGGTAACACGTTCATTTTAATCGCATTGATACGTCCGAACCAGGAGATGTAATATGGGGTCCATTTCTTAAGGTCCGTCTGAAGTGAGAGTAGGAGGGGGAGATAGTTATGGCGGTATAATTGGGACGGGTCTTTGGTCAGCCATATGCCCAAATATTTTAATTTAGTTTCGCACCATTTAAACTTGTATTGGGTGTGAAGGTGTGTTGGGGGGCCTGTAGGGGGTGGGAGGTGGAGAGCCTCGGACTTATCCGTATTAAGTTTAAGATTAGAGAGTGCCCCAAACTCTCGGAAAGATGCTAGGAGGTTGGGCAGCGAGATCAACGGCTGTGTAAGAAAGAACAGCATATCGTCTGCATATGCGGCTACCCGGTATTCGTGGCGACCAAGGTCAAATCCAGAGATTCCCCCATTCCGTCTGACCGCCCCCAGGAATGGTTCCAGGGAGAGGGCAAACAGGAGGGGGGAGAGCGGGCATCCCTGGCGGGTGCCATTCCTGATAGGGAAAGGGGCTGAAAGTGCCCCGTTAATGCGGATCCTCGCAGTGGGGCACGTGTACAGTGAGAGCACCCAGGCCAGCATGTTGGGGCCGAATCCCATGTGTGTAAGGGTACTCCTCAGATACGCCCAGCTCACCCTGTCAAAAGCCTTTTCGGCATCGGTGGAAAGTAGTAGTAGTTCTCTACGGCGCGCTCGTGTTATGTGTAGGATGTTCAAGGCCTTAATCGTGTTGTCTCTCCCTTCCCTACCCGGGATAAACCCCACTTGATCCGAATGTACCAAGTGGGGGAGGTGTTTTGCGACTCTCAGGGCAATGGCTTTTGCGAATAGTTTCAGGTCCGCGTTTAGTAGCGATATGGGGCGGTAGCTCGCGCAATTCGTCGGGTCCTTGCCCTCTTTTGGTATTACAGTAACTATGGCTGCTAACGTGTCTGGGGGAAAGCGCCCCCCCTCCAGTATGGAGTTGAGGCCCAGTAAGAGATTTGGTAATAGGATGTCCCTGAACGTACGTAAGTACATCAGGGGCAGTCCGTCAGGTCCAGGGGCCTTATGGGTTTTGGAGATTTTTAGGGCTGCCGCCAGCTCCTCCATGGTGAGGGGTTGGTCTAGGTCGTCCCGCATTTCCGCGGTCAGCTTGTTATCTATATTTTGTTCCAGGAATTCAGTAATTTGGCGGGTCTGTCGTGCGCGGGCAGCGTCAGTGTTAGGTTGGGGGATATTGTATAGGTCCGTGTAGTAGTCTACGAACGCACGCTGAATTCCATCCGGCATTCGGGTTTCAGCTTTGTCACTGGGCTTAATTTTGTGTATGTGGCTCGCCATCCGACGGTCACGGAGCTGTCGGGCTAGCAGTCTGCCACTTTTGTCCGAGTGCTCGAAAAAGAACCGGGCCGATTTTCTAAGGGTGCGTAGGAGACCCTGAGCTAATATGTCCCTTCTCTGTCTCCGGAGCGCTGTTAGATGGAGGAACGTGTCTTCGTCCTGACTTTGTTTATGAGCTTGCTCTAGGTTGGCTATTTGAGTGTTTAATGTTATCAGCTTTCGTGTATGTTCTTTCTTCCGTTGTGTACAGACCTTAATATAGTGTCCCCGTACTACACACTTATGTGCTTCCCATACCGTCAAGGGCGAGACATCGGGGGTTGTGTTAGTGTCGAAGTATTGTGTTAGAGTTTGCCTAACCGGGTCAGTGTCACCCAGGTTAAGCAGCATATTCTCATTTAGCTTCCAGTGCCTTTCCGCTGGTTTGTGTAGTGGGGATTGGATCTGGGCTGAGACCGGGGCATGATCGGACTCCGCAATCAGGCCTATGCTAGCCTTGCGGAGTAGTGTCAGGGCTTCCTGTGCCATAAAGATATAGTCAATCCGACTGTATCTCTGGTGTACAGCTGAGAAATAGGAATAGTCCCTGCCATCAGGATGCGCCGCCCTCCAGCAATCCACTAGTCCACTCCTTGTCAGAGCTCTCCCGACTGCGCGTATGCAATGACCTGGTATTGAGCTTTCTCCCCTTGAGGTGTCTAATCTGGCATCTAACGGAGTGTTAAGATCTCCTGCCATAATTAGTAAGCCCTCTCTGAACTTGTTGAGCAAAGTGAGTGTTTTATTTAGGAAGACATGTTGGTTACGGTTCGGTGTATAGAGGCATGCGAATGTGTAGGGCTGTTGTGCTATGGTTCCTTTAATGAATAAGTATCTACCGCCTGGATCTATTCGTTGCTCTGTGCATACGAACGGGACCGTATATGAAAAGAGGATCGCCACCCCCGCTTTTTTTTGGTCGGTATGGTTGGAGTAATAACCTGTGGGGAACCTTCTGTTTTTCAGGGTGGGTGCCTCCACTCCTTTAAGATGCGTTTCCTGCAAAAACGCCACCGAGATGCGTTCCGCCCAAAGAGTACTGAGTAGCTGAGACCGCTTCTCGGGTACGTTTAGACCTCTAACGTTGTTCGACCACAGGTTAAGCGGTGCCGGCACATAGTTAGTGCCCATCTCTAGCTGTGCGTGGGAAGGGGTATGGGTGAGTCAGAGTATCGCGGGGTAAGGTTCGGGGGGGGGAAGTAGGGTAGTCCAGTCAAAGTCAGGGCAGGTTAGTGGGTCGGGATCTAGGTGACTACGACTCGCCTCGGGGTCAGTCGCTTCCCAGTGTCTATTCCCTTCGGGGTATGTCACCAGAGTAGCCCCCGAGGGTTTGTACAGTGTGAGTCTGTCACGTGAGGTACGTGGGTCGTCCGTTCTTGGGTGAACCGTCGTCTGGATCGCACTGCTCTCACGGCACCCAGCCCACTGTATTTGTTTAATTGGAATTTTCCCTGTGGGTATGGTGAAGTAGTACGAGGGTACCCCCTCCCATTATCCCTTTTCCTCTCTGTTCTTGAGGGTCTGAGTATTGCGTGTCTAGTCGGTAATCGGGCCCTGTAATTACCTAACGGGTCCGGCCTCCCAGGGTGTACCCGCCCCGGCCTAGCCCCTTTGGCTTCGTGGGTTCAGGCGTGTTACCCGCCCCCTTGTGTAGGTGTGTGCCCCCCTAGGAGTGGTATAATGCATGTGAACTTAATCAATAACAATAACAATAACAAGTACAACTGTAAAGACCAGACCACCGCCTCTGGCGTTCCCCGCTCCCCCCTCCCAAGGAACCATACCCCCCTCCTCTGCTCCCTATTCCAGCTGGGGGAAGTGGAGTCCTCTCCTGCCTGTTGGCTTGCTAGTCCCTTCTGGGGATGGGCGGAGCTTGGGTCTCGGGGCCCTCTGGGTCATCATGGGACTGTCCAGATTTTATCCTGTGGTGCCATTCAAGTAGTTGGAGTCCGCCAATGCCTCCCCTCTACCCCAACCACCCAAAAAGGGGGGGATTCTATGGGCCAGAGCCCGAGTCTGTACAAATTTGGGGGGGGATCCCCTCCGTGTCATCATCGTCTCCGGGTGGTACCCGATCCCCATAAATCCCACCACCCCAAGAAATATGTGGCCCTCCATAGTCTCAAGTCCCTGCCACACTGACTTGTGCGTAACTGCTACGGGCCCAGGGTAGGGGTGTAAGTACATACCCAGCGTTGTGTCAGCTTCTGCTTACGGAGGTTGTTTCTTCGCATCAACCTTGGGGGAGCGGTCCGGTGGTCCGTTTCACTGCGGCGTGGTTTCTGGGGTTGAATGGGGGTGTGAAAACTGGGGTATTCCTCCGTCGGTGGGTGCGCCGGTCGCTGCCCCCTAGGGCTCTTGAATCTGCTATTCTTCATGGCTATCCGGGCCACCTCTGCGGAGCCCGGTTCCTGTAAGGCCCGTACCCGGCCTGATATTTGGAGCGTTTGGGCGTTGCGGCTGTCTCTCCAGGACCCAATTTGGGACTGCCACCGCTGGGAGGTTCGCGGCTCGGAGGAAGCGTGGCACGTCAGCTGGCCAGCGTATGATATGCCATATGTTGCTCACCTTTGCCTGTAAGCTAAAGGGGAATCCCCATTTGTATTGTATCCGCCGTTCTCTAAGGAGGGTGGTTAGCGGTCTCAGTGCCCTTCTCGCTTCCAGGGTGAGTACTGAGAGATCCTGATATAGGGAAATCTGGGCGTCCATGTAGGTGAGGTTCTGTTGGTTTCTCGCTTCCCTCATGATCTCGTCCTTTAACGAGTAGGAGAGCAGGTAGCAGATTACGTCTCTAGGCGGTCCCTCCGCGGACACGGGGCGCAGGGCTCTGTGTGCACGTTCTATTCCAAAGTCTGCAGGGGCCCTGTCCCCTAGTATGTGTGTGAACAGACCCAGCAGGAGCTCTGGTAGTGCTTCCCCTGCTGTTTCAGGGAGTCCCCTGACGCGGATGTTGTTCCTCCGTCCGCGGTTGTCCAAATCTTCCAGATTCCTTCTTAACTCCAGCAGGACATTGCCTTGTCTAGTAGTGGCTGTGTCTGTGGCTTGGCGGTGTTGTATTATTTGGGCACGTTCTGCCTCTAGTTCCTCTACCCTGCGTTCCAGTGCTGTCAGGTCTCTCCTCACCTCCATGACCTCCTCTCTGATTACTGCCCTAATTTCAGCCAGCAGGTCAGTCTTATCTGCCTTGGACATCATGTTTGCAGATATTGTGGCCAGGTCTGCTGCAATTTGGGTCAGTGACTCCTCTCTGGCTGGGCCTGTTGCTGGGCTGTCTGAGCTGCTGGCGTCTGGTGAGGGAGGCGCCATTTTGGCCGCGGCCTGGTGCGCCCGCATGTCTCGCGGCGTTCCGAGGTACCCGTCCATGGGACCCGCTGTGCGGCTCGGTGAGCCCGTTTGTGAGGGGCCAGGGGTGAGTAGCCTCTTTGTCTTACCCATCTCGGGTCTATTCGTGCTCGTTTATCGGTGCGGTAGTGAGCTGGGGCCTAGGAGCTGCAGGGAGATGCGTCTCACTCCATTCCCGGTCAGGCCACGCCCTGTTTAACTCTTTTAATACACTACGTAGGCATGCATCCAAACACCTGGCTTGCATCACATAGTTTAATGATACCTCTGATAGCTTAATAATCTGTTTCTCTACCTACTGTGCTTTTAATGCCTATTTGTCACACTACTACCATCTCGTTTATTAACTTTCGGTAAACACACTTACATCTGAACGAAATGTCTAGCAGTCTTACCTGTTTCATATATGCCGCAACGTTTCAACTGAATGTTAGCTCTTACCAAATGTTAAAATGTGCCGACTAGCAAATGCCATAACATGTACTACGTGATGAAGAAATCTATACCTTGAAAACGCTATACCTTGAAAACGCTGTTTGTTAATCTCTGTGCACAAGAAAAAAAATAAGAAAATACATAAAAAGGGCGAGCAGTAAACTTTCCAGCAGTAAATATGTGTAAAAAATTAAGCGCATGGCAATAAACGTAAAAGTGCAAAAAACATGCTTGGCAATACTTTTGCAGCAAAATAGTTTTTTTTTAACCAGATACAAAAGGTAAAAAATATCTTATCTATAATAATGCGGATCAGTAAAATAAACAAATTAAAATGTTGGTATATAAATAAAACTCACAAGAAAGGAATTGATAAGTGCTACTCCATACTCATCAGGCATATTCCTAGGAACAAGTTGGGTCCCAAAGAGCTTCATGGGGTGGAGATCAGCCAGTCACCAGAATACTTCTTATTGAACTTTATTCCAACCATAATTAAAATAGGAGTAGGATTGAATTCCTGTAAACAAAAAAGTAAGAAAGTCCAAGCACATCAATGTGCAGCTGTAAACGCATAGTGTATCTGAGACACTGGGTTCAGTCTAAGTGAGAAGGCGAAGGAATACAGAGAGGGAAAGGACATTCCAGCTTATAAGCACATTGGAACGGCTGCGGATTGCTTGGACTTTCTTACTTTTTTTTGTTCACATTATTTGATTTTATTCACATATAAACATTTCAGTTTTGAAAATATATAAGTGTAAAAACTAATACAAGTAAATTATAAGTTAAAACACATATAAAACAAAAGTGGGGTGCTAAAAAAAAATAGGAAAATTTTGCTTGTACAAGTGAAGAGGGTAATATATCTCTCTTGTGTTTTTAGCACTTCATTTTTGTTTTATATGTGTTTTAACTTGTAATTTTTTTAATGTGTTCTTGCACTTAATTATTTCCATGATTAATAGTTAAGGGTTGTGAGGTCACCCTTCATGGGTGTTTTAGAGCTGCTTTTTTATTGTTAGTTCTACGCTGAAGCGTTTTTGCACTTGTGTCAGGGCCGGCGCGTCCATAAGGCGGCACAGGCGGCCGCCTTAGGGCGCACCGGCCCGGGGGCGCAAATGTCCGGGTGGCCGGCAGGAGAGAAGCGCACAGCTCCCCTCTCCTGCCGGTCACTTCTTGTAGCGTGGCCGAGCGCCAACCTGCATTGCCGCGGACTGTGTGGAGGGGGCGGGGATATGAACATCATATCCCTGCTCCCACTGAAGCACACAGCGCGGCTGGTGCCCAGCAGGGGCGGAGCTACGGGCCCCCTTCTATTCAGCATGGGAGGAAGTCCTCCCAAGAAGACTAGAGCAGCAGAAGGCAGAGAGGAGGGGGGCTGGGCAGGACCAGCTCCTCCAACTCCCAACTACCTTAGGCAGCACTTTGGATCCCAGGTAAGCCCCCCTTCTGAACCTGTTGGTCAGTGTGTCTGTGTGTATCTATGTCTGTCAGTGTGTGTGTGTGTGTATGTCTGTCAGTGTGTGTGTGTGTGTGTATGTCTGTCAGTGTGTGTGTGTGTGTGTATCTATGTCTGTCAGTGTGTGTGTGTGTGTATCTATGTCTGTCAGTGTGTGTGTGTGTATGTCTGTCAGTGTGTCTGTGTGTATCTATGTCTGTCAGTGTGTTTGTGTATATGTCTGTCAGTGTGTGTGTGTATCTATGTCTGTCAGTGTGTGTGTGTGTATGTCTGTCAGTGTGTCTGTGTGTATCTATGTCTGTCAGTGTGTGTGTGTATCTGTGTCTGTCAGTGTGTGTGTGTATCTGTGTCTGTCAGTGTGTGTGTGTGTATGTCTGTCAGCGTGTCTGTGTGTATGTCTGTCAGTGTGTGTGTGTGTGTATCTATGTCTGTCAGTGTGTGTGTGTGTATATGTCTGTCAGTGTGTGTGTGTATCTATGTCTGTCAGTGTGTGTGTGTGTATGTCTGTCAGTGTGTGTGTGTATCTATCTCTGTCAGTGTGTGTGTGTGTATGTCTGTCAGTGTGTGTGTGTGTGTATCTATGTCTGTCAGTGTGTGTGTGTGCATCCATGTCTGTCAGTGTGTGTATGTATATGTCTCTGTCCATGTGTCTGTGTGTATCTAAATGTCTGTTAGTGTGTGTGTCTGTCTGTTAGTGTGTCTGTGTGTCTTCTTCCCTATCATTGTGTATGTGTGTCTGTATGTCACTGTGTGTTTATCTGTATGTCTGTCAGTGTTTGTGTGTACCTGTGTGTCTATCTGAATGTGTATCAGTTTGTGTATATGTATATCTGCATGTGTCAGTGTGTGTATCTTTGTGTATGTGTATCACAGTGTGTGCGTGTGTGGCAGTGTATGTGTATATGTGCATATATCTCAGCATTCAAACACAACACTACACACAAATAAACACCTACATGCAAACGTCAACACTACAAACACACCCCTGCATTCAAATGTCAACACTACATACAAACACACCTCTGTATCAGACACCAAAATTATATATAAACACACACCTGCATTCAAAAACCAACACTACACATAAATGCATGCTTGCATTCAAATGCAAACACTACATACAAACACACCGCTACAATCATACAAACATACTCCATACAAACACATGCTTACAGTCAAACACACAAATACTGCTCCATGCTAAATACAATCCTGCAAGAATGGGGAATCGGTAGAGCCCCAGCTTTCAAAGCATTGTTGAAGTTGCACGACAGATGGGGATCTATCTTTTAGCCATCCTGTGTACATACACAGACCGTCATACAGAGACATACAGTATGTATGTCTCTGTATGACTGTGTAAATGTATTCAAAAGGAATAAACGCAGGCAACACTCCAATAGTAAGGATGGTATATTTATTGATAGGTGAACCACCCCAAAGTCGTTTCGGCTCAGCAGAGCCTTATTGCATGAGCTGAAACATCACACTTTCTATGGGGTGGTTCACCTACCAATAAATATACCATCCTTACTATTGGAGTGTTGCCTGTGTTTATTCCTTTTGAAGACTTTACTGGTGGATCCAGCAATGTCTGCCTGACATGGAGCATCCACCTCTGTTGATGGCCGGAGCATTTACACGGTGTCAGTGTGCAGGGTTCTTTGTTTGTCTGTGTATGTATGTCTCTGTATGCCTATCTCTGTTTCTTTATGTCTGTGTATGTATTTCTGTGAATGCCTGTGTCTGTATGAATGTATGTCTGTGTTTGTTTGTGTGCCTTTTATGACTGTGTGTCTGTATATCTTTGTGACTGTGTGCCTGAAAAATTATTTCTGTGTGCTTGTATGGTTGTGTGTCTGTATGTTTGTGTATTTGTGCATGTATGTATTTTAGCCTGTATCTATGTCTATGTGGGAGAAAAAGAGAGATAGATAGGGGCTGGCGGGGAAGTAAGAAATACATAAGAGGGGTTGTAGGAGACACACTAAAGGGGGGTGTAAGGCACAAAGGGGCCAACGGGGTAAGACATTCAAGAGAGTGGATATGCAACACTAATGGGGGTAAGAAATTCAAAAGGGGGCTACGAGACACAGAGGTGAAGATGCATTGTTTATTTATTTTTTTTGGGGGGGGGCGTCAAAATGCATCTTCGCCTGTGTAGTCAAAAATCCTAGCACCGGCCCTGAGTATCTTTAGGGTTAAATCAGTAGTGAGGAAAAAATACCCTCCCCCTACTCTGACAAATCACACACAATATTTACATATATATATCAGATACTTACCTGTCTTCAGTTCCCCTCTGATGAGCAACTCAGGACGCCTAGTCAGCTATACCTTAGTGTTCAACAAACACAGCTGTGATTCTGCCAGAAATCACTCCTTCTGTAGAGGCATCCACTCTTAATATTTAGTCCTGTTTTCTACTTTATATTTTCTACCATTCCAGCTTGCTCTGGGGGTACCTAGTGGTAGTGCAGGCTTTTTATAAGGGTTGCCCACGAAGGCACTTTAGATCGCTATTGATAAGCCAGCGCTAGGATGTGCTACATATTCTACATAGAAATGGACCGTTACACACTGATCCTAGCGGTCAACTATCATCAGAAACCTCCTGCATCACAGGCACCTTATAGGGCAATTATTGCCTTATTTCTTCAAGCCTTATTTGTGTGCTACTTAGTAATTTGATACTTACGATTTTTTTGCAAGGAGGCATTTCTTACACATCACTTGACTCTATTATGCAGGAGAGTCTAGTTTGTGCTTCCTTTCATCCTCCCCATCCCCTTGAGGACCGATGACGGTCCTGAACCGTCATAACGGTATTGGGGTACTTACCTGATCGCCGTTGTTCTCCTGGCGACAATCAGCCTTTCTTCTGGTCCAGGGGGACTGCCTGTCTGCCCTGTTAGTCTCCCCACGGTAGATCAGGACCCCACGGCCAAGTGACCGCTGATCACATGGTCGCAATAGGTGCCTGTGTATCTGCCTGCAGGGGGACTGTCTATGCTGACAAGCAGTCTCCCTGCATGTGAAAAATCCTAAAATAAAGTTAAGAAAATAGCAATGTGTTAAAAAAAATAATATATGTATATATATATTTATATATATATATATGAGATATATATACACATGTATTATATGAAAACACAACAACCTAATACCCGTTCCATGTAATTCTCACTATAATTCCTCTTTTAAAGCTGCCCTCTGGAATGCACGCTCTGTGTGCAGCACCTTTAAATCTACTTCCATCCATGACCTATTTATCTCACACTCCCTAAACCTACTTGCACTAACAGAAACATGGCTCTCTCCCTCTGATACTGCTACACATGCCTAACTGTCTGTTACGATTGCCCCCGGTCCAGCAGGGGGGTTGATCGCTTGGATGTCCTGGTTCCCGTGGCCAGAGAGTCAAACGTAGTTCCCTTCGGTGGAATCTGCAAGTGTAGAATATCCCACAAGTTGTAAGAGCGTTAATATTCCCGGATCCCTACACCACGAGTCGAGGCTGCGAGTTTAGGGTCAAAACAAACTAACTTTGGCACACAAACATGGCAATTTATGCAATTCCTCAGGTCCAAGGACAGCCCCCTATGGACCTGATGGAATACAGGTACAGTACACAAATGTAACCAATCACAATACAATGTATCATTTGAATTAGTGCCCGCCCAGCTTGGAGATAATGAGGCCAACGGTTATACAATCTAATTATCTGCAAGCGCACAAAAGACCACGTTTTATTATGTCCCATAAAATAGTATAAAACTGCATAACTGTAACATTTTGGGGAGAAAATGGTTCATTTTACCATTCATTCGATAGCTCGGGTTTGGGCACATTAAGTATACAAATTGCTCCCCGACCCCGCGAACGGAATGGGCAGTTTCTGCCGTATAAAGTCTGGTTCGGCATTTTGGTCGTTAGCCCCTGATGGCGGCCATGTTTTTAGGTGGTTCCATAGGCAGCGGGACCTCGACTCCACACTTATGGAACGGAAATCGGATACATAGTCATACGAATCCCCGCTATCAGTCTGGTTGTTCAGACCGTTCGGCATACGAACTGAGACCGCCCGGTAGGGGGGTACTTGATCTGCAGAAACCACATTCTAATTGCTGCCACACGTCCAACCTGTAGGGGGTCTCCGTTCATGAGTCTCTCGGCAGTTTCCATTCGGTAGATTGTATATGAATGTGGATCCTCTGGGCCCGTCAATTAGTTTGTGGTTAACCGCAGCGTCTTAGGTGGTTAATGAGCGACACACTCCGCTCGTCGGGTGGTCGGTCATCCGGTACTTCAAGAGGTGATGAGGTTAAGTGGCGGCACACGCCGGCGTCTGGGGGGGTCTCTCGTTCGTACCACGAATTGTCCTTTATAATGGTTCGTGTAATCCATTCGTATAATCTCAGTACCGATAGCATAGGGGTCTGTATGCAAGGGGTTGGGGTGCAACAGTAGAGAGACGTGGTAACAATAATAAAGTCATATCGAGACTTTGTAACACTGTCCTTTGGTGGTATTCACTTTACCCACAATCCAAGACAAGCGGAGATTAAAGGTGGCGGTGTAGGTTTTGCTCCTATAAAACCCTGCCAACCCCCCTTCCCTCTCTTTCCCATCATTTGAAATTCATTCAATTCGCCTTTTCAAACCCTTCTCTGCTAACATTGCCGTAATCTATCGTCCCCCTGGTTCCCCTCTTCTCTTCCTTGACCACTTTTCTGCCTGGCTACCCTACTTCCTCTCTTCCAACATCCCATCCCTAATTCTTGGAGACTTCAATATTCCCATTAACCCACCTTTAACCCCAGCAGCCTCTAAACTACCTTCCATTTCTTCCTCCCTTGGACTTTTGCAGTGGGCTAATTCTCCCACTTATGTAGCTGGCAATACCCTCGACCTTATTTTCTCTTATTCATGTACAGTATCTAATATCTGCAACACTCCATTTCCTCTCTCTGATCACCACCTCTTATCGTTTGCTCTCAATTACCCCATCACCCAACAATCTCAGCCTAACCCCCTCTCAGCTCAGGAGGAACCTTAACTCTATTGACCTCCAGCAGCTCTCAGCTGACATTGATCCACAACTGCTATCCATCCCTTCCCTCTCCTGTCCCTCACTGGCCATCTCCACATATAACACTAACCTCACATCTGCCTTGAACGCTGCAGCCCCACTCCAAACATGCACCTCGAGGAGGACACAACCCCAACCTTGGCATAATAAATCAACACGCAGAGTTGCCCCCGTTGTTCTGAACGCTCCTGGAGGAAGTCCCGCACCCAGGCAGACTTTCTCCATTAGAGATTCATGTTGCTTTCATACAGCGCAGCCCTCGCCAAACAGTCATACTTTTCCTCTCTCATTAGTTCATGCTCCCGCAATCCCAGACGTCTCTTTGACACCTTTAATTCCCTTGTCCGTCCTGCTGTGGCCACCCCCCAAACTAACCTTACAGCTGATAGCTTTGCATGCTACTTTACCGATAAGATTGAACAGCTAAGGAAACAATTCTCCCCTCCTTGCCGTTCTCTTTCTCAACCACATGTAAATCATGCTTTCCCTACCCTCCAGACTTTCTACCCTGCTACTGAACAAGAGGTGGCTGTGCTTCTCCATTCCTCTCGCCCCACCACTTGCCCACTCGATCCTGTCCCATCTCACCTCATCAGATCTGTCTCCCCTTATCTTGTGCCTACCCTAACACACATCTTTAACTGCTCTCTCTCTTCTGGCACTGTTCCTGCTGACCTTAAACATGCCACTGTAATACCTATCCTGAAAAAAACATCTCTTGACCCATCCTCCCCTTCTAACTATCGTCCCATATCCCTGCTCCCCTTCTCATCAAAGCCTTTGGAAAGACTTGTCTTTACCCGTGTGTCCCGCTTCCTTAATTCCAACTCTCTCCTTGACCGTCTTCAGTCTGGCTTCTGCCCTCTCCACTCTACTGAGACTGCTCTTAATCTAATCTCCACTAAATCCAAAGGTCACTACTCCATATTAATTCTTCTTGACCTCTCTGCTGCCTTTGACACCGTTGATCATGCTCTCCTCCTTCAAACTCTTCAATCGCTCGGTCTCTGTGACTTTGTCTTCTCTTGGTTTTCCTCCTATCTCTCCCAACGTTCATTCAGTGTTTCCTTTTCCAAGGATACCTCCTCCCCTCGTCCTGTCTCGGTTGGAGTTCCCCAAGGGTCTGTCCTTGGTCCCCTTCTATTTTCTCTTTATACTGCCTCTCTTGGTAAACTTGTTGCCTCTTTTAGATTCCACTACCACATGTATGCTGATGACACTCAGATATACCTCTCCTCCCCGGACCTCTCCCCTGCCGTCCTGCAACGTGTCACTGCTTGCCTTTCTTCCATCTCTGACTGGATGTCCTCACGCTTTCTGAAACTTAACCTCTCTAAAACTGAACTCCTTGTCTTTCCTCCTCCTAATACTGATCCTCCTCTCTCGCTCTCCCTTCAAGTCAGTGATATCCACATAAGTCCATCCCTGCAAGCACGCTGTCTTGGCGTCATACTTGACTCTGGTCTCACCTTTGAGTCTCACATCCAGTTTGTTGCCAAGTCCTGTAGGTTCCAACTCAAAAACATAGCCCGCATCCGCCCCTTTCTTACGCAAGATGCTACCAAGGAGCTTGTCCATGCTCTAGTAATTTCCCGCATGGATTACTGTAACCCTCTCCTGATTGGTCTCCCCAAAAGCCGTATTGCCCCGCTACAGTCTGTCATGAATGCTGCAGCTAGACTGATGTTCCTCTCTAGTCAGTCCTCTCACACCTCACCCTCTGCCAGTCCTTACATTGGCTTCCTGTATGCTATAGGAGTCAATTCAAAGTGCTAACCCACACATTTAAAGCACTGAACAATTCTAGCCCCACTTATATCTCTTCACTAATCCATAGATATGCCCCTCCTCGTACCCTCCGCTCTGCCCGTGACCACCTCCTGACCGCTGCTCACACCCGTACGGCCAACTCGCGCTTGCAGGACCTCTCGCGGGCGGCTCCTCTCCTATGGAATAGCTTGCCTACTGCCATCAGACTCTCCCCTAGTCTTCAATCATTTAAGAAGGGCCTTAAAACCCATCTCTTCAGGAAAGCTTATGGCCTCCCAGAGTAATCTCTACCTTACATACCTGTCTCCTGCTCTCTCCTATGGGACAGTGCTTTGCTCTCTCCTCCAGCTCTGCTTCACTCCTACTTGATATTTCCTGTCCTAATGTTTCTAATACCCCACCTCCTATAGTCTGTAAGCTCGTTTGAGCAGGGTCCTCTTCAACCTATTGTTCCTTTAAGTTTTCTTGTAATAGTCCTATTTATTGTTACATCCCCCCTCTCAAAATATTGTAGAGCGCTATGGAATCTGTTGGCGCTATATAAATGGCAATAATAATAATAATATACTGTGGCAGGGTCAGAGAGGCCTTTTATGTTAGTAATAGATTGGAGCGCTCTCTATTCCCAGCATGATGGGGTTAATTGGTGGGAGTCACCCCTTGAATGTTATCAACCAGGTGAATGTAATTAACCAGCACTAGGGTTTTAACCCCTTAAGGACCGGCCTGTTTTTGCGATGTTGTACGTCAAGGACCAGAGCAGTTTTGACACTTACAAGTTATATATTGTTTTTTTTCAGGACAAGAAGGGCTTTCTTTACATACCATTATTTGTATCATGTCATATATTTTATTTAAAAAAAATAATAAAATATTGCGAACAATTGAAAAAAAAACCATGTTTTTGGACTTTTACTTGAAAAATCTTTTACTTATCTACAAAAGCTAATGAAAAAAACTGCTAAATAGATTAAAATTTTTGTCCCGAGTTCAAAAACACGTTTACGTGCTTTATTGCTTTTTTTTTTTTGCAAGTTATAGACCTAGAAATACAAGTAGGAAATTGCTGTTTCAATATATATATATTTTAAATTTATCAATAGTGACATTGTAACACCGTTATCTGTTATAAATCCCCGAATCACACCTCATATGTACATATTTTTTTAAAGTAGACAACCCAGGGTATTCAATATGGGGTATGTCCAGTCTTTTTTAGCAGCCACCTGGCCACTGGCCAAAGGTAGCCTTTATATTTGTTTGTGTGTTAAAAATGCAAAAAACGCTAACTTTGGCCAGTGTTTGTGACTAAGTGGTTACTAAAAAAGGCTGAAGATACCCCATTTGCAATACCTTAGGTTGTCTTCTTTTGCAAATGGTACGCCATCATGTGGGTAATTCTCATTCCCGGGCTACCATGTTAAAACGATGCACACGGCCATCCACCTGAACCGCCCAAAAAACCATTGTGATCCAGACCAGACAACTTTCTTTCATTGCTCCATGGCCCAGTTCCAATACTCACTTCCCTTCTGAAAGCTCTTTCGGTGGTGGACAAGGGTAACTCTGTCTGGTATGCGGCTAGGCAACCCCAGGCACAGCAAACTTCGATGCACAGTGTGTTTTTCCACCTTTCTGTCATGGCCAGCATAAAGCCATTCTTTGTAATTTGAGCAACAGTAAATCTTCTGTGGGATCACACCAGACAGGCTAGCCTTTCCTCCCCTTGTGTATCAATGAGCCATGGATGCCCATGACCCTGGTTCACGGATTGTCCTTCCTTGCACCACTTTTGGTAGGTACTAACCACTGCATACTGGGAACACCCCACAAGGCTTGCCTTAAGGAAATGGCCTGATCTAGTCAACTAGCTATCACATTGGCCATTGTCAAAGTCACTAAGAACTCCCTGATCACTTGCTCTCTAATATATCCCAATCATTGACAGTTACCACTATAACAATATAACCAATTCACTTCAATTGTTAGCGGTTTTAAGGTTGTGGTTGATTAGTATATGTAATATATAAAACTAATCATTACATAACACATTTTTCATGATAAAAAGATATTTGGCCATGCTTTTTCAGTTATTACTTTTTTAATGTTAACAACAAATAATGAAGGCGTTTATTTTTCTTATTCACAGGATATAGTGTTTATTTTTCCATAAATGAAAAGTCTGGTCCTCCTTTGCTGTAATTTCCTGAAAGTTCTGCTCTGCTGAAATCAAAGCCAGGATTCTGGAAAAATAAATTAGGCAAAAAGATGATACAGCATGAAAACCTCAAAAATCAACTGACAGTTCATTATTTGAATTAAAAATGATACAAACTTATCTCGTGAGTTTCAAAATCTTTTAATAACAGCAGTATTGGTATTGTCCTCTTTACACCATCAGCTGCTCAGTTGTGCCCCCTTAAAGTGTACCTATCATGCATAAAGGAACACTATAGTCATCCAGAATACTTAATCACAATGAAATGGTATGGGTACCGTGTTCCTGTACTCAATGTAAAACATTGAAGGTTTAAGTACACATCCATCGGTTGCAAGTATGATAGCCAATAGAGGTGCTTCTACTGCACTGACCGAGTAAAACTCCATCACGTGAGGCAGAAACACCATAGGAAATCAATGATTCACTGCTTGCTTCTTGGGACGTTTTAATGTGTGCATAGCACTCGCCGTACATGTGAATTAGGTCCCAGTTGCCCCTCTATAAGGAGAACTGGAATTCACCACACTGGAGGAGGTCATGCCTCTGTGACATTGCAGGAGACAGAGAAGTGCCATTTTGCTAATTAGGTGAGTTATGCGGCTACCTAAGGCCTCACGACGGCCTAACTTGTCTTAGTGCCATTTTGAAAATTAGGTGAGTTATGCGGCTACCTAAGGCCTTGCGACGGCCTAACTTGTCTTAGGGCAGACTGTTACTGATCTGTTGGGTCCTCAGTCTGTGACCAACACTGGAAGGGCTTACACTGGGACCCCACCGCTCAGTCTGCCCGGGGAAGAGAGCCAAGCGCCTCCAGTCTTCAGGTCCACTGGGTGTAGAGTTGCAGACTGTGTAGTAAGTGTCTCGCGATACCAGCCAATCAGAGAGTTGCCGCGGGTTACCATGGCAACGCTCTGACGCTCACAACACAATTTACATATGTTTGTAAAATTTAGGTTGAAATCACTTAGACTTGCAATGAAACATACCTTACACAATTTAATTAGAAGTAAGGATTCCTTACATTTGTTTAAAAGGACCCTCCATTTGATTAAATGGTTAATCCAACCATCATAAGCACTACAGCCCACTGAGGTGTTAATGACAGGATGAATTCCCCTGGCTTTACAATGGTTTGTCCTCTTACCTGCTTCTGCCGTGTGACAAGTCTCCTATGTAGGCATGAATAGGATGTCGAACCTGACTCTAATTCATTGGCTGGCAGCATCAGCTGACCATTCTCAGCCAATGAATGAGTGTCACTTGCCAATAACTGACTTTTACCAGCTTGAAACTTTTGTTCTGAGCTGGCTGATGACACCCCATGACGTTGTTGGAGGTGAAGTTACACCTCCAGCAGCAAAGGGGCTAAACTCAGTATGTGCACCATTTCACAGTGAAATGCTGCACATACTGACTTCGGGCACCATAATTTCTTAAAATCACATAAATGGTCATGTGCGCCATGCATGCCCATGGCCTTATGGGGTGGGCATACCTGGCGTACAAACCTGGTTACATATTTTAGGTACATTGACAACTTATTTTTTATTTGGGAAGGCACAGAAGACCTTTTTAGCTCTTTTATTCACCATCTTAATCGAAACAATTGCGGTATAATTTTATCTTGTGAAACAAGTAAAGAATCTATTAACTTTTTAAACCTCAATATTTTTATTAAAGAGAATAGAATTTTTTTATTTTTTTTTAAAGTATGTGTTAATACAGCCATTGAGCGCTCTAGCTGTCATTACAAGCCCTGGTTAGAAAGTGCCCCAAAGAGCCAATTCCTACGTCTCTGTAGGAACTGCTCCCAATTAGACGACTAACACACAAGCTAACTTTTTAAGAGATACATTTATCGAAAAAAACTACTATCCCACCCATCTTAACACCACTATAGATACTATTAAGAAAAAAGAAAGAGCAGACCTCCTAACGTATAAAAACCAACCAACCACTAATGCCATGCCCCTTCCAGTCATCTTCAATTTTAATAATACAAGTGATCACATAAAGAAAGTAATTAAAAAACACTGGCATTTATTGAAAGAAGATGAAATACTTAAAAACATTATACCAGATAAACCAAATATCGTTTTTAGAGGCGCTCCTAATTTTAAGTCTATTTTAACCACCAATTTTACTAAAGAGATCAAACCTAATACTACTACTGTTATTTCCAATGCCAGTGGATTTTATAAGTGTAAACGATGTATTGTTTGTAAAACACTGACCCCTCGGTCCCCTCTAAAACCACTTCTTTCAAATCGAATATAACTAATAAAACCTATAAAATTAAGGATTTTATCAGCTGTGACACAAAAAAATTTTATCTTGTAAAATTGGTCACAGGAACCGCACTCACCCCCAGCGGCCACAGGTGCTCCGGAACAGGACCAGCAATCCCAACACGTTAAGGCAGCAAAAAAAGATTTCCAGGCACTCAAAGTGTGAAAGCCGCAGGCAGATTTATTGTAACAAAATAGACAGCAACGTTTCGACCTATCAAGAGGTCTTTGTCAAGCTAACACCACAAACAAAAGTGCATATAGCAAACAATGCTAGGAGATAAATCAAACAATAATTCACTTAAGTCATTACCAAGAGTCAACAATTAGTCCAAAATACACAGATCATATAGAATATACATACATATTCTCATGCGCACACTCTGAAATGCCGTTCGTGTGTTTAATTACGCAAACGTTTATTACTTTGACACTGATGCCGCCCCATCAGAGGGTGTTTATATTTTGCGTTCCAACAGCCGTTTATGCGTTCCACTTACCCGGAAATTAATTTTTTTTTGCGCCCGGAAAGGCGTTTTTACCTGCCTTTTGTGTTTTGTGTATATTAAATTTTTTCTTTTATTTTTTTCTGCTCTGTCTCTCCCTTATCTGGCACACAGGGGTAAATTATTAATGGGATTATAGATTATATATATTAAATTGTATTTATGTATGTATATTCTATATGATCTGTGTATTTTGGACTAATTGTTGACTCTTGGTAATAACTTAAGTGAATTATTATTTGATTTAACTCCTAGCATTGTTTGCTTGTGGTGTTAGCTTGACAAAGACCTCTTGGTAGGTCGAACCGTTGCGGTCTGTTTTGTTACAATAAAGCTGCCTGCGGCTTTCACACTTTGAGTGCCTGGAAATCTATTTTTTGCTACAAAAAATGTTATCTACCTACTGGAGTGCCCATGTGGCCTCCAATATGTAGTTATTTATAAATTCTTTATTTTTATCGTGCATAAGTGAACAAATCATCCTGCAATGTCACAACAACAAATGCAAGAAACATGTTAATTTCACAATGAAACAGGTATGTAAGGTATTGAATTAAGAGAGGTGTTGCTTTGTTTCATTTCGCTGTATCAGCACGTTATGGTAAAGTGAAAGTACAAGAGATAACTGCACACATATTTAGTGAGATGGCTAGAGCACAAGAATTATATGCATGTTCCAAGTGTGTGGGTGTATGATTCAACCTGGTAACTCTGGGTCGCTCATATATGAAGGTTAGGTGAAAACTTGTATATAGTACATGCTTAGAAACACGAGTGAAGGAAAGCTAGTAGATACCCAGAAAACATTATAGTCGATTTGAGAGTATTAATCTTAAGATTTTGGTCAGGCTAGGTATCTGGTGGGGCATGAAAATAAGGTAAAACAAAAAGTATGCATGCTTCATTATATGACCATATTATTAAAATGCTTTCACAAAGGCAGCAATAGGGAGAGTGCAAGAGTATAGCTACTGTAAACTAGGGCTGTAGAGGGTACCCGGCTAATTGAGGCTTGTATGCAGGCTTAACGAAACAATCCTAATACTGCAGCACTCGATTTCGGGGGTGAGTCGAGGTTTAGAGGCCCAGTGAAGGTTGTGGGCATAGGCTGGGGGCTTAAATCTAAATGGTATTGGGACTCATACAGGAGTAGCTAACTCTGAGTAACTTATGTGAGATCAATTGTGAACATAGCATGATTAGTCCTTATGGCAGTCCATGTGAGTCAGCCCACGCCAACTTTGGAGGCTTGGTTCAGGAGCACAGCGTGTGAACCATGGATGGGCCATTGCTGACCGCCGTCCCGGTGTGAGAACGCCCTTGCCTCCCTGATGCCGACATTCCGGTCGTCCTTGAAGGGGATCCGAGATGGGGCGTGCTGCTGTAAGCTCCCGGTCCCGGGTGCCGCCGTGTGAAGTAAGTGAGCGTTTCAGGTTTTGCTTCCCCTCTGTGGTCCTCTGTGCCGGACCCGCTTGCCATTCTTTGTTGGTCTCCTCATCTTGTGTGTCGTGGGCTGTCTCCAGCTCCCGCCGTTCGCAGGGTGCGGTTTGTCTGAAGGTGGGTATCTCCGTTCAGCTTGCTTCTTGAGCTCCAATAAAGTTTGGACCTTTCTGTTCTGCAGTTTTTGCCAGAAGCTATTGAACAGGTCTTTCAATCGCTGCTCCAGTGTCATTTGTTGGCCCAGTGTCTCCCCAGCTTGCTGAGCCGCCGCCATTTTTGGTCAGATAGTATCGTTCAATGCCCGTGTTGTATGCTAGTTGCTCGTTAGCTTCTGTGTGAGAGCCTGCTTGCTTGAACCGGGATATCCCTCACCGGCAGGGGGGCGGGGGGAAAGGGGTCTCAACCGCTTCAGCAGTTTCCAGTGGAGCGCCCAGCAGGAGGATCGGCCGTGTCTCTACCGCCTGCCTCGATTGTTCGATTTTCAGCGTCTGGTTGCGGTCGGAGGTCTCCCTAGGAATGTCTCAGGGTGACCCTAGGTCTGCTCTGAGCTGATCGTTGTTTTTCTCCGGTGTTAAGGCGTATTTTTTAAGCTGAGTAGTAGATTGTTCCCCAGAGCACATGGATCGTGCGGCCATTCATGTCGGCGGTTAGGCCCCCACCCCTCCCCCCCTAAAAAAAACAAAAAAATCAGACTGAGTGAACACTGCAGAAATATTAAAAAAGGATATTTGAAATCACTCAGTCTCAAAACATTTTTGTATGCATAACGATGACGCAAAACAACTTAAATGCATAGTGTGACTCCATGGAGAGGTGGGAACATAAAAAACATTCTAGATAAAGCTGAAATGGAATGGGTATTTAACTTAAAAATATTAACCCCCTCTGGTCTAAATGTAGTCGGACTTGTTTAATTTTATTTAATATATGCATTTGTTTATATTTATTATTTACCTCATGTATTATGTACCCACTTACTAATACCGACTTATTTATATGTATATATCTGGTTCCTCATTTTACATTGTTCACTTATCTATCTATATCTATCTATATATATGTATGTATGTATGTATGTATTTATTCTCCTATACTTTTCCCTACTTAACAGCCTATTTCCCTTCTCTACTACACTACCAACCACCAGATGGCGTGTAGAACTGTCTCTCTCCACCTCCCAGCCAATTACTAATGCCCTGCCACTCCCTCCATCTATTGGTTGGCGACCATCGCCATCCACCTATTACAGCCGCCGGCATCTATTATATAGCCAATCACACTTGTTTACCATCAAGTGTACCATCCATGGAGGGGTGGGAACATATAAAAAAAATATTCTTGGAAAATCAAAGATGCAATGGGTGTTCAATTTACAAACCCTAACACCCCATGGTCTTAATGTAGACTTTGACCTTTTTAATTTTTTATGATCTTTTTTATGTCTTATTATATATTTTTATTGGTACGACTCATTATTATAGTATGACCCCTAATCGGGCTAACATTGGATCTTCTTTAATTCTCATTATTGTTATATAAGATCTACTAATCATTATCTCCTTGGGATCCATTTGTTATCATCTCTGGGACATCCCGATCGCAGTTGTTTTTCTTATGGCATTGTGATTGAGGACACCCCTATCATAACAACTTTCCCGCATGGAACTTTAGATGTTCGTGTGACACCGTTCCCTGTATGATGACACTCGAGCCATCCAACCTTCCTAAGAGCTTTTTGTCTTATTTTACTACTTTTAGTGTATCACACATTTGAAAGGAAGTGGTTATAGTTTGTAACCCATTTTCAGTCACTATTATACTTTCTTTTATTACTATCGTTATGTAAATGTCTGACACACCTATTAACCATCACCTCCCTGATGGTACCTCAATGAGACAGCCGCTAGATGCTGGATTAACCCATTGGTAAACATAGCAGTTTACAGCAGAAAGGGTTAATCCTAGATGGACCTGGCACCCAGACCACTTCATGAAGTGGTCTGGGTACCTATAGTGGTCCTTTAATCATTCTCTCTAATTACTCTGTCTAAAAGACTGCTTTTCATTATATATCATTTATCATTTTTGTCTAATTCCTTTCTATGTATTAGACCGTCATTCATGTACTTGTTATGGACAGATGAATTAAAATAAAATGGCTATTTACTAATGTCTATTTATTCTGTGTTCACTATGTTAAAACTGTCTGCTAGAGTAAATATTCCCTTCCCCCCTACAATGTGTTCAGTTGCTGTTTCCTATGTAAATTCTTCATCGTGCTAAGCATCCCCCTTCCCATCAAGCAAAACCAAAATTCCTGTGTTAACAGCTCCCTTTACTAACTCCTCCCCCACTGCCTTTGTGCCAGTTAACAGCTATATGCCACGTGTAACAAAATGGAGAATCACTGTTAAAGTAACTGAAAGAAACTACTCACTCCCCCTCCCATCGTGTATCCAGAAGTCTGTAATGATGACACTACATCCTGTAGGGGGGTTTAGACAAGAACCCTTAGACTGTTAACCAATTGGTGAATGTATACTGTATGTTTAAACTGTGACGTATTTTTGCTTTAAGAAGGAGCCCCCACTCCGGGGAATAAAGCATTCCTTGGTTTTTCACTGATCAGAAACTTTGTCTCCGGTGTGAATTACTTCTAGGGAAAGCGTGCACGCATTAATTAATCAATTTGGAAGGAGTAGATAGACAAATAATCAAAGTTTTCTTTGATCCAAAACAATTTGGGGGCTCGTCCGGGATGTGAGGGTTACGTTAATAAGGAAGCCGTAAAATCTCAGGACCGGAGAGGAGACCCCCAGAGATTGAAAAAAAAAAAAAAGAGCCTGATCACCTCTGCGGTAAATGAGTTACTTACCCTATATTTTCCTTTCTTTGGACTTCGTTTACTCTCCGTTCCTTCATTCTGCTTCCTGTTAACGTCTTCGACAGGTATATAGTATGCCCACATGTCCCCTTTATTTGAATAGAACCTGTCAATTTGTCTATCTACGTCCTGTGTGTGAGTTTTATGTGTGAAAGTGTCTGCTTGAGAATCTGTTTTACTATTTGCTTAATACTGTTATATAATGCTGCCAAGTGTGGTTAAGCGCTTACAGATTTAGCCAAGTTCGGGTTTGGTGGAAAAACCCTGGCTGTTTCTTTGTTTTAGTAAGACTCGGTTGAGAGTTTAATGATTTCTTTTGTTTTTTTAGCTAAGCTTCGGTAAAGAAGCTAGTGAGTGATGTTTTGGCCTCGTTTGGTAAAAAACCTGGCGGTTCCTTTGTTTTATTAAGACTCGGTTGAGAGTCTGGCGATTATTGAGTTCAGGTGTGCATAATAGCCCCATGCGTTTTATTTTTGTTTGTTTTTTGTTCGATTTATATTAAAATTAGATCGTGGCGGTTCTTTTGTTGGTTTTATTTGTTTAATACAACTCGGTTTAGAGTTTAAAGGTTTTATTTGTTTTAGCTAAGTTTATTTGGTAAAGTAAGAATTGGTGCCTTTTCTTTTAGTAAAGCTCGGTGTAGAGTTACAAAGAAAAGAAAAGGAAAAGTTAATGTTTATGTGCTTGAGTGTTTCTGTGTGTGTGATTTGAGTTATTATAAGCCGGCATTTATTTTAAGGACTTTGTATTTTGTGCTTTTGTCTGTGTATGTCTTGTTGGGTACCATATATGTTAATTGTAATCTATACAATCTGTATCGTTACTCTCCTATTCTATCTTTTGTCCTAAGGAGAGCTGTGCTTAGGCAATCACATGGTTAAAAAACTTTGTGCTTGCAAGTCTTCCTCCCTCCTCCCCCCTCCTTCTTTGTTGCTTTCTCTTGCTATGACTGCTATGAGTATTGGCTACAGGGGGGGGTGAATGGGTGAAATGCTTGTAAACTCAGTGAAGAATGTGAGGGAAAAAAAGGTATATTTGCTGGACGAATATCCTAGTTAGGAACTTTGTGTAATCTTGTATATGTTGTTAAGTAAGAGGTTATTGGCATGTTGGAATAAGGAAAGTTAGATTTTGTTGGAACAAATGAATTGTGGAATTCATAAATGATAATGCAGAGAAAAGTACATTGCAGTTTGCATGTAATTGCAGCTATTCAGATGCTGTATTGTGGCAATCTTTATACACACAATGTGAAATTGCCAATAGTGAAATTGCCAAAAATTGTTTGTTAATAAAAAAAATAAAAAATAAATAAAAAAATTTAGAAATGTTATGAAACTAGTCTGTACTTACAATGCATTGATTTTTTAAACGAGATGCAGGTCAATAAAATTTAGAATCAGCAGATAAAGAAATAAATTTGAATATGTTAACAGAAGACAAATCAGATTTAAATGACCAGTGTAACAAAGTAACAGAGAGCACACACTGTAATTGTGAGAGATTGTCAGAAAAAGTCTGTGAATTAGAGGATAGAGTTGAATTAAGAAATTATTTTTTTTGCCAGCTTACAAATGAAGTTAAGCACGTGTGTGTTAATACAAGAAAAATGCAGACACTGAAATGTTGGAAAAACTAAAACCACACAAGGGGGAGGATATATTTCGTTTTCTTGTAAAATTTGAAAGTGCATATAGACTTGTTGCTGATTTTTCTGAAGATCAGTTAATTAATGAATTTGTGAAAAAATTTCAAGATCTAGATCCAACTGCAATTGTGTTAGCAAGAGAAAAAAAAGCACTTTGACAGAAGTAGCTTTGTACTTGGATAACTTAAGGAGATAAACCAATAATGAAGGGGTTAAAACGACTTGTGGATTTAGGCAGAGAAAGAAGTGCAGATTTTACAGCCCTCATCCCCCTCCTCCTCCTTCTTCTAGGACAGAGAAAATACATGTGGAGATAAATCAATTAAAGCCTTTCCTTGTAAACTGATAATCAGACAAATAAGAACAATTTTAGCTAAATCAAAATTAGGAGACAGACAAGCAATGCAGTGTAACACAGAAAGTTATAAGAATCAGATAACTTCAAGAGATATGATCAGTTTAGGGAATGAGCATGGATATGTGTGCCAACAGATGTACACGGGCTGATTCCAGAATTAAGAACAGCACAAGAATAGAGATCTATGTTAGTTTATTGTTTTAAATGAATTGTTAGTCTGTACTGTCTTTCATTGTTTTTATGTGTGTTATAAGAAAGTATTAGGTTAATTAATTAAAATAAAAATTTACATCAAGTTTGCAAATATGGCAGAATGAAATACACTAATGTAGAAGTTAGGAGACATGCAATCTATGATATATTGGGTGTATGCAATTATACAGTACCTCCAATCATTTTACAGAAGAAAAAACAATAGATTTATTATTTGTTGCTTCTGAGGTTGATTTAAAATCTTTGATTTAATTCATGAGAATGAGATTTTAATATTATGACTGATAATGGATTACTGTATATAACGCCTGGACATAACCATGGTTTGGATATACTGAAGACAAAAGGAATAATATATGGGAATGGATAAGGCTGATTTCCCCCTATCCACAGCCACGTCTACTCCTAAAGTAACATCGCGTACATCCTTACTACGCCCTTTTACTGTAGAATTTCCCGAATCCTAATGACCCATTCCACTACATGGTGTGACTTGTTTAAGCCTAAGATAAATTGGCTGATCAGGCTACCTGTATTACCAATGTCATCAACGATGAGTTAGCATCTGTGGAGAAGTATCACTTCAGGTTGTCCCAAATTTTCTTTTAACTTAAGTTTTAGTACATAGTAAGGCCCATGCCCAACAACTATATGCAGCCTTGTATAGCAGGCCACATGACATCTATTTGTACCAAGCAAGGCCTGCCTGACTCCTCATTCCTGTCTAACATTGTTGTCTCCTGCATAAGTGTAGATGGCTCTCCTTGGAGTAGCCTGTTAACTAAGCCTTGCTTTGTGGTTACCTTCACCTGTCCAATTAATCTGCTAGGTGCAGATGTCCTTCCCCCACTTGCAGGCCCCTATCACCTTATTATTTCTTTTGTTCCACACAGTGAAACCTGACCAAGAGGCAAGGGTCCTAGCTAGTTCCCCCAATACCTTTACCTGAATTATACAGGCCCCAAAGCCTGTCCAAGCTCTTACTATTCCCTAACAGGATAAGGCTCTGGTGTCGAATGGTGCCCTGGTTACCTGAGACTTTCCATGCAATATCCCACCTCTCCTTGTGATGGACGAATTCTGTGCAGGATAATGTCACCCTGCAGGGATGATACTCTATTTACCTGGCCACTCTTCTGCCACTTCCCAGTGGGGGAAATGATAAGACACTGACTATTATTTTTTTTTTAGCCTTTTTCTTATGATCTGTTCCGGATTTGCTGTCACTACAGTGGACCAAGTATCTCACCTCAACAATGTCTGCACAAGAAGCTGAGCTATAGGCTCCCATCACAGCATGCAAGATCTCTGAAGGAAGACTGAACTCAGAGGAAGCATGTGGCAGCTCTCTGGCTGACTAAGTTGTTCAAGAAGTTGTAAGTGCACTAAGGGAAGTGGACAGAAAAGTGTCTGCTGAAGAAACTCCCATATTCACCATGTAAGATCCTACCCACAGACATCAAGTTCCCGAAGGAATAACAAGCAAGCTACTGACCCTGGAAAGAAAGAAAAAACAAACAAACCACAAGCTGGAAACAGAAAGGGGCAACTCTTAAAGACAGGCTGTACTTCAACGATCTCAAGTTCTACTTGCCCAAGAACATATACTCAGCAGTAGTCCAGTGGGCCTACGGAGCATCTGTCCAGAACCCTCATGAACTCTTTTGATCGATAAATACTCTGAAGTACCAGGAATTGCCTCTCTGACCAACAGTTACTGTAAATCTTGTGCCATTTGTGCCAAGGGCAACTCAGGAAGAATGGAGGAAAGCCCCAAGCATCTAGCCAAACCTCATTATCTCTTCCAGAGGAGTCAAGTCGACTATATCCAGAATGCCAAAGAATGGCTGATTCAAATATGCACTAATTATAGCAGACATGTTTTCAGGATGGCCAGAGGCCTATCCAGCCACCAAAGTGATAACCAAGACCACATGCTGAGTAGTGCACCGTGAAAGTTACAGAGATCACACTGTGGCTTCATCATTCAGAATCAAGCCTGCCTCTGCATCATGTGAAGTAACATTTGTTGATCTTGACAACCCTTTTTGAAGCTCCATTCTTAGAGACCAAAGATACTTGTTGAAAATAAATAAATAAATATCAACAAGTGGGTGTTTTGATGGCCATAATAATGCCTGTCCATCTGCCATCGATGGAAAGCCGAATACCCCAAAAGGGGACCTCGTGAAACTAAAGAGAAACAAACATACTCCTTACCCTGCAGCCCTCACGTCTGAGGTGCCATACGCACAGTCAAAGCTTCTTCAGGATCATCTGCTTATCTTGAGTTTGTGGTGATATTAATATTGAATGTTTAAATGATCTGAATCTGCCAGTACTAGGGTAGCATGAGACAAGAGTTCTAAGAATAAGTAAATGTGCCCTAGCCTAGGTTATTATGTCCATACACATAACACATGACAATCCCCAAGGTACTCTTGACACACCTCATTCATGCTTCAGGACAAAAAGGAGTACCCCTATAAAGGGTGGTTTTACCCACACATATATATATATATATATATATATATATGTATATTAATGCCATAGGGGTGTCAAGGGGGGTACCAAATGATTTTAAGGTAAGAAACTAAGTTTGAATCTATTTTCCCAAGCATTACGGCTAATAAAATCTGAATTGGAAGGGAAGAGGTTTATACAATAAACAGGAGACCTTTTTCTTACAGGACATGTATGACTCAGCTGAATGGGTAGGTGCCACACACATGACTGTTAATCCCCTCAAACCACACATTAGGACTCTAAAAGACATGGTAGTCATCCCATATTTGAGGATACTAGGGCTGTAGAGACAGGTTTCTCTGACACTAACTTGTGACTTGAATGGATGAAATACAATGCTACTAAACATAACAAGTCTAACTGCTATGTCTGCGGAGGAGCGAGGCCTCACCCAGGTACAGTATCCCTGAACCTTCCTCCGGATATGAAGTATGCGTTTTAAGTCTCTACACTGTATTTAAACCTAAGCGGTCAGCATGCGAGTCATGGAAACTTAATACCCAATCATTACTAAAAATATTATGCCCAGACGAAGGCATTACTATATATCCCAGGAACTATACTTGTTATGGGATATATGGTGGGATAGGGCGGTTACAAGCTACCTCTCAGATGACCTTCCAGAATAGAATAAGCTTTGAAATGATTTTGGCAGAAAAAGGGAGAGTATGTAAAATACTCCCAGACACCATAACATGCTGTACCTATATTCCAGATAATGCAGGCCCTAATGGTAAGGTAACGTTGGCAATAGAAAAGTTAAAGAGTTTGTCCAATGAGCTGAAACGAAATTCTGGGGCCGCAGATCCATGGGAAAGATGGTTTGGATGGATGACTGGATGGCAAGGTGCTCTGGCCCAAATAGGTGTTGCCATTTTAATAACGATAATCATCCTCGCTCTTCTTGTTTGTTGTGTGTTACCCTGTCTTAAGAAATGCCTACAAAAGACAGTTGATCAGACAATCAACCAGACCACCCCGACCTTCCTTCACCAAGAGATTGACGACATAGACCGTGATACACCACATACACCCTTACAGTCCCACCGCACTAAATCAACAGCTACTTCCTCTTAAGGACATTCAGGGATAGCGTCTGTCTCTACGGGCAGAAGTCTGTCGCGGGAAGAAGTAGTGGACAAGCTGCTACGGGTTACCCGCGCAGTGAAGTGTTCGAGGCCTGTTCAGACAGATGTGCAAGATAGCCTTTTGTTATTTTTCTATAGGGACAGTATTAGAATGTGAGATAGTAGTTTTAGTAAAAATTGCCATTTTAAGGGGGGACTGTTATGGACAGATGAATTAAAATAAAATGGCTATTTACTAATGTCTATTTATTCTGTGTTAACTATGTTAAAACTGGCTGCTAGAGTAAATATTCCCTTCCCCCCTTACAATGTGTTCAGTTGCTGTTTCCTATGTAAATTCTTCATCGTGCTAAGCATCCCCCTTCCCATCAAGCAAACCTTGTGTAACCAAAATTCCTGTGTTAACAGCTCCCTTTACTAACTCCTCCCCCACTGCCTTTGTGCCAGTTAACAGCTATATGCCACGTGTAACAAAATGGAGAATCACTGTTAAAGTAACTGAAAGAAACTACTCACTCCCCCTCCCATCGTGTATCCAGAAGTCTGTAATGATGACACTACATCCTGTAGGGGGGGTTTAGACAAGAACCCTTAGACTGTTAACCAATTGGTGAATGTATACTGTATGTTTAAACTGTGACATATTTTTGCTTTAAGAAGGAGCCCCCACTCCGGGGAATAAAGCATTCCTTGGTTTTTCACTGATCAGAAACTTTGTCTCCGGTGTGAATTACTTCTAGGGAAAGCGTGCACGCATTAATTAATCAATTTGGAAGGAGTAGATAGACAAATAATCAAAGTTTTCTTTGATCCAAAACATACTCATGCAATTATACTATATACCGTATTTTCTGGCGTATAAGACGACTGGGCGTATAAGACGACCCCAACTTTTCCATTTAAAATATAGAGTTTGGAATATACTCGCCGTATAAGACTACCCCTCTTCCAATGCACACCAAATAAAAATTAGCCATGATGTACAGTGAGCAGACAGAGCTACACAGCAAGACATTAAATAATGATAATCTGAAATAGCATTTAAAGCCCAGGTATGTGCCAGGCTGTTTGGGCATACAATCCATGCCTGCTGGTCTAGCACACAGGAGGCTAATTGCGATATATTCTTTTTACTCCCCCCCTCCATTCTTTTTTTACTCCCCATTCTTTTTACTCCCCAATCCTCCCTACATTCTTCTCACCTCCCCTTCCCTGTGCAGAGTGGGTGGCCGAGCTCCTCTTCGTCCTGTCAGTCCGGCCGGGTACCGCGCGGTACAGGAGATTCAGCTACCTGTTCCCGGCCAGACTGAAAGGAAGTGAGCACTCAGTGCTCAGGCGGCTGCAGCATTAGAAGGGCCGGCGATGGGGGCGCAGGGTGCCCCCGGCAGCCATATAGACCCTATACCCGGCGTATAAGACGACCCCCGACTTTGGAGAAGATTTTCCAGGGTTAAAAAGTCATCTTATACGCCAGAAAATACAGTACTTTATATGTCATTCATGTTTTTATTCTTATGTACAATGTTTTTTGCCCTCTTAATATGACCACCACAATATGACTGTATTCTCTCCCAAGATGACCGCCACGATTATTTTATTCCCTATCACAGCTTCCCCTACCAAGATGGCCGCCATGGCTATTTTTTCACACTATTTAAAACTTTTTATTTTACCATTACCATCATGTTTAAGGTATAAACACCTTACACCTTTCCCCCTCCATCCACCTATTACATTAAATAAGGCCAGTAAGCTTTCCCCTGATATCTGCAAACGTGAGAATTTCTTGCTGATATCATATACACTATGCAGATAACTACAATCCCCATAATGCCGAGCAGGGCTGGCCTTAGGGGTGTGCGAGCTGTGCGGCCGCACAGAGCGCCATGGAGCAGGGGGCACCCTGACAGCCGACACAGTTCGCACATGGCTGGGTGAGTGCAGGGGGAGCTGAAGCAAGTCCCCGGTTGGAGAGTTCATTATTTCCTACCAGGGACTATAAAAGTAAAGGGGCGGGGCGGAGCTTACTGCATTGAGGAGGCGGGTCTAAAAGGCAGCCGGGGCAGAGCTTGCAGCTCACTGAAGCTCCAAGTACTTGCTGCAGAGAAAAGAATCCCTGCTTCCACTCCTCCCTTCCAGGTAATTGTGTGTGTGACTGTAGTCTGTGTGACTGTAGCAGTGTCTGTCTGTGTGTGTAAGAGACTGTACTCTGTGTGTGACTGTCTGCCTGTGTGTGTGTGTGTAAGAGAGACTGTACTCTGTGTGTGACTATCTGTGTCTGAGTGTGGGAGAGAGCAAGAATGTACTCTGTGTGTGTGCCTGTAACAGTGTTTGTCTGCCTGTGTGTGTGTGAGAGAGACTGTACTCTGTGTGTGACTGTCTGTGTGTGTGTGAGAGACTGTACTCTGTGTGTGTGTGTGTGTGTGTGAGAGAGACTTTACTGTGTGTGACTTTCTGCCTGTGTGTGTGTGACTGTACTCTGTGTGTGACTGTGTGTGTGTGTGAGAGCAAGAATGTACTCTTTGTGTGACTGTCTGCCTGTGTGTGTGTGTGTGTAAGAGAGACTGTACTCTGTGTGTGACTGTCTGCCTGTGTGTGTGTGTGTGTGTGTGTGTGTGTAAGAGAGACTGTACTCTGTGTGTGACTATCTGTGTCTGTGTGTGGGAGAGAGCAAGAATGTACTCTGTGTGTGTGTCTGTAACAGTGTTTGTCTGCCTGTGTGTGTGTGTGTGTGTGAGAGAGACTGTACTCAGTGTGTGACTGTGTGTGTGTGAGAGACTGTACTCTGTGTGTGTGTGTGAGAGGGACTGTAATGTGTGTGACTTTCTGCCTGTGTGTGTGTGACTGTACTCTGTGTGTGACTGTGTGTGTGTGTGAGAGAGCAAGAATGTACTCTGTGTGTGACTGTCTGCCTGTGTGTGTGTGAGACTGTACTCCGTGTGACTGTCTGTAGCAGTGTCTGACTGTCTGTGTGTGTGTGTGTGAGAGAGAGACTGTACTGTGTGACTGTCTGCCTGTGTGTGACTGTACTCTGTGTGTGAGTGTCTGTAACAGTGTCTGACTGTCTGCGTGTGTGTGTGTGAGAGAGCAAGACTGTACTCTGTGTGAGTGTCTGTAAGTGTCTGACTGCCTGTGTGTGTGTGTGTGTGTGTGTGAGAGAGACTGTACTCTGTGTGTGACTGTAAGTCTGTTTGTGTGAGACTGTACTCTGTGTGTGACTGTCTGTAGCAGTGTCTGACTGTCTGCCTGTGTGTGAGAGAGAGAGACTGTACTCTGTGTGTGACTGTAGCAGTGTCTGTCTGTGTGTGTGTGTGTTTGAGATACTGTAATCTGTGTGTGACTGTGTGTGTGTGTGTGTGTGTGTGAGAGAGACTAATCTGTGTGTGACTGTCTGCCAGTGTAACTGTATCTGACTGTAACTGTGCCTGATTGTCTGCCTTTTTGTGTGACTGTAACCAGGGCCGGCCTTAGGGGTGTGTGAGCTGCGCGGCCGCACAGGGTACCATGGAAACAGGGGTGCCAGGTGGCCAACACAGCTCGCAGTCGGTCACTGACAAACCGGCCCGAATTGGAATGCAGGGGGAGCGTGGAGGAGGAGAGCGGGGGCACGACGTCGGAAGGATCTGCTCAGTGGGTGTCAGGGCAGCAGGTGCTCTTCAGTCGGTGCGTCAGTCAGAGTGGGAAAAACTGACAGCTGGATCCAGGGAGCAGCAGCCTTTAATGTAAGTGCTTGTCCTTATTGATATAGATATATATATATATATATATATATATATATAAAAAAAATTAAAAGAAACTATTGCATTTAATTGAAGTATGCAGGTGGTTAGTGATAAAGGGGGCAGGGGGCTAGTGATAAACAGGGGGCAGGGGACTGGTGATAAACTGGGGCAGATGAAGGTGGCACGGTTTTGTTGAAGGGGGTGCAGGCGACAGATTTTGAATGTGCCTGAAATGGTCTAGAGGGAGTCAAACAAAGATGGCAGGGAGGGGGCGCCACAAGATTGGCTTGCACAGGGCGCCTGAAAACCTAAGGCCAGCCCTGATGCCGATGGGCTAATACGAAAAAAGCCAATATTACGGTCAATATATTACAGTTTTTTCAATGTAACTATATACTTATACTCCCCATTATATGATCTACAATACTGTATATATGATCTGTACATTTGTAGTTTATTGACTGTCACTGTTTCCCATTGGTTGACAATTTAAAGCTGAAATTTTGGCGCCAATTTTAATTGACCATATCCCTATTTAAATTCTATGTAGCCAGGTTGCACAGGTGATACTCAAAAAATTAGAATATCGTGCATTTATTTCAGTAATGCAACGTAAAAGGGGAAACTAATATTTGAGATAGATGCATTACATGCAAAGCAAGATAGTTCAAGCCGTGATTTATCATAAGTGCAATGATTATGGCTTACAGCTCATGAAAACCCCAAATCCACAATCTCAGTAAATTAGAATATTACATGCAATCAATAAAACAAGGAGTGTACATAGAACAATATCAGACCTCTGAAAAGTATAAGCATGCATCTGGACTCAGTACTTGGTTTGGGCAATTACTGCCTCAATGTGGCGTGGCATGGAAGCTACCAGCCTGTGGCACTGCTGAGGTGTTATGGAAGACCAGGATGCTTCAATAGCGGCCTTCAGCTCTTCTCCATTGTTCGGTCTAATGTCTTTTTCTCTTGGCAATGCCCTATAGATTCTCTATGGGGTTCAGATCAGGCGAGTTTGCTGGCCAATCAAGCACAGTAATCCCACGGTCATTGAACCAGGCTTTGGTGCTTTTGGCAGTGTGGGACTGCTGGAAAATGAAGTCAGCATTCCCATAAAGCTTGTCTGCGGAAGAAAGCATGAAGTGCTCCAAAATCTCCTGGTAGACGGCTGCGTTGACCCTGGACTTAATGAAGCACAGTGGACCAACAACAGCAGATGACATGGCTCCCCAAATCAACACAGACTGTGGAAACTTCACACTGGACTTCAAGCATCTTGCAGTATGTGCCTCTCCATTCTTCCTCCAGACTCTGGGTCCTTGGTTTCCAAATGAGATGCAAAAGTTGCTCTCATCAGAAAAGAGGACTTTCGACCACTGAGCAACATACCAGGTCTGTTTTTCTTTAGCCCAGGTAAGACGCTTCTGATGTTGTTTGTTGTTCAGGAGCGGCTTGACAAGAGGAATACAACATCTGAAGCCCATGTCCAGGATCCGTCTGTGTGTGGTGGCTCTTGATGCACTGACTCCTTGTTTCTGCTCTACACTTGTGAGTATTACTCTTATCACTCTTTTATACTCTATTTTATCACAATTGAGAGCACTACTGTTGCCTTTTATCTTCCCTTTTGGATTACCAGATGGTGCTGACGGATACATATTCCCACATCCCATAACCAGGGATTATACAACTGTATGCTCTTCAAACCAGAGCTGGCCATAGCCCTTTTAAATGTGTGTTTTCTACCTCTTGTTACTTACTGCACTTTTGGACTCTAGATGTTTCAATGAATCTCTATGAGGAGATGCTGATTGGCCAGGGCTGTGTATGGCTGGTGCTGGCTCTGCCCCTGATCTGCCTCGTGGACAATCCCAGCCATTCCAATGCTTTCCTATGGAAAAGCATTGTGACTTGCTGAGCTCACCACTTCTGATATCAGCCAAAAAGACAGATCGGGGCAGAGCCAGCACCAGCAGACTGGAATAAAGGTAAGGTTTTACTATATATAGGGGGCAAGGGGGAGCAGTAGGGGCTAAATAGAGTTTTTACCAATACAGGGTCAGAAATACATGTTTGTGCTCCTGACCCTAGTGTGTTCATTTAACTAGAAGTTTGTACATGACAAATTATAAAACAAAGATGTGTGTTTATTGATCTAGGCAAGTAATTAGACACTTGTCTGACTCATAAAAAATGAAACTATGAAAACAATTCACAAAAATATTGCATATATTACCTCGCTTTGAAATCTTTCCAATGTAAGTTTTTTTTGCATTTGATCCTGCACCAGTGGATCAGCAGAATACTCTTCTTCCAATAAAGAGGTCCAGCAATTACCAGCATTCCGATTTGACTTTGTCAAAATTATCCTTATTAGTTTTCTATCCTCTTTTAAAATAAAAAGTATATTATTAGTAGACTGACTAGTTCTCCGCGATAATATAAAAACAAGTAACTGCTTAACATCTAATGACTATATAAAAATATCTTTTTATATTACACTTACCTAAGGTCCATGTTCCCTCATCACTTATGGTAGAATCAAATAATTTTCCCTGAAAAGGTAGTTTAAAAAAAAAAAAAAAGACAAAAAACATAAAAGGTTTCATTTATATATATCTACATCAAATGTATCTTTATCTCTATTTATATACCGTACATGAAACTTAAAAGTGAACCATGTAATTTGGTAAAATTATGGCATCAATGCATCTGTGTAGAAACAGAAAATATCAGGGGACAGACTTACCTAATAATCCCAACTCCATTTAGGGAGCATGCAATACACTGTGCAGTTTTCTATAGGCAAAAGTATACAGTGTTTTCAGAAACATTTAAGAGCACTTAATTTTTTCACAGTTTTATAGGTTGCAGTGTTATGCTATCGTTGTTATAAGTATTTTTTCAGGATCAGTTTGCCAATGAAAAACACCCCAAAAGTATAATGCTACAACCACCATGCTTCACTTTTGGGACAGTATTGCGCAGGTGATAAGCAGGACCTGGTTTCTTCTAGAGATGATGCTCTGAATTGAGGTTCAACAGTTAAATGTTCAATTCAGTAGACCAAAGAATCTCCTCAGTTTGAGTCATTTATGTGCAAATTCCAAGTGGTATTAATGTGTCTTCTGTGATGCCACAGTGTTGAGTGTTGCAGTGATGGTTATCCTTCTGCTAATTTCTTTTCCCAGAGTGAGCTGTAAAGATAATGTATGCACATGAAAGAAATGAGCAGTTTCTTGGTCACCTTTCTTATAAACGCCCATTTCTGTCCATTACATAGTTTAGCAAATGCCTTTAGGAAGTGATGGCTGATCCAAAGTTCAATTAAAGAATTATGGAGGCCACTGTGCTCTTGGTAACCTTCAATGAAGCTGAATTTGTTTGTAGTCTTTTATATGTGCCTCAACATAATGCTGTCCGAGCAATGCATGCAGTTCTTCTGACCTTATGACTTGGTTTTTGCTCTGCTATACATTTACAGAAATGAGACTGGTATGTGCCTTTACAAATCTTGTCCAATCAATTGAATTTTCCAGGGGGACTTTAATCAACAAGTAGAAATTTCTCAAAGGTGGGAAGCACCTGAGCCATATTTCAAGTGCAATAGCAAAGAGTCTGAATACTTATGTCAATGTGGTATTTTGGCATTTACATTTTAATAAAATTGCATACTTTTCAAAATTCTGCTTTCTGTTTTGTCATTATTGGGTACTGAATGCAGATTGATGTAAAAAATAATGTAAACATTTATAGCATAAGGCTGCAACATTAAAAAATTTTTTGAAAAATTTAACGGGTCATAGAAACATATAATGTGATGGCAGATAAGAACAATTCGGCCTATCAAGTCTGCCCAATTTCCATTAAAGAGGTCCAGCAATTACCAGCATTCCGATTTGACTTTGTCAAAATTATCCTTATTAGTTTTCTATCCTCTTTTAAAATAAAAAGTACATTATTAGTAGACTGACTCTACTAAGTGAGGTCTCACCAGTGTTCTGTACAATGAGCATCCCTCTTTCTACTGCTAATACCTCTCCCTATACAACCAAGCATTCTGCTAGCATTTCCTGCTGCTCTATTACACTGTCTGCCTACTTTTTTTTTTTTTTTTGTGCGTAGGATTACAACAGTGCTTGCATAGTCACAACAGCTTTCACAAGCGCTGTATTATTGGAACACAAGTACGGCATGCATAGAACTTTTTTAACATTTACTGTATTGTACAGACAAGCTGAATAAATGGACCTCCGTAGTGAGAATTGTGTCTGCCTACTTTTAAGTCATCTGAAATTATTACCCCTAAATCCCTTTCCTCAGATGTTGAGGTTAGGACTATATCAAATAGTCAATACTCTGCCCTTGGGCTTTTACGTCCAAGATGCACTAACTTGCACTTATCCACATTAAATGTCAGTTGCTCCAGCTCTGACCATTTTTCTAATTTACCAAAATCATTTGCCACTTGGCTTATCCCTACTGGAACATCAACCCTGTTACATTAAGCTGAAGTTGTTTAGGTGACTATAGTGTCCCTTTAAAGATTGCAGTTTAAGCCTTCTATGTGCAACACTGTCAAAAGCCTTACTGAAATCTAGGTAAGCAATGTCTACTGCACCACCCTGATCTATTATTTTAGTTACACAATCAAAAAAAATCATAAGGATTAGTTTGGCATGACCTCCCTGAAGTAAACCATTGTTGTCTCAGATCTTGAAATCCCTGCGATTTTAGATGTTCAACAATCCTATCCTTTAACATAGTTTCCATTACTTTCCCCACTACTGAAGTAAGGCTTACTGGCCTATAATTGCCCGTCTCCTCCTTACTACCTTTCTTGTAAATGGGCACAACATTCACTAATTTCCAATCTTCTGGGACTACTTCCGTTAACAATGATTGGTTAAATAGAATTCGTTAATGGTTTTGCTAGTACACCACTAAGCTCTTTTAATAACTTTGGGTGTATTCCATCAGGCCCCATCGACTTATTTGTCTTTACTTTTGACAGTTGAAATATAACCTCTTCCTCTTTAAACTCACATGTAACAAATTCCTCATTTATCCTTTTTCCTAACTTAGGTCCCTTTCCTTAATTTTCATCTGTAAAAACTGAACAAAAATATTCATTGAGGTAGTCAGCTAGACCTTTATCCTCTTCTACATACCTACCTTCTTTTGTATTTAATCTAACTAATCCTTGCTTTACTTTCCTCTTCTCATTTATGTATCTAAAAAATGTTTTGTCCCCCCCCTTTTTTTTTTTACTAACTGGGCTATTTTCTCTTCTGTGTGTGACTTTGCAACTCTTATAACTTGCTTAGCCTCTTTCTGCCTAATCTTATAGATCTGTCTACCTTCCTCGCTCTGTTTTTTTTTATAATTACTAAATGCTAACTTCTTGTTTTTCACTATTTTGGCCACTTCTGCGAAGTACCATAGTGGTTTCTTTCATTTTTTGCTCTTACTGACAAGCCTAATGCAATTTTGTGTTGCCTTTACTAGTGCAATAAATAATCCCATTTCTCTTGGACTCCATTTAAAGTGCTCCAGTCTGATAATGACTCCTTTACACACATTCTAATTTTAGAATAATCTGTTGTTTTTTTAAAGTCTAAAACTTTTGTTTTTGTGTGGTGTGACTCAGTCACTGTTCTTATATTAAACCACACGGACTGGTGATCACTGGAACCTAAACTTTCACCTACAGTAATATCTGATACCAAATCTCCACTTGTTATCACTAAATCTAGTATGGCCTCCTTACGAGTTGGCTCCTCAATGACTTGTTTTAGAGATAGTCCCAGTAATGAGTTTAGAATATGTGTGCTCCTGGCACAAGCAGCTATTTTGGTTTTCCAGTTCACATCTGGAAGTCACCCATGATGATAACTTCCCCCTTCATTGTCATTTTAGCTATTTCCTCAACTAGTAGATTATCTAACTCTTCTATTTGTCCTGTGGGCCTATAAATCACACCTACACGAGTTACTGTGTGATTACTAAATTCTAACGTAACCTAAACTGACTATGTTCGCCTCACTAATATTTATTAGGCTAGATTTTATGTTATCCTTCACATTCAGGGCCAACTCTCCCCCCCTTTCTTACCATCTCTGTCTTTTATATATAAAGAATACCCTGGAATTGTATGTCTCAGTAATTTTTCTCATTATACCATGTCTCAGCAACTAAATCTACATTATCAGTTGCCATTATTGCCACAAGTTCATGGATCTTATTACCTAAACTGCGAGCATTTGTAGACATGACTAAGCTTATCATTTTTAACACACTTGCTGTAGATGCGAACATCCATTTTGCTCAATAGCCTAGCTGTTCATATAAGGGTTAATTTGAACCAAGAATAGATTTGGAATTGTATCTCCAATTCTCGGAAATAAAACTTATCTATTTACGGGAAATGTTATTGGAACATGATTTTGGATATCTACATGACATGACATAACATGATAAGGATTCTGGAATGACCTTGTTAATTGTCCAAGATTTTGGTATTTGTAATCATCTGGGTTTTATCCAATATGCATACATTATGTAACATCTAATTATAACTAAAAACAGCTGTTTATAACTTGTGAAAAACAATGTAATTGTCACGCCCATATGCTCATTTTTCCCCCTCCCATCCTGCTATGAAAATGGGGTATAAATATAACTGACGTATGAATACAATTTGAATTGGTTATCGAACATGTCTCTGCTATTCATTTCCAATTTCCAGAGCTCTGTATGAGTTGGCAAATATCCATCATCCACAAAGGGCCCGGGCTGATTTTATCCCCAACAAACTGGTGTTAGAAGTGGGATAACTGTATGGAGGTTCTAACATGTATTAAAACATGATCACACACCTACAGAGCTGGTGGCTTTTTGGACATCAGGATCTATAAAAGGTTTCGGTTTCCAAAGATGTTATCAGGGTCCACAAAACTGACAGACTTCAGCATTTCAATGTTATTAAAGTAATTAATTGAGATTATCAAATCAAGGTTTAAATTTAAAAACAGCATTTTATTGGGAATTATACCAATATGTATATGTTATTGTTTTAGTACTCAACAAGCATTTATATAGAATGAGTGCTTCTCTCATCCATACAAAGGCATTCTAAAGGGAAATTATGTATTAAAATTTTATAAAGGACAAATACAAAAACATAAACATAAAGGACATAAACAAAACTGAGAGACGTACATGTTACACTAGTTAAGAGTTTAACTTTAGTCTCTAATTTGAGTTTAGCCTAGATAATTAATTTATTGATGTCGTACTGATCCTTGTGTTAGTATGATTATAGAGAAGTATTTGTGCCGCCTGATATTTGGGACTACACACCAATCTCTCTGGCTGACCTACCTGCCTACCTATCTTTTTTGCAATTAAATCTGTTTGGTCAAAAACCATGCTGGCCGAAGAAACTGAGATGCTTACTTATGAGGACATAAACTAACTTGGAAAGTCCTGAAGATGCAGTGCTGTCTAATGCCGCTATTTCTGTATTACCCTTTCAACAATTGGGGTGTTGCACAGAGTATTGTGGTGAACATCCAGCAAACAGAAGAATTAAGAACTATGTGGAAGCTGACATTGTCTTGTTGTCAGCCATATTGCTACACTTAGCTATGTTATGGTGTCTAAGATTCTTTATACTCCTTGAAAGACTTATAATATTTTTCTGGACTATTGAACTATTTTGTTATTTTTATTTTTGTAGAGTTAGCCGGAGAGAGAGGAAGTGTTAGCTTACTCAGGCATGGATGTACTATGTATGTTGAGTGTACCAAGGATGGATTCCCATGTATTAAGTGTGGATATGACTGGACCATCAAAATAGGGATTTGATTAGGAGGCATAGGACGCAAGGTCATGATTGGGATTATTGCTAGAATTGCAAACTGATTAGAAATGATCTTATGATTTAATATGTAAGTGGGCCTTTTCAAACTAATCAAGAAGTGTTTCCCAATCCCGATACCCGAGCTATTTACTTACAAGTGCAGGTTTTATAAGTCACTAATGCTGTCAACGTGAGGGGATGACATGTCTACACAGTCATGGTCCTCACTTAGAATTTACCCAGATGTGCTTTTTTCTCAACTATGAGTTTTTGCCACTGGGTTTTTTGACCTGGCCCAAGTTCACTGGGTGGACTGGTAATCCAAGACCCTGGTGCAAAGAGGGGAAATCGATTTTATTCCCATTTTTGATTATATGTGTTTACGTTGTGAATTATAATAATAATAATATTCCCGTTGTTGGGAATAATACACTTTGCCTGTTTTGATCCAAGGCTCAAGTTACAGATAACATGATGTGCAGTCTGTTTAAAATTGGTTAAGATGTCAGCTGTTTGAAATATTTAACTTGTACACTTAAAAGATGTGTACAACAGATGATTACAGAAGCTGAAAATCGACAGCTCGATCTCCTCTTAAAGGGAAAACCTACGGCACAGAGCAAATGGGGGAAATCGAGGTGAAGAAATAATGAAAGTCCCGCAGACGTGATTAGCACGTCTGAATATACCTCCTTTCGTTTCTCTGCCGCAGGCCTCCCATGGATATTCCGTAAGGTAGATCATGATATGATCTAAGAGGGGAATTGTGGATGCGAACAACCATTTTGCTCAATAGCCTAGCTGTTCATATAAGGGTTAATTTGAACCAAGAATAGATTTGGAATTGTATCTCCAATTCTCGGAAATAAAACTTATCTATTTACGGGAAATGTTATTGGAACATGATTTTGGATATCTACATGACATGACATGAAATGATAAGGATTCTGGAATGACCTTGTTAATTGTCCAAGATTTTGGTATTTGTAATCATCTGGGTTTTATCCAATATGCATACATTATGTAACATCTAATTATAACTAAAAACAGCTGTTTGTAACTTGTGAAAAACAATGTCATTGTCACGCCCATATGCTCATTTTTCCCCCTCCCATCCTGCTATGAAAATGGGGTATAAATATAACTGACGTATGAATACAATTTGAATTGGTTATCGAACATGTCTCTGCTATTCATTTCCAATTTCCAGAGCTCTGTATGAGTTGGCAAATATCCATCATCCACAAAGGGCCCGGGCTGATTTTATCCCCAACACTTGCTACAGGTACTTTCTGTCCTTGTTTTAGGGGGCAATGTTTTATCACCCTTTTGCCCCCTCCTACTAGTTTAAATACATACTAGCAAAACCTCTCAACTGCTCACTGAGAACATTTGTTCCCTTTTGCGGAAGATGCAAACCATCTTTTTTGTACAGTTCATTTCCATTCCAAATAGAGCTACCATGAAAAATTAAGCCAAATTCTTGCTCCCGACACCCTTCACCAAACCACAAGTTAAAGTCCCTAATACGCATCCGCCTATCATTCTGAGTGTTATGCACAGGCAAAACTTCAGAGAATGACAGTGTGGAAGCAACCTGTCGTATATCATTGGCAAAAACATAAAAAACGTCCTTTACCTCTGAAACCTCATTGCAAGCCAAGTCATTTGTCCCAAGATGGACAAGTACATCCAATTCCTCTTCCTGCTTTGCTTGCTTAACCATATTAAAAATAGGTCTCCTGTCTCTGCGAGCAGTAGCTCCAGGAAGACATCTCACAAGGCCACTACTGTCCAGCTCCACACATCTTATGATAGAATCCCCCAACAACAACTGCTTTCTATCAGGCCTCAACTTGTCCTTTTTGTCATTGGTTGGTTCCACAAACTTGGTGCCTGGGCCTGTATCCACAACACCATTACACTGGGTGCTTGAGCTTGTCTCCACAATACCACTACACTCTGAAAGTGCTAAAAATGAATTATGTAGAGCCACAGACTGTGCAATAAGCTTTATATTCACAACTATAAGTCTACCAGACCACAATAATACATCTGCCATTCCTAGGCTGTCTCTTTGGCAGTTGCTTTTCAACAGTCTCAGATAATAACAGATAATTTACAAATCTCAGACTTAAAAAATACAATCTCTTGCTGCAAAATAGAAAACTGTCTACAGATGAGACAGCATCCAAATCTCCAAAAAGTGGAACATGAAACAAATGTATAATAACTATTACACTGAAATAAGTCTGCCATTTTAATCAGGTTAGTAATTTAAATCAAACAAATCGAATCTTACTTTTTTTTTTCCCACCTCCTGTATACCTCGCTTACCACCAGTTTATCTCCTAAATATCTCCAAGCACACACTTTGAAGCAGCACTTTGAGTTGACAACCAAGCGATATTAGCCAACCTAATGTCCACAACCCTTATATAGCTCCTAAAAGCACCACCCCCTAGGAATGTTTAACACCTGGGTGGGCTTATGCTTATTTGCAAACAATAGCTAATTAACCAACAATCAATAGCAAACACCTAGCTAATCAAATCAAATGCCTTACCAATTACCAACAGGAAATCAAACCTTGTGCAATCAGTAACCTTTTCCTATAGCTGACTCTTAACTGTAACAGTAAACGCTCCAGAATATCTCCAAGCACACACTTTGAAGCAGTACTTAGAAGTACTTACCAAGCTATATTAGCCGAGCTAATGACCACAACCCTTATATAACTCCTAAAAGCACCACCCCTTAGGAATGTTTACCACCCGGGTGGGTCTATGCTTATTAACATTCAATCAACAGCAATTAGCAAACACGTACCTAATCAAATCAGATGACTTACCAATTACCAACAGGAAACCAAACCTTGTACAATCAAAAAACCTTTTCCTATACATGACTCTAATCTGTAACAGGTCTTAGAAAAAAAATCTTAGTTGAATAATCAGTAAAATTCTCCAGAATATCTTCAAGCACACACTTTAAAGCATCACTTAGAAGCAGCAACCAAGCTATGTCTGAATATTTCCTGAATGAACTGTATATTATCGCTAGGGAATCTATTATTAAAATTGGGATAAAATATTTCCTACGTCCCAACAGCGGGCCACTGATGCCATTGTGTCACTAGTTCTTCACAAAGGGGTGGACCTGCCCAGACAGTGGGCAAGTTAGCCAGGCTGCCAATCGAGCAAGCCAGCCAATGAGTGCAGGACTTGCAGGAAGCACTTTTTCTGTGCTCTTTGCAGGATCTTAGTGTTCTGAACGCAGCGTGATTGCAACACATTTTAGGTACAGTTCCCTGGTGTCCCACCTTTGGGGTGGTTGGAACAGGATGCTAAAATCAGCACTGTCCAACAAAAATAGGGATGGTTGGGGGGCATGCTCTTTGTTTTGTGTTTTAACCATCTTAAAAAGTGAGACCTGGGGCGTGGCTGACAACCGAACTAAACAGACATCTCTCCACAGAGCTCCGTAAAGGCCTAGTGGAAAAAGAGAAAAAGGCCACAAAAAGAGAACAATTTCAAGCCAATAATAGAGACAACCCTCAGATAGAGACAATGGGGCGCAAGCACAAAAAGCCCTACCGCTTAGAAACGCCCAAACAGCCTGATATATGGCTTTTCTTCGAGCGACCGGAACCACGCCAACCAGCAAAGATGGCGCCTGAGACCCAGTATAATACGGAGGCGTCAGAAGCCTCACAGGAGGATAGGGAGGCCTTGCCCTCGCCTAGATCCGAAGAAGCTTCCCTCAGGTCGGAGTCCGAGAAGGACGAGACACCCTCTACAAAAGGGGACATAAAGCGCCTTCTGGTGGACCTCTGGAGAGTGTGGAAAGACGACCTACAGGAAGTCCAGACCGAAGTAGGAGCAGTCCACCAAAAGGTCCGGGAGCTAGAGACGAAGGAAGCCGCCAGAGAAGTGCAGACCCAAGCTACAGATGCTAAACTGTCAGCACTTACCACACAGATGCAGCACCTGAGCAGAACGGTGCTGCATCTGGCGACGAAACCTGCGTCTCAGGGGTATCCCAGAGACGGTTGAGACCACGAAGCTCCACAAGTGGGTCCACAATATACTATCCTCCACCAGTATGCAATGCAGCCCAGACTCTCCACTGATTACATCGACGTTTAGAGTGCAGAAGTCGGCTGCAGCACCGAGTGGAGCACCCGGAGACGTTACAGCCATGACAAAGGACATATCCGTGAGAGCAGAGATACTGCAATGCTCCAGGGAGATAAGGCCAGTACCGTGGGAAGGATGCAAAGTGGCAATATACGCCGATATCCCCTTCTCGGTCCTGACAGTGAGGAGACGGCTGGCACCAATAGCCGGAAGACCACGGGGCACGTCTATAAAGTACCGCTGGGGTATGGACTGAACCCTAATAACCGACATGGGAGGTGAGAGTGTCGTACTAGCCTCACCGGACGACACACTGGGCCCTTCCTGCAGAAACTAGGCCTGTCACGCCAGCCGAGGACAGAAGACAAATACCCGGCACCCACACAAGGAGCCGCTGACCACGGGGCCGCCGCCAATACCAAAGGGAACTATAGAATTGCACCACGAAGCGGCACCAATAAGCCGTAAATGAGGACCAGAGCCAAGCACCCGACCACACACACAGTAAAGGGACTGCTCACTAGATACAAGAGACAGTTCATACAACCTGAAAAAACAAGCGGACACTTAACCCTCTGAGACAAGAAGACGAACATGAGAAATTAGAGGGAGGAATAATACTCCTAAACTATGTATGAGACCCCATCTGTGTGCTCATTGTTAACATGAACACTCACACTACCTTTTATACACTGGTTAATATGTATGCTATTATGTATAACTTAATAAAATACAAATATAAAAAAATGGTTATGGAAGCTAAATTATGTATCAGAAAACTGAAGGCAGAGGCATACAGGATTTTATACATGCAAGGCAACATATACCTACCCTATGATAAGACAGAGTGGTAAGTAGTGTAATGACTGCAGAAAAACCTGCAGCTATTAAGCACATGATGGAGAGACAGGGAACTCCTAGCACCATAACCTATGCAAGATTCATGTTGTTTGGAGTGTCCCATCAGCCATGTTGTTTTTCAGCTACATCTAATTTGCTAAGGTGTTGCATGTTCACTAGCACCAGAAATAATCAATCTCAACGCCACTTGTAATTTATAGACTCATACAGAAGCACCAATCACCTTTATGACATCTTTTCCCTGCACTGTTAGTCTTATATCCCTGCTTCCAAGTTTGCAATGAATATCTCTGGCTTGTGTTCCAGGAGGCACGTGAACTTCAATAAAAACTTCCTCCATGGTTTGGTACCAGCAGCCCCAAGGAGTTGTACATGACACTATGCCACTTCTCTCTTCAAAATTAGCTGACATGACTGGCAGAGGCTGTGAATAAAAATTTACAAGAAAAGCATTAGGAAAATAAAAGCACCGAACACACTTAGATTGTCAAAATTGTACTGACATTGTATAGGAGATGGATATATTTGGTTTAATTTTTTCCGCTAGTATTAATTCTTTTGGTGTAAGAGGGGTGAGGATAATAACGTCTAGGAATTATTGCCAGTGCTGTCACTTCTATTCAGTATATATCTTTAACATTAGAAGGGCACTCCAGACCCCTGAAGTAAAGAGTGGCAAAACAGTTTAATCCCTCAAGGAAGGAAATTGCCCAACATAAAACCGTAAATGAGCTTAAGTTGTTAAGAGGGTGGGAGTGTACGTTCAATGACAAAACCAAAGTTAAAAATGCAGTGTTGGTAATCAAAATGTGAATTGTTGGGAATTCAAACAAAATTTTAAAAATTTGGCCAAAATAAAACAATTGAAAAAAAAAAAATAATATCTTTCTATAAAAATTTAAAAATCACTTTAAATTCCTGGCAATTAACATTTATATTGGCTGGTTAGAGCAGTGGCAATGTCACTGCCTTAAAACTTGGGCAATACACCAACCGATACACACCTGCCTACCTCAAATCCTCATCAATTGTTAGCTTGTTTGAGCAAGGCATTATTTGCCTCTAAATATCCCCTTTATAAAATTGTAAAGTGCTGCATAATATACTGGAACTATATAAATAATAATGGAAAATAACTGTAAAAATCACGACCCCAGTGCCTTTTTCACAGATAGTTCCACATTCTGCTGGAAGGTGAAGGAATCGAGGAGACCAAACGTAACTGAATTTTAGATGCTATCACTAAAAGACAATAGTCATTTTTTAATGGGATCTATTACATGATTATTAACTTACACAATGTGAATATCTGGAATGAATGCTATCTAAAACAGTTATAATCGAAATTCTTTAACCCCCATAGACAACCAGGTTTATTGTCAAATTTCACTTTCAGCTGTTTGCAATTAACAAATCAAACAAAAGTATTTGAAATAGCTCAACTCAACGCATGCTTCAAGTAATTTTTCCAAATTCAACTAAAAATGAAACTTATAACTCAAAATTATTCAACCCCCTGAATATAAGCCCTCCCAAAAGCACAAATATGCAAACCAGTTGTTGTCTCAAGCACACCTGATGCAACTAATCAAAGGCTTCATTAGTTGCACCAGGTGTGCTTGAGCTGGAGCACTTGAAATACTTGAACTGGCTAGGGGTTTGTTGAGTGTCACGTTTGACTGCATTTTAGAAATATGGCTAAGTCAAAAGCATGGTCCACAAAGAGAAGAGATCATCGTCTTTCATAAACAAAGTATACAAGAAGATAGAAAAGTCACTGAATGTTCCTAGAGACACTGTTGGAAGCATAATTTGCAAGCTCAAAGTGAAGCTCTCAATGGCTGCAACCCCTGCAGCAATAGAGTGACTGCAAAAGACCTGCAGCAAAACCTAGTGGCAACAGGCACTGATTTTTCAGTGGACACAGTAAAACAAGTACTAAACGCAGAAGGTTTCCATGCCAACGCCAAGATGTAAACCACTACTGAACCAAAAGCACAAGAAAAGTCGTTTTCAATATGCTAAAAACACTATAAAACAAACCATGGAAGATTGGGGATTCTTTTCTGTGGAGCGATGAAACAAAACAGGAACTTTTAATCTAAATGGATCAGCGGTATGTCCTGGAGGAAGAAGAATGAGGCACTCTGTCTACAGTTAAGCGTGGCTCATGATGCTCTGAGGCTGCTTTGCATCCACTGGCACTGGAAACCTGCAGCATGTGAAAGGCAAGATGGATTCACTGAAGTATCAGGAAATCGTAGGAGAAAACGTCATGCTATCTGTGAGGAAGCTAATGCTTGGCCGTCATTGCACATTCTAACAAGACAATGATACAAAGCATACTTTAAATGCCACTAAGGATTGGTTGCAGAAGTCGTCGTAGAAAATTCTAAAGTGGCCATCACAGTCACCTGACTTGAACCCCATAGAAAATCTCTGGTGGGATTTGAAGAATGGGGTTGCAGCACGCAAACCCAAGAATATTACTCAACTGAAGGACATTGCTCATAAGCAATGGTCTAAGATTCCTCAGGAATGCTGCCAGAAGCTGGTGTCTGGCTATGCATGTCGTTTGCAGCAGGTCAAAAGAGGAAAAAGGTGCTCTACTAAGTACAAAATATGCTTATCATTAAGAGGTTGAATAATTTTGAGACTGTAGAAGTGAATCTCCATTTTCAGTTGAATTTGGGGAAGTCACTTGAAATAGCTCAACACAATGAATGCTTCAATTGCTTTTGTTTGATTTGTTCATTGCAAACAGCAGAAAGTCTGTAAATTTTGACAATAACCCTGATTTTCAATGGGGGATGAATAATTTTGATTACAACTCTACAACCTAATGGTGTTACAGTAACCAGGAGCAATCATAATACCTGCAGGTGGGTAATCTGATATTTTATACGTCTCCAGAACTCTAATAAGCGTTCTCCGCATAACAATGTTGGCAAAGCTTGTCAACCCTTTACGCATACTACAACAAGGCAGTGGGATGAGATCTATGGTTGCAACCTTCCTTGGAAAACCACTAGCCATGCCAATTTGCATAATTACATATGCTTGACATCACAGGACATGACGTCACGCAAATATAATGTAACGTAAGAGGGGAGGGAACATGCTGAAAAGTTCCATTATCAATAAAACCAAGAAAAATGACCTCCAAATGTGTGTACTATGTATATAATATAGTGCATTTTGAATGTATTCAGACCCCTTCATTTTTTTAATTTATTTTTTTATGTTGCAGCCTTATGCTAAAACTGTGGCTGGAGGGAAAAACACATCAAAATCTACTTGGAATTTGCAAAACAAAGTTGCTATAGTTGATGAAAGTAACAGTTTAGTAGGCACAAAATCTGTCACCCTACCCCCTTCAAGTGCTTACATGGGCATTGTATTGTGGCAAGGTATTTTCATGCTGTCTTATGTGGTCTGCACTTTTACCATGCATATCATTTTTCTACAATAAATTAATCGGACATCATGAAGAACTTTCCTCTGTATTATATATCTCAATAAATACAAGAACTTGACAATTTTGTTTGGAATATAGGAGCCAACTAAAAATATTAATAGCCAGTATTTTCTAAACTAACAAAGTTTATTTTCAACAATACAAATTCAACTCTTAAAGGGAAACTATAGTCACCAGAACCACTGCAGCTCAATGTAGTAGTTCTAGTGTCTATAGCCTGTCCCTGCAGGCTTTTCAATGTAAACACTGCCTTTTTAGAGAAAGGGCAGTGTTTATATTGCTGCCTTGGGACACCCCAATGTATCTATATGAGGAGATGCTGATTGACACAGGCAACTAAGCATTGGCTTAGCTGAGGTCATAAAGATTGATTATCTCAGCCATGGAGACTGGGCCAGCTGCGGCAAAACCGACACGGAGTAGGAAAAGAAGGTGAGTAAAACAACGTTCCCATGCAATTGGAGAGGGCAGGTCACTAAACAGACAAACACTGTCAGACATACATACACACTGACAAACATTTTCTCATACACACACAAATTAATATTTTTATTTATGTCCACCCAACCTCCCTACCTTTGGGAGAGTTAAGTGGATCTTTCCCTTGGGGTCCAGTGGGGCTCCTGTGATCATCTTCCTGCAGTTCCTCTCTGCTCCCCTGCACGCTTTTTGTATATTCTGGCTCCCGGCATTTCTAAACAACACACAAGCAGAGGGGAACTGCACATGGCTTCCTAATTCCCCACTTTAATGCTACCCTGGGTGGCCAACTTCACTAAAGAGCTGCCATTACAAAATTTCTAGTCAGCATAATGACCTAGCGCCTGGGATTTGTCAAGCCATCATGTATACCCTGTAGAGTGAGCTTATAAGAAATACTGTACCTTTTTTTTTTTCTTTTCAACTTTTGAATGTCAACAACAGGTAGGAGTAAGCGACTCCTTTTTGTAAATGTTGCTTTTGCATATTGCTGTCAGGGAATGCTGCCAATAGAATGAGACAGCATCTGCAACGCCTGGTGGCGCGAGTCCCAGCAACATGGACAAAATACTCATATTGGCTGTTGGAACTTCATAGAAATTCCAACCTATTTAAAAGATATACTGAAACAAAAAAGAGACAACATTGTCCCAATATTTTTCCTGCGCCTGACACTTCTTGACACTGGAACTACCGATGCCTAGAGGTGTCAATCCCCAACTGTCACCAGTGACGGCTGCTGGGAATTGGCTCTAACTATGTAGAATACCACGGGAACCTACATAGATCTCAATGCACTACTTTAGCAAATGCGCGAGACAGTTGGGACATCCTCATGCCAGTTGTCAAAGTTCAAAAGTTGTGAACAAAAGTACAATATTTCTTAAAAGTGTGCTCTACAAGTAATCCACAGAGATATATTATACACAGGAAAGATAACTTTATGAAATACTCCTTTTTCTGGCGTGACAGTGCTGCTTTAAAGGACAACTGTCACTTCAAAACTACTTTTATTATAATAATCCTTTCATCAAGTTAATATTTAATTTTACACACACACACACACACACACAAATACATACATATCATCCCATACCTTTAGTTTATGATAGGATTCTTCAACCATATACATGCACCTTTGGTCAAACAGTGTTTGAAAATTTACAGATTTTACTATTAACATGACGTAAAGTCATGATTTTATTAATGACACGGAGGCGAGTATTATGCTGCACTCTTTCTTTATTTACCTCAGCAGCAAAGAAAAATAACATTAAATCAGTATAAAAGAAACCAGTAAATAACATGAGGTATATCTTCCTAGCAACAGCAACAGCCAATCAGCATCCTCTTTATAGCATAATAGGCAGTGTCCAGTATACTACTTCCTCTTTCTTGCGATCCCGAACAAGGACAACAAATCCAAATAAAAAGTGGGCTCCAATTAGAGGGTATACAAGCCTTAAACTGGATCTCGAAGTCAAGCTGGAAGAGAAAAGAGAATATGGTAATATCCAAGTATAAAACTGGATTTATGCATAAATTCGCATTACATGAAATATCAGATATATATATACACATAACATGAAATTCAGTTTAGTCAAACCTTAAGCTCTTGACAGTCATTAACAAGGATAAAACCCAGTAATCAAAAAAGACTTACCGTGAAGTCAACTTACCCAGAGAAGACCAAATCTCCAGGGATGGGAGGGAGGGATAATACTCGCCTCCGTGTCATTAATAAAATCATGACTTTACGTCATGTTAATAGTAAAATCTGTAAATTTTATTAAGACATGGAGGCTCCTATTATGCTAGTTCAAAGCTGTGAAATTATGTCTCCTGTGAAGTGTTGAATAGGTCTAAAGTAGAAATCATGGAATGTAGACTCCGAAGACCAGCCGCTCTCATAATATCCTCCAAGCGACAACCAATCGAGGAAGCCTTAGAAGCCATTGCCCTACGAACCGAATGAGGCACAGACACATAGGTATCAATACCTGCTAGAGACATAACGTATTTGACCCACCAGGCTAGAGTAGACACCGGAAGATGCGACTTTTGGATGGAGATAAAGAGTTCCTGTTTCAAAGGATTCTGTAATGTAGTAGAACGATGTTCACACACCCATTAGTATGCAACAGGGCAAAGGAGAGATCTATCAGGGAAAACTGGGTAAGATAGATTTTAGAGGAGGTTTTTGTCCTCCGTGAAAAGTCAAAGAGGACACCTTCTGGAGTAAAGGAACAAGCAACCACCTCACGAGCTCGTATGTCAGAAAAACCTCTTGAAAAAAAAAAAAAAAAAACATTCAAGACAATAGAGACGTCCCACAAGACAGAGTATCGTGGTAAGGGTGAATGAGCAAACCATATTCCTCAGAGAAGTCAATATATGACAGGATGTCAACCGACAGGCGTCCAATCAAAACTTTGATGGCCAGCAGAAATGGTCCACAGTGCGATAGGCTTTACCTTCATCATAGAAGTCAGAAAAATGGAGGACAGACATAAAAGGAGCCGATATGGGATTTAAATTTAATTTCATGCACCAACTATGCCATCTGCTCCAAGCAGATTTATAAGCCTGTCTCGTGTTGGGTGCACCCTTGATAAGTTGGGGAGTTGATTGCGAAACTCCCTTGACCGACCAAGGTTCCCTGAAATAGACTACACTATGAGATGCAAGAGACCTTGGAGAACAAGAGGATGAGGTACACCATCTGGATCCTGAAGAAGGCACTTGAGAGATGGAAGGTCGATAACATCTCCTGAAGAAAAGAGAACTATGGTTGGGACGGCGATAGAGGAGCCACGATCAACAGGTGCCGGACTGGCGATGTAGATGGAAAGGCAAAAAATCATAATTCCTTGGAGAAAACATTCATAGCCAGTGCTATCGGATCTGGTCTCCAACTGAAAAAACGGGGAAGTTGAGCATTCAAATGAGAAGCGAAAAGATCTATTTCCAATAGACCCCATAGGTTCCAGATGTCTTGGAAGACCATGGAATCCAAGTGCCAGTCGCTGGAATCTCCGAGTTGGCGTGAATACCAGTCCGTCGTAGTGTTGGAGAGACCTTGAATATATTCTGCCGTGACTGAAATGCCGTGTCTCAGGCAAAATTGCCGGCAATCACGAGGCATGTAGGTCAGAATTTTGTATTTTGTGCCTCCAAGTGATTGATGTAGCGGACTGCTGTCACGTTGTCCATCTTCAGAAGGATAGCGCATTGGGCTTGAGTTGGGGAGAAACTATGGACTGCAAAGGAACCGGACAGATGTTCCAAACAATTGATGTGGAATGTTGATTCCAGGTTTGATTCTCTGCCCTTGGAGGAAATAGTACTGCATTGAGCACCCCAACCGTGCAAACTTGCGTCGGATTTGATTATCAAATCTGGAGCTGTACAAAATATGGTGTGCTTATTCCAAGCTTCCATGTGAAGAAGCCACCATTGGAGTTCATTCTCCGCTTCTGAGTCCAGAGTTACCATATCTGTGTATGATGTGCTGCCCTTGAGATGAAGTTTGTAATCGTTGTAGGGCTCGATAGCCAAGAAGACCTGTAGAAATGGCCTGTATAGATGCCGCTAGAAGGCCTAACATTCTCAACAGTTGTTTGAGAGATTGCTAGTGTTCGCCTATCTCCTTCTTTATATTGGCTAATTTTGCCACCGGAGGGTGTAGAGTTTGAAGGGTAGAAGCTACAATAATCCAATATAACCCAGAAATTTTATTTGTTGCGTGGGAACGATAAAAGATTTCTCCCAATTGGTCAGGAAGCCTAGGTTCTCTAACAGATTCAAAGTCCATGTAAGGTATGTCCGGATTAATTGAATAGACTGAGCCAGAATGAAAATGCCATCTAAATATATTATAAGATGTGAGCTTGGTGAAGCACCATGGAGCCGAAGACAGTCCGAATGGGAGGCACCTGAACCTCTATTTACTGCCCTACCATGTAAATTGCAGGAAGTTCTCGATCTTGATGTTGTACTGGGATAGGCACTGTGAGATATGCATCCTGCAGATCCAATTTGGCCATCCAATCTGCTGGTTGGAGAAGATCCCTTAAACAATGCTCTCCTTCCATCTTGGAAGTGCTGATATGCTCATAACTATTGAGCAGTCTCAAATTTATCACTGGACGGATACCTTTGCCTTTTTTGGGAAACAAGAAAAGGTTGCTCACGTAACCCAGGGTATGCGCCAGAATCTCTACAATTGATTGTCCACAGAGACAAGGTCTGTGTCTCATTGGGAAAAAACAATTTCCCTTGATGGGGAACATTGAACAAGTAGAGAAAGGAAGTCTATGCAATACCCTTTCACAGTGTGAAGAACCTAAGCATCTGATGAAATGAGGGATCATACATGGGAAAAATGTGTGAGCCTGCCCCCCACTATCAGTAAGAAAGAATGGAAATTGTGAAGACGTCTTAGGAGCACCTCTTAGGCCACTAACAATCCAGGGTCGGCCACTTTGCGAGAAGGAGGTTGGTATAGTGCATTGTTCAAAGAAATCGGCTCTGCAAGTATAAGAGCCTTGGTTCTGTCTAAAACAACTTCTGTTTGTTTAGCAGGACAAAGGAGCCCAATTCTTTTACAAAGTTGTCCCCAAAGAGAAAACCTTTTGCCTGTGTTATCTGGTTCGTTCAAAGCCATAGTTAAACGTTTGGGCTCAATCTTGAGCAAGATCGATTTGTGGCGTTCCATGACAACCGCATTGTTGGCGTTGCCAACTTAAATTACTCTCTGGATCTAACCACTTAAGATGGCGCAATCTAATTCTAGATCATCCTCCACTGCTTCAAAGATCTTGGCTGCTGAGCCCAAGATGCCCAGGATTTTATCCTGACAGTTTTGCAATGAAAATCTAAGCCTTTAAATGGCTTCCATCCGGTCTTACACAGGAATTGAATGATTTTAGGATTGACTGATAGCGTTTAACATGAGTCATCAGGGACTGTTCGGTGTGGCCATTCAGCCCGCAATTTATTTCACTTTGCCTTCTCAAAAGGCTTGCGTACTCTGGATGCAATATACTTGGCTACATGGTCTGAGGAGACCACTGGGTGACATAGGTCATCAGGTTCGAATAGGGGTTCACATTGAGTGTCCAAGATCCTATCGGTGTCCCTGAGTCCGCATAATCTACCTAAATCTTGGTAGGTTTAACAGGACGTGTATCCCAAATGGGATTAGCATCCTCTTCATCAGTAATTTCATAATCAGGATCAGAAATATCCTCTGAATCCTTCATATAGGACCCAGGGAACTCCTCCTCAATATCACTGAGCTCAGATTCAGAGTTCAGTTGGGCTTTTGCCCTTTTCCAGTCTAGTCGATTTTGCCCGACTAGTAGCTCTTTTGCGCGGTGGTAAATTAATCGCGCCATCCGTGACAGGTATGGAACTGTCCATCTCTATTGTTTTGGAGGAGTGTTTAGCCTTATATGAGGCCTTGCGGCCAGGCTGAAGCAGAGCAGGTGTGAGTACAGGTACACCTCCATATAGAACTCGGTGAACTTCTCCTCAATATCACTGAACTCGGATTCAGAGTTTAATTGGGCTTTTGCCCTTTTCCAAAGTCTAATCAATTTTGCCCGACTAGTAGCTCTTTTGCGCAGTGGTAAATTAATCGCGCCATCCATGACAGGTATGGTACTGTCCATCTCTATTGTTTTGGAGGAGTGTTTAGCCTTATATGAGGCCTTGTGGCCTGACACCAGGGCCTTGTCATTGCTTTTGCCATGGAAGTGTCAATTAAAGCCTGCATGTCAGCAGGATCGGTAAAGCAGAAATTCAGCCTCATCTCCAGAGATACCTGGAGAGGCTTCTACATTAATCTGCCTGTTTGCTGTAGACCCAGAAGGCACAGAAAGATCATGTCAGACTGCATCATAAATATACAAACAAACCTAAGGGGATGAATAAAACAAAATAATACCAAAAGGAAAGGGTTGAGTAACCCTCAAGTAAAAAATAAAGAAATAACTAAACAGGATAAAGAAATGAAAGTACTCACAATAGTGAAAAGAAATAGCAATTGTAATATAAAAACAAAGGAGCTGCCCGGCTGCCACTACAACTAAACCCCAACTTGGATTTCTGGCAGTTGGTGGCAGAGCAGCAGCCAAACAGATAAATTAAGGGGAAAAAAAGCACAATGGCACTATTCAGGGGATAAAGATCCTCAAAGACGTCCCTGAGCCCCAATTGATGGTAATCTTGGGGCCAGGGAGGTCAGAGGGGAAATACATTATCAAAGGATATATAATAAAGCATATAACAGACGCAAATGAAGTAAATAAATCAAATTACGATAAAATGAAGTAACTAAATATGTATAAACATGAAAATATTATAATTAAAATGTAATAACTATAATAACTATATTAACCACAGTAATGATATGAATAAAGTAAAGTAAAAGATCCCACAGTTAAGAACCATGGGACCCAGAGTCACTTAACTGAGGTAGCAGCAAAGAAAGAGGAAGTAGTATACTGGACACTGCCTATTATGCTATAAAGAGGATGCTGATTGGCTGTTGCTAGGAAGATATACCTCATGTTATTTACTGGTTTCTTTTATACTGATGTTATTTTTCTTTGCTGCTGAGGTAAATAAAGAAAGAGTGCAGCATAATAGGAACCTCCGTGTCTTAATAAAATCGACAGTCTCTGTGGTCACTCCCTGTACCGAAGCAGGAAAGAGCAAAGAGACTTTATACTTTTTCAAACAGTGTCGAACCCAAAGTGCATGTATATGGCTGAAGAATTCTGTCATATACTAAATGTTGCAATGAGGTTTTTTCCCCTCTTTTTTTTTAAAATAATAATGATACTATTTTCTTTCAAAACTTGATAAAAGGATAATAAAAAATAGTTTTATATTTATCGTTGTACTTTGAGGCAGCTCTATAAACTTGATGATGACTGCTCCGCTTGTAGTGGCCGTAATGTGCAGGAGAAGGTAGTGTTTAACTAACCTGAACCTATCCTACGCGGCAGATGCCATCTTCTTCCATGAGCTCATCTTTAGCTCCTGGTGCTTCATCTGCCAGGAGCCAATGTTAGTGCTGTACTCTCATGCATGCTCAATGAGAAACCTGACTGGTCTTCTCCCCATCACAGACTGAAAGTCTGGATTGGGGAAATAGAAGAGGATTTGCAAAGATCCCAGACATGAAATATGTAGCTTAGCAAGCTGTTTTTAGCTATATCCCAAATGAAAAGGGGGAAAATGCATAAATACATGTATATTTTTGTTGTGGGAACATCTACAAAATAGCGATTTTAAAACATTCTCCCATATTGTTCCTTAAAAAATTGTCATAGACTGTTGTTTGATGTCCGTGATAATCCTATAAAATGAGCTGGAATGGGAGAATAATAAAAACAAAAACACTGCAAGTAACAGGAGACACAACTTGTATCCAAATTAAGATACCGGACGTTGCATTGCCGGCATTTTAATACTGCCGGACAGGTGGCAACCCTAACATTCGCTAGATGTAACTACAGAAAAAAAGTATTCCTTATTTTATTTATTTTACCCCAAATTCTGCTAATCACGGGCTATTATTCTGGAAACGCTTTCAATTACATCCGGGTTACCAGAATTAACATCTCGCGAGAACGCCATCTTTCTATCCGAAATTATAGAGGCGTTGCTCTTGAAATTGACGTAAGCTAAGCTACGGGGCTGTTATTGGCTGAGCAGCTTTCTTCAACCCAAACTCTTGCAGCTCATTGGTTTGTTCCCCTGTGGCCTGTCGGGAGCCGCTTTGCTATTGGCTAATAAACTAAAGTGTCGTTTTGAAATAGGTGGCCGGGACGCGCATTGCATATATGTAGCAGTTATTTTTTTTATATAGTTTATTTAAAAGTGGTTTTATGTGAAGCCATGTCTTTCCCGAAAGCTCCGCTGAAACGGTTTAACGAACAAATAGGTATGTATTACCGCACAACCTGTATGTAGCTGCTCAATGTAAAGTTTCACTGTATTGATAACAAGTCTGTCTGGCTCAGCATTGTGAGAAGAGTAGTCCACATCAGCTGGAGAGCTGAAGGATAGCCTCTTAGTGCACTGTAGGGTCTAATAAGACATAATTCACTCCCATATTATTGTCTCATGCTTTTAGTTTCCATAGGGCAGCAAATTATCACACCTGGAAATCACAGGCATTGTTCGACTAAGATGGTTTATTCTTTGAACTCAGAATTGTAGTAAAGTTTAGACAAATTTGTAGTTGGTCTGCAAAAGTTCTCCAACTTGGCTGTGGTTCCAGCTTGGCTATTTCATTCTCAGTGCTGCCAATTAAGAGTTAGACTTTCTCCAAACAAGCATCATAATCCAGCTGCAGCAGTCAAGATGTGAGGAGTACCCTAACCCTGTTTCCTGGTAATTAGGCAAACTGTCTTGCAATTCTTTGCCCTCTTACTGGTCCTGTTGGGCAACTGGTTTATTTTAAGGCAAGCTTTGACATGCATTTGGCTGACCTTTCTTAGCCAATTATTTCAATTCTGTGCATAGGAATATTCAGAGAATTGACTTTAGTGATAACACCCCAGTGACCCTGCCAAAGGTGGAATTATACCACCTACAGCAGAGGGGTTAATCCTGGTGAAATGCTGCACAGACTCCAATGGTACCATGACCAGTTCAAATCAGTGGTTAATGGTGCATTGAGTAATGCCCCAAACTGTGCAGCGGCGTCCCACACAGCCTGTCACTTCCTCCCAGCATCCTGCACGGAGACAGTGGGAGGTAGAGGAGGAAGTCTCAGCGTGAGGGGAGAAGAGCTCCTTGTACATACGGTAAGGTGTGTGTGTGTGTATATGTATATATGTGTGTGTGTGTGTGTGTGTGTATGTATGTATGTATGTATGTGTATATATATATATATATATATATATATATATATATATATATAGTGTCTGTGTGCATGTACAAACCTGAGTATGTGTTTTTTTGTTTTTTGTTTTTTTTTATGTCCGTGTGTATCTGTGTCATGGAGTGGGCATGTATCAGTGTTTGTTTGTACCAGGGTGCATGTGTCGGTGTATTTATATGCATCTGTGTGTTTAATGTACATGAATATGTATGTGCATACATCCAAGCAGTCAAACACCAGCACAACATACAAGCACACTCCTGCAATCTAACACATATTACCTACAAACACACCCCTTCACTCAAACACAAATACTTCACACAAATGTACATTCACATTTAAAAGTGAACATTACATTCAGACTCATCACTGCAATCAAACATCACATACAAACACACTCTTGCATTAACCCTTTCCCGACCGCAGACGGAAATTTTCCGTCAACCTTGTCCTTCAGTTAAGGACCGTTGATGGAAAATTTCCGTCATTTACTAAGGTTAACCCCAGATCGCGGGGTTAGCGGTGCTCCAGTCTGCCTCTGTATTAGAGGCAGACCGGGAGCACCCGATCGGGCTGCCCCAGCACCGGTGCTCGCTCTGACAGGCTGTCAGAGCGAGCACATGTGCTCAGTGTGCCTTCCGCCTCCCTGCACTTCCGGGTTCTGTGTTACGTGCAGGGAGACGGATCAGAGCTGATCCTCTTCTCCCTGTGTAAAAAATAAATAAATAAATAAATAAAATAAAGTTAAATCTCTCTCTCCCTCCCCTTTCTCCTGCTTTAATAAAATTAACCCCTTCCCTGCCATTTGATCACTGACTACAGTGATCAATTGGCAGGGTATACATTTTAATGGCATTTGTTTTTTTGTTTTTTAACCCTCAGGGGTTAAATTTATTTTATTAATTTAAATTATTATATGTTTAGCTAGCTGGGATGGGTGAACGTTAGTGGGGAATTGAGGAATTTGGTGTTAGGCTAACTAGGGGTTAACATTAAAAAAAGTTTAAAATAAGTTTTAAAAAGGTAAAAAAAAGTTTTAACTGTTTTAGTAAGGTTTAAGTAAAAACAAAAACACCACCCCCCTTTACCCAGTCTAAATAAAAATTAACCCCTTCCCTGCCAGATGATCACTGCCTACAGGGATCAAAATACAAATCACCGTATTATACTGTAATCTAATTTCTTTTAACCTCTGAGGATTAATTTTTATTTTTTAACCCTCAGGGGTTCAATTAATTTAATTAATTTAAATATTTTATAATATTTTTTGCTAGCTTGAGTGGGTGGGAGTTATGGGATGGGGGGAATTTAGTTAGTGCTGCTTACTGCTAGTTAGGGGTTAATGGTAAAAGAAAAGTTTAGAAAAAAATGTAAGTTTAAAAAAAGGTAAAGTGTAAAACATTTAATAAGTAAAAATAAAAGTTTAAAAATGGGTTTTACAAAGTAAAAAAATACATTAAAAAAATGCTCATTACCACATTACCAAAATATACTGTGCAAACTCACTTTGTGTGTCAAAGGCAAAAAAACGCTTATTACCACTACACTTGGTACAAGCTAGCGGAAAAATTATCCCACGCTAAGGTTCAAAATATGCCTTTTGAAATACCCTGGGATGTGTTCTTTAAGAAATGGTATGCCTTTATGGTGTAGTTGTAATATGTAGCCAGCTCAAGTGCTCCAAAGTGGGACACGGACGCATCAAAACCCTCCATGAAAACTCACACTTAAAAACTTTAAAGGGAAACCGTAGGCACTGTATCTGCTTCATCTCATTAAACTGGTTATAGTGTATGGAGTCCCCTGGTGCCATCATTTCTTTCAGCATTAAACAGTTTTTAATGTTGCAATATTTTAATGCTAAACAAGAGACCACGGCAGTCCATCCCCTCTGTGCTGCTTTGGCTAATAAGGAAATATTACCCAGAGCAGCAATGAGCAGCTGTGATTGGCTGAGAGTGTCAGCTGACTGCTTTTAACCTGTCAGAGCTCCAACTGACGGTATGAATGGGTATGACAACAAGGAAGTGTGTAATCTCTGCCTTAGCTACACATACAGAAGGGGCCGGACTGTGGGTGGCCAGGGACTCTTATTTTGTGGCATACTGCACAAACCTGGTGCAACACTGAATGGAGGGACAATGCACTCCAGGCACTATAACCAATTCAAAGAGACAAAGTGGTTATAGTGACTACAGTGTCCCTTTAACTTGTCACGTCTCTTTTACAGCAGTGTAACTTCACAAAATAGTGTCTAGGTCAGTGATGGCGAACCTATGGCACGCGTGCCACCGGTGGCACGCCGGGCCCTTTCTGTGGGCACGCGGCCACAGGTTCGCCATCAATGCAGAGTAGGCACCTGCCTGCCCGAAACGGCAGGCGTCTACTCTGCTTCCGGGTCGGGAGGCAGGGGGAGGGATCTGTGATGCAGCTCCCCTGTCCTCCCGCGTGATGCTGTGTGTAGCGTTGCCGCGCGTTACCATGGCAACACTCCACACAGCATTGCGCAGGAGGACAGGGGAGCTGCATCACAGATCCCTCCCCCTGCAGTGCTTACCACCACCGGACCACCAGGGATGGCTGTGTCCCCCTCCCCCCCCAACTTCATTAAAGGTAAGAAGGAGGGGGGGGGTATACTGACACACAGTACCCCTACCCCCCCCCAGCACACAGTACCCCCCACACACAGTACCCCTACCCTCCCCAGCAGTACCCCTACCCCCCCGCAGCACCCTTACACATACAGCACACACACAGCACCCCTCACATACAACACTCACACACACAAGCACCCCCCACCTCAATGCAGTGTGTGTGTGTATTCAGCAGTGTGTGTGTGTGTATTCAGCAGTGTGTGTGTATTCAGCAGTGTGTGTGTGTGTATTCAGCAGTGTGTGTGTGTATTCAGCAGTGTGTGTGTGTGTGTGTGTGTGTATTCAGCAGTGTGTGTGTGTGTGTGTATTCAGCAGTCTGTGTGTGTATTCAGCAGTCTGTGTGTGTGTATTCATCAGTCTCTGTATTCAGCAGTCTTGTGTGTGTGTGTGTGTGTGTGTGTGTATGTATTCAGCAGTCTGTGTGTGTATGTATTGCATTTGTTGGAGATACTAATAAATATAAGCTTAATTTTATCTATTTATATCATTATTTAAAATTTGTATCATTGAACTCTGTGTTCTTTTAAAACAAAAGTTATTAGTTCGGACAACAGTACGAGTTGTTTTTTCTAAACTTAAACCTCAGTATTTGGGTTTAATTGCCGTGTTGGCACTTTAAGGAGAAAAAAAGTTGGCATGTATTGCGGTTTTGGCACTCGGGCTCAAAAAGGTTCACCATCACTGGTCTAGGTCATACATTGGGCATATTGTTTTACTCAGAAGACTTAGCTGAGCATAATTTGGGCGGTTTGAACTTAGTGGCACATATGAAATGTACAAAATGCCCAGCAAAAATGTAATCCGTATGTAAAAAAAAAAAAAATGCCCAAAATTATTTTTTACCACATACTTTGGCATATATTGGTGAAAAAATGGGGGCATGCTAAGGCACAATATGCACCATATGAGATATCCTGGAGTGTCTACCTTTACAAATGGTAGGCCTTTGTGGGTTTTTTTTTTTTTTTTTGAAACAGTCAAACTGCTGTAATACCACAAATTGAAGCATAGGCCTATTAAATCTGCCTCTCAAAATTCTACTGTAAATGTTGAAACGGACAGGTCTCCTATATGGCACTGTAGCTTCACGAAATAGTGCCAAAGACATACAATGGGGGTATCGTTGTACTCAGCAGATGTAACTGAACACAAAATAAAACTTTGTTCAGGAATAGCACACACCAACTTTACAAAATACACATGAGATGTTCTTTGTTATAAGCTTGTGTGCCAAAAATCACAAAAAAACTAAATTTTACTACAATATTTAGCAAAGATTGGCAGTGAAATGGCTACGTAGAAAGTGTGAAAACAACCTTAGGACAATAGCTTGTGATATCTACTGTATATAAATATATACTTTTGTGTGGCAATTTTGTTTTCTTTTATGGCTATTAAGCTTACAAGACAAACATACCAAATTCTAAAATCGCTCCACATTAAAAGTTTATTTTACTCCTTGTGCTTTGTGACCTGAAACTACCAAAAAAAACTTAAAATCCCAGATACAGTATATATTCTGTAAATCAGAACTAAATTAATTTATTTTTAATTACTTTCTTTAACCTGCACTAATTAGGCACACATTATTATTGCAAAAACTGTACAAAAAAACACAAATGTATACAAGCACCCTTTCAAACACCAACACTGTACATTACACTATAGCGCCAGTAAATGCGGCAGCGCTGTACAGATATACAACCTAGAAATGTTGACTTGGGGTGCCTTGGAAAAATACTGAAATATTAAGGGCGCCTTGAACCTAAAGTTTGGGAACCACTGAAGGAACCCATAAATTTGTTACAATTCAGTTAGTGAGAAAGTTCCTTGTGTATTCCCTATTTTGGCTAACTATGGGTTTTCAAATTTTAAGGAAAGGTTAGCTGGAAAATTTTATTTTGTTTTATATGAAAGGACCACTATAGTCACCAGCAGAGTTAATTTGGTCGACTAACAATTTTCGCCGAATAAAACAAACAATTCAGATTACTAAAATATAAATAAAAGTAAAATTCAATTAGTTTTAGTCAAAAGATTGACTAAAACTAATTGAAATGTGCTGCTAAAACTAACTCTGCACAAAGGGGCGAAAGACACATCCAGATGGGCTGGGGAAGGTGCAAAAGAGACAGAGGCTTTAAGCCCTTAAAGGGACATTATAGTCACCAGAACAACTACAGCTTATTGCATTTGTTATGGTGAGTAGAATCATTACCTTCAGGCTTTTTGCTGTAAACACTGTGTTTTCAGAGAAAATGCAGTGTTTACATTACAACCTAGTGATCACTTCACTGGCCACTCCTCATATAGCTGTTTAGAGATCCTTCCTGGGTCAGGCCGCCTAAAATGCATCCAAACATTTAGTATCTCCTCCCTCTGCATGCAGACACTTAACTGTCCTCATAGAGATTCATTGATTCAATTAATCTCTATGAGGAGATGCTGACTGGCCAGGGCTTGTGTTTGAATCATGCTGGCTCTGCCCCTGTTATGCCTCTTTGTCAGTCTCAGCCAATCCTATGGGGAGGCATTGTGATTGGATCAGGCTACTACTTCTGATGATGTCAGCAGACTGCTTTTTTTTTTTTTTTTTTTTGGGGGGGGCAAACCGCATGCAGATCTAAAGCTTCTGGCTTGAATACAGTAAGATTTTGGTGGATGTGTTAAGGACACATCTTCAGAAGTTTGTCTTACTCTGAAGGACACAAGCAATTTTTGCATTTTTTGTTGTTTGTGTTCGACTGCAATTTGCATCTCTTTTTTAGTGTACCAACACATATTATATCCTGTTTTTTTAGACGTCAAAAAGGCTTTAATTTGATATAACCTATATAAATCCTAATTTATTGCAAAAAAAAAATGCAAAATAGTGGAACCCCACCCCCACCAAATAAAATAGTTTCCTTCCTGAAGAGTGCATAATCTGTACAGCTTAGAAAAAGTTTATACAAAATCAATTAATTTATGTGTCTTGATTTACAGGGTACATAATATGTGTAGGATTTCAGTTTATTTTGACAGTTACAGGTCACAAACTACAAGGTCTAAAATAAAATGTGAAACAATTTTAGAAGTTGGTATGCTTGTCTTGGAAGTTTAATACCCATCACAGAAAACAAAATTGCCACACACAAGTATATATTTATATAAAGTATACATCACAGGCTTTTTACCTAAGGTTAGTTTGACACTTTTTTTCCGTAGCCATTTCACTGCCAATTTCTGCTAAATATTGGAGTAAAATTGTGTTGTGTTTTTCTCCGTTTTGGCATGTTTACATATAACAAGGTTTTTGTAATATGTATTTCGTAAAGCTGGTGTGTGTTATTCTTGTACAGAAACCCATGTTGTGTTGAGCTACATCTGCAGACAACAACACTCTCTCCTTCATTGTATGCATTTGCCACTATTCTGTGAAGCTACAGTGCCATATGGAATAACCTCAGGGACACAGTCAAATCTTCATTTTAAACTAAAATCATTTTAGAGATCTATGGTAATATACCTCAGCACAGAATGCACCTGTCTTGGATTAAAATATTTATTACCTGTTATGGATTACATTTGTGTGTGTGTGTGGTTTTTTTTTTTGTAATATTGTAACAATGCAGGGGACCCAGGACATAATTGAAAACAAGAGAAATCTCAATGTATCCATCCTGGTAAAATATTTTATAACTAAATATAGGAGACCATGCTATTTTTTAGTTTCTATAGTTGGAATTTTCATAGATGGTCCTATTTCTGATTTTAACCCCACAAAGGCCTTCCATTTGAGAAAGCAGATACTCCAGGGTATATTATTAGGCATATAGTATACCTTAACTTGCCACCATTTTTTCGTCAATTTATTTCAATTTGTGGAATGCTCAGTTAACTCTTTTCAGTAAAGAGACTTGTCAATTTCAGATTTTTAACTAAAGCTCATGTAAACACCTGTGTTTTCTCAGAAAATACAGTGTTTACATTGGAAGCTAGGAACACCTCCAGTTGCAGTCACTCAGACTGCCACCAGAGGGACTTTTGAGTTGATGAATGCATAATTCACATTCATCTTCACGCTTGGGTGAAGACCTCAAACGTGCTATCAGCAGACTGGAGCTAGTGCCTCCTATCTCCTGTAGAAACCCCGGAGCCGGTCATCAACACAGCGTCGGCTCGAGCTGACAGGCTGAAGACCGGAGAGGATTCAAACTGTAGGTAAACTTCTTTTGTGCCTGAGGGTGGGTGGTTGTCTGAGTGGGTATGAGAGTGAGAAAGAGATAGATGGAGTGTGTATGTTTAACAATATTTATTTACAGTGTGTATACAAACACTATATAGATATTTCTCTATAGTGTTTGCATACTTACTTTGGGCTGGAGGGTTGTCATAGGAGGGGGCGGGCATAGACAGCGAGCTGAGCTGGCAGTCAGCTCAACTTGCGACCATGCACATGCGCGGTAGAGCGCTCAGTTCTTTCATAGAGCGGCATTCAATGCCGCTCTATGAAGAACCTGATTGGTGCAGCTCGAAGTCACGCATGTGCACCAGAGCGCGATGCCTCTTCTCAAAGAAAGGCGTCCTATTGGGCCCTGTGATGTCGTCATTTTGACGAAAAAGGGGGCATGGCCTGGCGAGCTCGGCGCTGGAACGGAGGTAAGTTTTAATAATAAAAAGGGCTCCAATTTATTTTTTATTAGTTGGAAGTTTGTTTAAAAGCAAGAAAGAAGGCTTGGGGACCTGTTTTTCTTGCTTTTATATGTTGACTATAGTGATCCTTTAAGTGTGAATTTTCATAGATGGTTTTGATGGCTCCATATTCTGTTTTGAAATATTTTGACAGGCTGCTTATTCCAACTACCCCAAAAAGGCATACTATTAACCATAGACATACAGGGTATGTCAGACAGTAAAACAGTTAAAGACCACTGACATATCCTGTACGTCCGCGGCACATATGAGCGCTGGAAGCGATCATGATCACTTCCAGCTGCTCTAAGGGTATTGCAGCGTTGCTTCAATTTTGATGCATCCTGCAATACCCTCCCTCACTGCCGGGCCGCCGGGTGATCACTTCCGGGTTACTCTACGTGGCGCCCGACAGTGAGGCAGAACATCGGAAGCCATCAGACAGGCTTCAATGCTCTACCAGTGTGCTGAGTGCCTCGAGGGGTAGAGGCACTCAGTAAAATAAATGAAATATAAATATATATATATATATATATATATATATATATATATATATATATATATATATATATATATATATATATATATATATATACCCCCCAGCACTCAGTAAAATAAATTTTAAAAAATCTATGTATATGTAAATTACCCCCATTCCCCCCTCTGCGAAATAGGACCTCATGGGCCATGTGATCACTCTGAAAGAACAGTCACATGGCTGGAGGGTGGATTTGATTTTAAATCAAACTGATTTAAATCACTAGTCAATAAGGCTTGATTTAAATCATAGTTTTCTACATAAAGACTAATTCTTGCTGGTATAACTTTAATATGCAAGATGAAGATTTTTAGAATAACAACTTTTCATATTAGTTTTTTTTTTTATTCCCAGTTTAATAGGTTAATCATTCATATTTGGACAACTTTTCTGTTGTACTTACGAAGGAGAAAAATAATCATTACCTTAACAATTTAAATAGATTTATTCAACTGAAACAATAACATTACAGCATATGTTATTTGCTTAAACAAACATCCATGTTTGTTAACTAATTTGGCTAAACAATATATATATATTTTAAGAAACTTAAACTGTCAGCCCAGCCTACACATGAAAAATTTAAAGACTGTCCCCTGTAGCTCACTCATCAAGCTTTCCTGTTTTATCGGGTCCCAAACGATTTCTCAATTTAGAATGAATGAGTCCAAAGGAAGAGAATATTCTTTCAACACCAAACACCTGCAGAAGAAGCTACTGCTTTTAAAAGTCAAATCATTACTTGAACAGTCTCTAACTCCAAGTGCTTAAGTGACTTCCACCAGTTTACTGGTGTGACTTTCTTTAAAATATCTTCAGCAAACATATATTTCTTGAATGGTTCCCCCTTAGCTTTGAACTTTATTATAGTTGGCATTACAGATGGATTATTGCTGGATACCCATGTCATAGCTAACTCCCCTTCCTCAGCACTTAATTTTTGACCCTGGTACTGGATAATGACAATATTTGCCAAAAAATGAGCTGGAGACAGTACTTGTCCCATTCGTTTTTTTTAATGCTTGTACTTTAATTCTGTCCATGTGTAGTTCTGTTTTTAAGTGTTCCTTCCAAATTTCAACAGCATCAGCAATAAAACAGCTATTTTTCTGTATTTTGTTTAAAGCTTCAGAGATGGGTTTCAGGATGCTCAGCAAATGTTCAACATTTCTCTTAAGCCCAATGTTGAGGATTTTGGCCATCTATTTTATCTTTATTTTGTTCACAAACTGTCATTAGAATAGGCCAGTTTTTGATATACTGCTCAAAACAGCCCACCACAGAGTTCCATCTAACATCTAGTGGGAGCGTTAGCTTGGTTCCACCCATCCTTTTCAGAGCTGCTGCAGCAAAAAGATTGTTACGGAAGTATTTAGCAATTTCAACAACATTAGTCTTTATTTCTGGAACACTTAAGTCTTTGGCTAAGAGGTGCTGCAAATGAGCACTGCAACCACATGTTATTAGCTTTGTATTCCCTTCCTGCTCTTCTAAATTTCTTCTCATCTTGGATACATTTGCAGCATTGTCTGTGACCAAACTGCGTACTAGACATTTGAATTTTTGTTCACATGTTATTATAGCTTTTCCTGTCACTTCTTGTAAGTATTCTGCTGTGTGTGCATTTCCTGACATATCAATTGTTTGTGCAAGGAAGACTTTCCCTTCTGCTGCTGTTATACAAGCACATACAATAGGATCATTGTGGACATTACTCCACCCATCAATACTTAGGTTAACAATTCTACCCTCCAGAGCTGTTGCACATTGCTTCATTTCTCTGTCATACACTTTATCCAGCAATTTCCCTGCAACATCTGCTCTGCTGGGTGGACTGTATCCTGGCCTCCGTGACTGAACCATATTAATGAAATGTGGGTTCTCAGTCAGACGGAAAGAAGAGTTCGTTGCTTGGAGTTAAGAGGCACATGTTTGTCGAGCCCTGATATAGAGAGAGAGATATATATTATATTATATTATATTATTTTTTTAAAGTGGGGAAAAAAAACTTTGTGTGTGTATATATATATGTATGTGTGTGTGTGTGTGTGTGTGTATGTAAAAATAACAGATACAATTCTTGTAATACCTTTTTTATTGGACTAACAGAATTTTTTAATGGCAAGCTTTTGGGAGAACCTCCCTTTTTCAAGTCTGAAGCATTTCTGAGTAAAACAACACATATAATTCAAAGTTGAGTTGTGATACAGGGGTTAAAGTGACATGAGTAGATAAGACACAGGTTTGTTAGAAAATAGACACCATCTTAGCAGAGGGTCATAAATATCTTGTTGAAGAGCAGAGTGAGGGGGGAGAGAGGGAAAAGAAAAACAAGCAGACAGTGCACAGGATGGTACACTTTTTTATATATACACACATACACAGTTGCAAGAAAAAGTGTGTGAACCCTTTGGAATGATATGGATTTCTGCACAAATTGGTCATAAAATGTGATCTGATCATCATCTAAGTCACAATAGACAACCACAGTCTGCTTAAACTAATAACACACACATAATGAAATGTTGCCATGTTTTTATTGAACACACCAGGTAAACATTCACAGTGCAGGTGGAAAAAGTATGTGAACCCCTAGACTAATGACATCTCCAAGAGCTAATTGGAGTGAGATGTCAGCCAACTGGAGTCCAATCAATGAGATGAGATTGGAGGTGTTGGTTACAGCTGCCCTATGAAAAAAACACACCAGTTCTGGGTTTGCTTTTCACAAGAAGCATTGCCTGATGTGAATGATGCCTCACACAAAAGAGCTCTCCGAAGACCTACGATTAAGAATTGTTGACTTGCATAACGCTGGAAAGGGTTATAAAAGTATCTCCAAAAGCCTTGCTGTTAATCAGTCCATGGTAAGACAAATTGTCTATAAATGGAGAAAGTTCAGCACTGCTGCTACTCTCCCTAGGAGTGGCCATCCTGTAAAGATGACTGCAAGAGCACAGCGCAGACTGCTCAGTGAGGTGAAGAAGAATCCTAGAGTGTCAGCTAAAGACTTACAAAAGTCACTGGCAAATGCTAACATCCCTGTTAGCGAATCTACAATACGTAAAACACTAAACAAGAATGGATTTCATGGGAGGATACCACAGAGGAAGCCACTGCTGTCCAAACAAAACATTGCTGCACGTTTACAGTTTGCACAAGAGCACCTGGATGTTCCACAGCAGTACTGGCAAAATATTCTGTGGACAGATGAAACCAAAGTTGAGTTGTTTGGAAGAAACACACAACACTATGTGTGGCGAAAAAAAGGCACAGCACACCAACATCAAAACCTCATCCCAACTGTGAAGTATGGTGGTGGGGGCATCATGGTTTGGGGCTGCTTTGCTGCGTCAGGGCCTGGACGGATTGCTATCATCGAAGGAAAAATGAATTCCCAAGTTTATCAAGACATTTTGCAGGAGAACTTAAGGCCATCTGTCTACCAGCTGAAGCTCAACAGAAGATGGGTGTTGCAACAGGACAATGACCCAAAGCATAGAAGTAAATCAACAACAGAATGGCTTAAACAGAAGAAAATACGCCTTCTGAAGTGGCCCAGTCAGAGTCCTGACCTCAACCCGATTGAGATGCTGTGGCATGACCTCAAGAAAGCGATTCACACCAGACATCCCAAGAATATTGCTGAAGTGAAACCGTTCTGTAAAGAGGAATGGTCAAGAATTACTCCTGACCGTTGTGCATGTCTGATCTGCAGCTACAGTAAACATTTGGTTGAAGTAATTGCTGCCAAACGAGGTTCAACCAGTTATTAAATCCAAGGGTTCACATACTTTTTCCACCTGCACTGTGAATGTTTACATGGTGTGTTCAATAAAAAAACATGGCAACATTTCATTCTTTGTGTGTTATTAGTTTAAGCAGACTGTGATTGTCCATTGTTGTGACTTAGATGATCAGATCACATTTTATGACCAATTTGTGCAGACATCCATATCATTCCAAAGGGTTCACATACTTTTTCTTGTGTGTGTGTGTGTGTGTGTGTGTGTATATTTACAATTTTGAAACCGGGTGCTGCACTCACCTGAACATGCATAAATGGGGTACTGCTGGGGGACAATTTATACAATACACAAGATCCAGCGCACTCACCTATCCACTAAATAGCAACTTCAGTGTTGACAGATTTTTTTTTTTTTTTTGGTAAAAAATAATGGGGGTTTAGTTACATTATGATCATACATTGCATAAGCTTGCCATCCCATCTTTGGCAGGTCCTACTCTAACAGCCTAATGTCTGCTCTTATGAGATTTTTACTTTGGGAAAAATTTCCAGTTGGGGCTCTCTGCAGTACAAGGCTAAATAGGGCCTTGGGATGAGGCACCTGTGACAGGTACGTAGGTACGTACGTACGTACGTACATACATACATACATACATACATACATGTAATTTTATTCTGTGTCTTGAGAGAGAGAGAGAGAGAGAGAGATATATATATATATATATCTATATATCTCTATCTCTGTGTGTATATATAAAGAAAAATAGGTAATATACATACGTCCATATACATAATTACATAAATAATTTCATAAAAATACGCGAAGACTTTAAATATATAAGTGTGTATGTGTGTGTGTGTATATATGTATGTATATATATATATATATATATATATATATATATATATGTATATATATATATATGTATGTGTATATATATATATATATATATATATATTTGAAATTCTACGTGCAAATTTACCGTATATTCTAGAGTATTTGACGAGTTTTTCTGCACATTTGTTGTGCTGAAAATCCCCCAATCGTCTTATACTCGAGTCACTGTCTGTATTGTGGCAACTTACATTGCCATAATATAGACAAGGACCGCCGGGCTAATTACAAGGCTGGCAGTCCTGTTGGGGGCTGGCAGAGAGCTGTAACTTACCTTTCCTGCAGCTCCTGTCAGCTCCCTTCTCTCTCCTCTGGTCCGTCAGCTCCCCTGTCAACTCCCACTGTAAGTTTCGCGAGAGCTGCAGGATTAGAGCGTTGCCACAGGTTACTGTGGCAATGCTCCGCGTGGCACTCAGACCGCGAGACTTACAGGGGAGCTGACCGGACCGAAGGAGAGAGATGGGAGCTGCAGGAAAGGTAAGTAACAACTCTCTGCCAGCCCCCCTCCTACACAGCCAATGCCACTGGACCACCAAGGAATGAGAGCCCCCTTCCCTGACAATGTATCAAGCAGGGAGGGGGGACAAAAAAATATAAATACAAATTTATATAATAAAATAAATTATAAAAATGCCCACCCCCCACGAATGCTCTGCATTCATACACACACACACACACTGCATTATATACACACACAGCATTCATTAGCAATTAATATAATTTTTTGGGTATATAATTTAGTTAGAAATTTACCAGTAGCTGCTGCATTTCCCACTCTAGTCCTATACTAGAGTCTATAAGTTTTCCCAGTATTTGGGGGAAAATTAGGGGTCTCGACTTATATTCGGGTCAACTTATACTCGAGTATATACGGTATGTAATATTTTTTTTTAGGGATGCACCAAAATTTCAGCTGAAAACTGGTCTAATCTGCTGAAAACTACAACCCCTAACATCCAAATCCCTCTCCCATAGTCCTCTCTGCCAATACCCTATCCCAAACCTCTCTAATTCCATGTTCCCTTGTCTGTGCCATCTTCCTAGTTCCCTTGTCTCCTAGGTCTTGCTTTCTGGCCTTGAGCCTCTCTCAAACCTGCTCTTGGATTCCTTGAGACCCAATGGCCATAATTCTGCCTAAACTACCTGCTTTTCTTTTTCAATACTTGGCTGTCCATGTCTCTTTCGCTGGCTTGTTACCAATCCTTCTATCTGCTTCCTGCTCCACCTCACTTCCCTGCACGGTGAGATGAAGAAATGTACAAATCCAGGCAGGCCCCACAGCCCTGACGTAGGCATGAAACCCCCCCCTTTTTGCTGCTTGCAATCGACTGCTCCGCCCGTCGATCCTATAGCCGGAATGTACCACTCTGGATTTGACCAATTGGAGGGAGCTAGGGAGAGATGATTCATGACCGGAAGAAACTTACTTTTCTCTCCCTGTCCTGCAATGCAGGCTAGTTTGATTGACATTATAATATCCTAATAAGTTGTTGACTTTCTGTTTCCAAGGCAATGGAAGGTTCATTCCCCGTATTCCCTTACTTAAATCACAGCCCTATACACTCTCTTAAAGGGACAAACCTACATTTTGTTTTGCTTCATCTGCAATTTTACAAGGGGCTTATTTGTTAAACACAGAATTGTAGTGTATTTAAAGCCAAATTGTAACAGGTTAATATATTTGGTGCACCAATTTCTTTTTTCAAAAGAAAAGTAGGCACCATAACCACTACAGGTACAGGTGTTCAAATGGCACTGTCAATTACTAAATTGACCGGTTACCTGCGGTTAATGCCCAGGGTCTACTGGCTGCATTACCACTGCGGGGTGCTTTACTGGTCATAGTGCTTAGTCTCCCCTAAAGAAACACTCTACCATAACCACTACATAATTCTGTAGTGGTTATGCTGCAAGATCAGCCCTAGTGCCGACCCGTTATCAGGGGATTTTTCAGTACTTTGACTTCTGACTTCAGCCCTCTAACCACAGACTATGGACCTTGGCTTTGATATAGGTTTTGTTTGTGGGGAGGTGGGTATGGGGGACAGTTGGTGAATTCTTCCTCTTGGTATGGGTTTGCCACGTTCCCCAATTACAAGTGTAAACTTTGATTTCCATATGTGCAGTTATTGACTCAATAAAATTATAGATAAAACAATTTTAAAATCTTTTGGGGAAAATTAATTTTCAGTTTCGTTTTTCCACCAAGGGCATCCTGAATTTTCGGTCTCAGACCAAAATTTTCATTTCGGTGCATCCCTAATATTTTTACATAATTAAGTCATTTTCTTGATTGCAATTTGGGGGACCTGCCTGACAACCCAGGCAGAAAGTCCAGAGAACTTAAAGCGGCACTGTCATGCCGAATCCTGTTTTTTTTTTTTTAACCCCCCTCCGGCCTCCACTACATCTAACACCCTAGTCACCCCCAAATGCCCCTAAGCCCCCCACATTACCTATTTTTTATTCCTTATTTTCTAGCCCCGATCTTTATTCAGGGCGCCGCCATCTTTGTGTGGGTTGACGAAGTCCCTGTGGGACACGTCATCAACTCACACTAGACAGACTGTGAGATTCCCTCACATGCCCAGTGAAACACCTGGACATGCGAACGGGAATTTCATCTATTCATTCATCAGACAGACAAATGAGTGAATAGAAATATCAGCCGAACAAACAAACACTGAGTATCCGTGTATCAGTGTTCGTTTGTTCGCTCCGTTTATTACAAGGAGGGAGATACCGGCACGCAGCTCCCTCCTTGTAATATGTAAAGATAGAAGCGGCAGGGAGCAGTGCTCCCCACCACTTCATAAGCCCCCTAGGTCCCCCTCACTCTATGGGGGTCAATATGACCCCCATAATAGCACAAGGGAGATTAAAATCTCCCCAATGCCCCTACTTGCTATACCGCGAGTAGGTGCATGTCCACTAAACAGTGAGCAGTCTGTTTTAAAAAAAAAAAAACTATAGTTTCCTCGCGCGGGTGGGGGCCATAATGATAATGAGGGGGCCTACTGCCCCCCACCCCTGGGCGGCGGGTGCAATTAAGCTAAGAACACTCTGGTGGGTTTAAGCCAATCAGAGTGCTCTTTGTCATTTTACACAGCGTGGGAAAATTCAAAAGAACTTTCCCACGCTGTGTAAAATGACAGAGCACTCTGATGGCTTAAACCCACCAATCAGAGTGTTCTTAGCCTAATTGCAGGGCGGGGCAAGGCTTTATAAGCCTTCTCCCACCCTGCGGAGCCCTCCACGGATGAAGATGGATTATTTTTTTGCGCTCTGGTTTTTTCTTTTTCGTCAGGTTGTTTTTTTTTTTTTTGCGCTCGGGATTTTTATTTTATTTTCAATTCGACAGTTATGATGGTTTTTTATTTGGCCTTTTTTGGGACTGAAAAATGAAGATTTGAGAAAAGACGTTGAATGGTAAGTTTAATTTTATTTTACAGGTTAGTTATTTTATTCCCCCCACTATTTTTTTAGGGTGAGGGGTAGATAGGGACTTTTTATTTGGGTGGGTGACTAGGGGCTTGGGGGACACCTAGTCATCTTGGTGGGGAGGGGGGAAATTGACTTAGGGCCGGAGGGGGGTGGACAGTATCATTATGGCCGCCACCCAGGGGTGGGGGCAGGAGGGGGGGTGGACAGTAGGTCCCCGTCCCCCCTCCCCTCCATTATCACTTGGCCGCCGCCCAGGGGTGGGGGGGGGGGGAGGACAGTAGGTGTCCCCCTCCACATTATCTTTATGCGGCGGACGGGGGCCGGACCCTCCACATTATCTTTATGCGGCGGACGGGGGCCGGAGGGTGGGTGGAGAGTTGGTGCCCCACCCACCCACCGCGCAGGGGTGGGGGCCGGGGGGGACGACATTAGGTCTCCCCCCTGATTTTACTTTAGGGCCCCCACCCGTCGTTTAGGGGTGCGGGCCAATAGTTTTTTTTTTTTTTTTGTTTTTTGTTTTTTTTCAGTGAGCAGCCACAGGCTTCTCACTGTTTACCAGACATGCCCCTACTCGCGGTATAGCGAGTAGGGGCATATTATTTACTAATACTAAGTAATTTTTACTTAGTATTAGTAAATGTGGCTGAAAGACCAATTTAGGTCTTTCAGCCTTTTAGTAGATAACTCCCTGATACCGTGGGAATTAGGGAGTTATCTACTAAGCGGCTGCAAGATGCAGCCACAGCAATGAATAGGATCAGAGTTTCATTCATTAGAATGAAATTCCGATCCGAATAAAGTGCCGAATTGCGTTCTAAAAGAAACGAACATACTGTTGTCATTCAGTTAGAACACAATTCGGCAGTTTTGTGGAAAGTGACAGGAAGCATTGTGGGAACACAGAGGAAAGGTAAGGATCATGGGAAAATTGCTCTGACCAGCGGAAATGAAGCACACTTTGCTCCTCCGCTGGTCAGAGCTGGTCAAGCGGAGGAATCCTCCATAAGGCAAAGAGTCCCTACTTTGTCTTATGAATTTTAAAGAAAACTAAAGAAGACAGGAAGAAAAGAAGAACAGATCCTGAGAGAGGGGGAGAAGAGGAAGAGGAAGAGATTGAGGAAAGGTAAGTTCGGCATGACCGTGCCGCTTTAATTTGCTAGCACTATATTTAACCTTGTACATGGGGGGGCACTGTTTTACTCTGGAGACTTCACTGAACACAAATATTAGTGTTTAAAAAATTTAAATATCACATCAATGATATTGTCAGTGAAACTGCACTTTCATTTATATCCTTGTGATAAGTTTCGAAACACTAATATTTGTGTTCAGCGAAGTCTCCCAAGTATAACAGTACCCTCCCATATACGTGTTTTATAGTGATTTTTAAAAGTTATAGAGTCAAATATAAGGCTTGATTTTCACACTGAAATTTGCTAGATTGGTGGTTATTATTATTATTACTGCCATTTATATAGCGCCAACAGATTCCATAGCGCTTTACAATATTATGAGAGGGGGGATTTAACTATAAATAGGACAATTACAAGAAAACTTACAGGAACAATAGGTTGAAGAGGACCTTGCTCAATCGAGCTTACAGTCTATAGGAGGTGGGATATAAGACACGTTAGCACAGGAAATATCAATCAAATATGGTGGGAGTGAAGCAGAGCTGGAGGAGAGGGTAGAGAGAGCAAGAGACAGGTATGTAACAAGAGTTAAGGATGGAGGGTGCAATAGTCATCAACAAAGCTGTAATACTGGAAAGAAAGAAATACAATTTAAAACAAAAAGTAGGAAAAATAAGAAGTCCAGGTATTCAAGGCGATCATCCAGAAATGCTACCTCTGCTTTTGGCAAGTCCTGCAGGGATGTGTGCTGTGAGTCCTGGGTGTAGCTGTTATGTTGCCTTTGAGGCCGTATGGTAGCCCAGGAATGAGAATTACCCCCACGATGGCATACCATTTGCCAAAGAAGACAACCCAAAGTATTGCAAATGGGGTATGTTCAGTCTTTTTTTAGTAGCCACTTAGTCACCAACACTGGCAAAGGTTGGCGTTCATAATAGTTTTTTGCATTTTTAACACACAAACAAATATAAATGCTAGTGTTTGTGACTAGGTGGCTACTAAAAAAAGACTGGACATACCACATATTGAATACCCTGGGTTGTCTACTTTAAAAATATGTACATGTGAGATGTGATTCAATAATTTATGACGTATAACTGTTACAATGGTTTACTTTTAAAAAAATATATATTTTGAAACCACAATGTTTGACTGTTACTTGTACTTATAGCCCTATAACTTTCCCAAAAAAGCTCAGAACATGTTAACGTTGGGTATTTCAAACTATTTAGCAAGGGTGTTTTTTGACGATAAAAGATGCGTAACAGATTTTGGGGGTCAATGTTAGAAAAAGTGTTTTAAAAAAATAAATAAATCACATTTTATAACTTTTTTTTTTTATGTGTGTGTATGTGTATATATATATATATATATATATATATGTGTGTGTGTGTATATATATATATTTAATTATGATATGAAATCAATGGTATCTTTAAAAAGACCATTTAATGGCGAGGAAAGACTGTATATAATGTGTGGGTACAGTAAATGAGCAAGAGGAAAATTACAATTCTCAAAGAGGGCATGGACTCTTGTTTAGCCTTTAAACCAATTTAACATTAAATTGGTAGGACGGCATCAGGGTACTACAGACACTATATAACCATTTAAATGAGAAGAAGCGATCAAGGACTACTTATCCCAACTACAGAAAGAAATCCAATGTGGAAAGAGATAAAGAAAGAAGAGGAGGAAATCCAAACAGACTAGATACAAAACACATCTTCTGTCTCTCAAAGAGTTGTTGGCCAAGAAAAAAAGGGGGGAAAAGAAGTCGAGTTAGTATAAGATGACGCTTTCAAACGCAGGCAGAGAAAAGTAGATGAGAACGAAGCTACTCTAAGAGAAATTGAAGGCGTTCCTAAGAGATTGGCAGGAGAATGTTGGATGATCCACACGAAAGGGAACAAAGATAACAGATATTAAAAAGGGAGGACGATCAAGGAAGGATAAGTCTGCAGTGAGAGGCAAAACTAAAGCACTCCATGCAATAAAGGAGTAGTATTTGGGAGGTATAATGAATAGGAGATGCATTCAGCATCTGAATGACCGAAAGTTTGTGTTTTGAATAGGATGCCTCTGATGATACAACAATTGACTATAATCCACTGTACAAAGAGTGTCACTTGGTTTCATTGAAGGCCTAGATGTTAAACAGAAGCGTGAAAAGTCCCAGTTCTGTGGTGATCTGATAGAAAAGAGATGGACTCTGGAGGTCAAAGAGCAGAAAGTAGTAAAACTCCACAAATTTAGGCAGAATGAAACCAAAACGCACTGGAATTACACACTGGTCTCAGAAAAAGCAGGATGAATTAACTGACAGAGACTGGCATTTATTCAGGGAGGACTACAGCTTAACCACAAAGGGTGGCAAGATCCCCCAGACTGTGGATTGATTCTGCCTTCACATATCCTGGAAGTTGATAAGGAACCAACACCTATCCAAAGACCAGACATTCCTATTGGTTTACAGAACCATGTCGATATTGGTGTGACTGAGACTGCAGCCTTCCTTATTCCCTTGTTGGTCTGTATCACAACACTGTCCAAAATTGACAGGATGGTAGAGTCTGACCATATGCAATCTTTTTGGCTCGCACAGTAGGTTGAAGAGGAAACTACACTGCCTGGTTCCAAAAAAAGTCACACACTCTAATATTTGGTTGAACCACCTTTTAGCTTTGATTACGGTGCGGATTCGCTGTGGCATTGTTTCGATAAGATTCTGCAATGTCACAAGATTTATTTCCGTCCAGTGTTGCATTCATTTTTCATAAAGATCTTGTATTGATGATGGGAGAGTCGGACCACTTTGCAAAGCATTCTCCAGCACATCCCAAAGAATCTCAGTTGGGTTAAGGTCTGGCCAATCCATGTGTGAAAATGTCTCATGCTCCCTGGACCACTCTTCCAGAATTTGAGCCCGATGAATCCTGGTATTGTCATCTTGGAATATGCCTGTGCCATCAGGGAAGAAAAAATCCATTGATGGAATAACCCGGTAATTCGGTATATTCAGGTAGTCAGCTGACCTCATTATTTGAGAACATAATGTTGCTGAACCTAGACCTGACCAACTGCAGCAACCTCAGATCATAGCACTGCCCCACAGACTTGTACAGTAGGCACTAGACATGATGGGTGCATCACTTCATCTGCCTCTCTTCTTACCCTGATGTGCCCATTACTGGTGGTTCCCCACTATCCTTGCAGTTTTTAATAATGCTTTGGACAGTTCTTAACCCAATTTTAGTAATTTCTGCAATCTCCTTAGATATTTTCTCTGCTTGAGGCATGCCAATGATTTGACCCTTCTCAAACAGACTAACATCTTTTCCATTACCACAGGATGTCTTTCAACATGGTATTTCAAAAATGAGAAGCTACTCATTGCATCAGTTGAGGTTAAATAGCTTGTTGCCAGCTGAAAAATAATTGCTCATGCAGTAACTATCTAATAGGAGGCTATTACCTATTTTGATTAGTTAAATCCAGTTGGCAAATTAATTTTTTTTTTATTTTTTTTGGCCATGCAGTGTATTGGGTTTGGAAAGACACCTGGAATTCATACAGTTACTGACAGAAGACCTATCTCTTGAAGATCAAGGCTGTGGGATTGTGATTGCCACTCCTGGTTGTCTGATAGATATGCTGGAAAATTGATATCTAAGTCGTTGCACATATGTGGTAATGGCTGAAGTGGACTGTATATGGTATTAGTTTTGGACGTTCTGTCCATAGGATCCTGGAGCACATGCCTGTCACCAACCAGAACTCAGATATTCTAATGCTTGACTGGGGTCTCTAAGGACCTCTTCCAACAGACCAGGCTGCAGCAGTTATAACTATTTCCTTAGGAGACCTTATCTTCTGTAAAACAGTTATTCTAGCCTTTCCCCTCTACTTTAGTCGAGACTGAATGTAGGTAGTAGAATGATCTTTATTGCACAGCACACCACTATTTATACACCGTAATGTTGACTCTTCCTGCATGGGGCCCTCCATACAATGCAATGTACAGTACAATTGTTCTCCCCAGCGCTATTCTATCTGGGGACTAAATAAAATTTTCCCAGCTAACACAATTAGCTCCCTGTTGCGTCCTCACAGTCCTTGAATCAGAGCCTAAAAAAGTCAGCCAGAACCACATTTTCCTGTACCATATCCCCACACAAGATATATGCCTGGAAAGCTTGCTATCCAAATAATGCCCTGATCGAATAATCCATGCCAGAGTTAAAGCATGTTGGATATTTTTTTATTTTTTTTACCGGGTTGCAGCTATTCTCTGATCCGGCGAGGATTTCCAAACTCACAAGAGATTTTTGAAACTCTGGGGAAGGGAGCACTCTTAAGATCCAGGTATCCTCCCATACCTCTCCTCCAAATAGCGCTCTATCTGGGGTTTGGGAATCGAGCAATACCCGCTTAAAGCTTTCCTGAGCGTGTGTGTGACCGTTCTTGAGCGTTTCAGGGTATCTCCTGGTCCAGCTCTTGATAGGTTAAGAGTCCAAGCGATCTCCAAAGATCCTCAAGTCCACCTGGGATGCACTGTAAGCATATGCCATATCTCTCTCCCCCATTACCCCAAGGTACCAGACCTCCAACCGGTCTGTGCTTGATTTAGGGTATCAAACCCCAAAAGGTCCTCTGGGCTGTTGGAGAGGGAAGCCAAACTCCCCCTGGAGTTTCTCCTGCAACTGGGGAGTGAAGAGTGCCACCAGGCAGTGGTGCTGCTGATTGGCTAAGATCGGTCAGCTGATGCTCTCAACCAATCACTCCCCATTTATAAAACTGGCTTAAAAAGAGTACATTTCTTTCTTGAGGCAACTTCAGTGTTAAATGGTTCGAGAGAGGTTTAACCCATTGAGGTAAAAGTGCGCAAGGAGGCCTTCTGGCACCATAACAAATTCATTTATGCACTTGCTGGAGTTGCAGACCACATACTCCCTGACCTGGCAGTGTCATCCACAGGCTTCCCTGCAGAATATCTGTCATTAGTCTGCAGCAGGGCTAAAACCCAGAAAAATGTGCGTGCCAAGAACTAAAAGTTATGCAATATGAATTCCACACTCCTGATTTTACTCTTTATGTCACTATATTTTAATGCTGGTTGTTTTTTTTTTGTTTGTTTTTTTTTTAGGCTGTGCACCACCCCCTGGAGCATATGATGTAAAGATTTCTGATGGTCTTAAAGGACCTGTATCGTTTGAAAAGTCTCAAAGATTTAGAGCAAAAAAAGGTGAGAATTTGAAAAAAATTAAATGAAATAACTTGGTAGACACCAGATCTGTTGCGATGTAATTTCAAGGCTTGTGTACTATGGGTAGATGTTTCTGGCATTTGGAAAGTGAATTTTTAACTAATAACTCTTATCTATTTTAAGTCATTCTGGTTTAACTGCTACAGATATATGTTTAGAGGTATTAAAGGGACACTCCGAGCAGTATATAATCGTCACCATTGCTTTGTTTTTTTTTAAATTTAATTTTGTTTTTCTTATCTGAAGTAGATTGTTTCCACTTAATTATAATAAGGGTTACATTTTGTTTTTTGTTTTACATACAAGACTCAAACAGCGATGGTCTGTTTATGGATAAAGAGGTCGAGTTCACTTCTCCAACCCGTTTACGAAAGTACTCCTCTCATGGATCAACTGTAAGTGTGTGTGTGTGTGTGTGTGTGTGTGTGTGTGTATATATATATATATATATATATATATATATATATATATATATATATATATATATATATATATATATATATATATATATAAAATTTATTTTGAAGGGAACAAGCACAATGTGGTTTATATGTCTAAACATATCTATCTGTGTTTGTGTAGATAGCAGCATTTTTATTAAAGCAACTAGGAAAAAATGCTTTATGGATGGAGCATGCACAGAGGGCTATTTTGTCTTAAAATGTTGAATTTACATGGAGTTCCCAACAATTTGCCCTTTAGTGGAAAAAACCCTGAAAAATGCATATAACAGTTGTAATCAAGATTATTCAACCCCCATTGAAAATCATCTTTATTGTCAAGATTTACAGACTTCGAGCTGTTTGTAATAAACAAATCAAACAAAAGCATTTGAAATAGCTCAACACAATGAATGCTTCAAGTAATTTTCCCAAATTCAACTAAAAATGCAACTTATGACTTCTCCAGTCTCAAAATTATTTAACCCCCTGAATATAAACCCTCACTCACTCAAGCACACCTGTTGCAACCAATCAAGGGCTTCATTAGTTGCACTAGGGGTGCTTGAGCTGGAGCAATTGAAATACCTGAACTGACTAGGGATTTGTAGAGTGTCACGTTTGACTGCATGTTAGAAATATGGTTTTAGTAAACACAGGAAGGTGCGTACTAAACGCAGGAGGTTTCCATGCCAGAACTCCAAGGCGTACACCTCTACTGACCCAAAAGCACACAAGTCCGCTCCAATTTGTTCAGAATCCTATTAATAAGCCACAAAAATTGGGGGATTCTGTTCTGTGGAGTAATGAAACAAAACCACAACTTTTCGGCCCAATGCATCAGCAGCATGTCTGGAGGAAGAAAATGAAGCATACTCTGAAAAGAACAGTTAAGCATGGTGGTGGCTCGATATTGCTCTGGGGCTACTTTGCATTCTTTGGTACCTGCAGCGTGTGGAAGGCAAGATGGATTAATTGAAGTATCAGGAAATCCTAGTAGAAAACGTCATGCCATCTGTGAAGAAGCTGGAGCTTAGGCATAGTTAAACCTTTCAACAAAACCATTATCCTAAGCATACCTTAAAATTCCACCAAGGCTTGGTTGCAGAAGTAGTCCTGGAAAATTCTGCAATGGCATCAGTCACCTAACTGGTGGGATTTGAAGAAGGCAGTTGCAGCACACAAACCCAAGAATATCAATGAAAAGGAGGCCATTGCTCATGAGCAATGGGCTAAGATTCCTCAGGAACGGTGCCAGAAGTTGGTGTTTGGCTATGCATTTCGTTTGTAGCAGGTCATAACAGTAAAAGGGTGCTCTAGTAAGTACTAAAGATACTTGCTGTGAATGGGTTAAACAATTTTGAGACTGTAGAAGTGATTATAAGATGTATTTTCAATTGAATATGCGGAAACCACTTGAAGCATTTTTTGTGTTAAAAGATTTCAATTACTTGCTTGATTTGTTCATTACAAACCGCTAAAAATTCTGTACATTTTGGCAAACCTGATTTTCAATGGTGTTGAATAATTTTTATTAAAACTGTATATTTGAACTTGACTATACAATATAGTAGCTTTTCTTGGATGGCCAAAAGATAACTCTTTTGCTGCTGTAAAATTACGACTCCTATAATACTCCCAAGTGCTGGCCCTTTTTCTTCATAATGATGAAGGGGGAATTCTCTCTAGGTCTACTCTGACCACCACATTCTCTGTTTTGAATCTCTCCTGAGCAGGGCTGGACTGGGGATACAAAGCAGCCCTGAAAAAAAAATAAAAATAAATATATATATATATATATATATATATATATATATATATATATATATATATATATATATATATATATATATATATATATATATATATATTTATATATCTCTCCAACAAAGTCATTGTGCTGTGTATTGTATGTAATTAAAAAATTTATGTGTGTGTGTATATATACACTTTTCAATTGTCTCGGGTGGCAAGACAGCCTTACCTATAATTATTGGTATATTTCTTCTTTTTCGAAGTCAAAATATTGGTCCTTTCAGAGTAAAACCTTTAACTATACAGTAATCATACCCACATATAGACAATCTCGCTGTCACAAGCTCATTGATGCACAGGCTCACAGACAGACCATCTCATTGATATACATATGCTCATTGACTTAAAAACATAGGCTCACTGACAATCTCCCTGATGCACACAGGCAAGCTTATTGGTACACACAAACTGACATGCATAGGCGTAATATAGACAAGCTCATGGTCACACACCCACATGCTCCATACAGATAAGCTCAATGACACATACACATGCTCAATACAGACAAGCTCACTGATACACACATACACACACACACACACACACCCACCCCCCTACAAGCTCACTCAATAGCAGACACACACACGCAGGAGCGGCCACACACACATACTCACTCACTCACTATCAGGCACACACTCACAAGCTCACTCACTCCCAGCTGGTATACTGAGGTCTCCTTCTGCTAAACATTCATGCAGTGACTCGCATACAAGCAATCACATTTAACCACTAGGATTGGTACAGAAGGGATTCTCCTGGAACCCTTTCTTTTGCAAGAGAATTGGAAAAACTACCTGGCTGCTTCCCTTTCATAATTTCAGAGTCTTATTGATCTTGGCCTATACATTAACTTCTTGGTGGGGTAAAAATAAACAAAAATCTCTGCATATGTGGAGATTGTTTTCCTAGGGGATCAAACTAAATAGGCTGACGAGGAGCACAGCATGACACACTGTTAAGGGGTCTTGCAGAGGGGAGGAGAGGAAAGGGTCTAGTTAGCGCTGTTGAAATAACCACAAACCACCCAAATTGTCTCCCCGATCTCAAGAAACCTCATCAGACCTGACCCAACTCCCTCATGTGTCAGTCTTTATTTTATTAATGAGTGGTCTAAGCACAATGGCACTGGGCTGTCCTGGAGGCCATTATTGTGAAGTTCCTCTTGTCCCAGGACTGTCTTTTCATTTTCATATGGTTATTGGGTCTCTTATACTCAGAGCACATCTTAGCACTGAGTGCTGGGTTCCAGTTTAAAATGATCTTACCTCTGAACACAAAGTCCACCTAAACAATATCACACATTGTCCATACTCAGACATTTACTGAGACACATCACCAGGTTCAGTCATAGATCACTCACTAGCAGACACACATACACACTCACTGTCATAGCTGAAGCTTACCTGGCACTGGTAGATGAAGATGCCATTTTGTGGCCTCTTCCTTCAAGAGAGGTCATCAATGTGTGTGCGGGGGTGGAGCTTGTGTGCATAAGGTGGGGCTTCCACCCAGGTGGCGGGACTTACTTGCAGGGGCTGGACATGTGGCCAGAACTGATGTCAGTTGTGCAGGGAGTGACGGGTTTGATTGCGGCCGCACCAGCCCACAGCGCCTTCCTCTTGTCTCCCCTCGGACTGACGCAAGCTGGCACAGTCCGAGGGGAAAATACTTAAAAGAGATGAGCCTAATGATTTGGGCTGTTTGCCCAGCCCCAGGTCCCGGCGGCCCACCGGGAAATTTCCCGGTATCCCGGTGGGCCAGTCTGGCCCTGCTCCTGAGGCCAGTTCACTTCAGGACACACCATTTGCTCTTTAGGGATCGGTGTCTTCTCTGGCTCAAGGTAATGCACCAGGTTAGTCTTTGAAAGCTTCCTGAGCTAAAACCTGGGATAGCACACAGCACTGTCCCCTTTTACCACCATGACCACTTCAGAAACTTGAACACACTGAAAATCCATGGATGTCATGGCAGCCTCTGCATTGCCACTTTCAACATCCAGTACTGACTTTATTCTGGGGAAGCCACAGCTGAATATTTCCTCCTCTGCACTGTGACATAGCAACCAACCTATTGCCAAAGGACAATGCCATTGTACTCTATCTCCTCTGCCTTCTTGCTGTAGGATAATGTACCATTGAATCCATCTTATATGCCCCTGCATAGTTTAGATGAATTCACCAAACAGGTGTGTAACCGTGTGTGGTTCCCTTATTTACCACTATAATGTCTTAAAGCATAGAACTTAGTAGGGCTAACCATACAGATATCTTGGCCATAATTTTATATAGTGTAAGAGATCCTCTATTTAACATATATAAATAATTGAGAATACAATATAAAATAAGGATTGTCTTGGAAGCAAGATTGTCTTTTTGGATATTTATTATATAAAAATATAAATATAAAATCCATTATAGCAGAGTTTATAAGATTAAATTACATGCTTGCAAATATCATTAATAGGTTAACATACCCTTCTGAACATGTCATCATGTCAGCCTCTCTGTCATTTTAAGATGGAGCAGCGTCTGTCTCCAAGTCTCTCCTCTGTGTCTTAACATTTAAAAGTACACCTATTTATACCTTAGGTGTCTCCATTTTAGGTTACTGTAGTTCATATATGAAAAAGTAACACTTCTTTTACTTTATTCAATTTAGGACCTCCCTTAACTTGGCAAACATACAAGGCCATAACTAAAGGGTGCATACGTCATGGAAATTTTCCTGACTTAGTTCAAGATGGCATCTTAAAGTCTGAATAGGTTATCTGTTGTTTATACTAAGTCGTAAGTGTACAGTCGTGGGAGATTCCCGGATTTGGGGAAGTTCCATTAACTTGGGGTTATCACAGTATATTGTGTACTGCAAGTGTCGTAGTATAGCCTTGAAGCTTGTTTATGCATTATTGTTATTGTAATTCGTCTGGGACAAAATGGCGCAAACATATTATGCACTGGGGTTATTGCCTAAAGGAACAGTTATGAAAAACAATATGTTCCATTTCTAACACCTTGTCAGTTTGCAATATCTCTTAAAGACAAAGTACACAGTTTAAGAAATACAACATTTCATTCTAAAACTTGTAATATTTGCATTTGCCCATAACAGGTGTTTCAGTTTGTTTGCATTAAAGCGTACTTTAAAATAAAAGAAAAAGTTACATGCGCTCTCTCCTAAATCCCTATGTATATTTAAACAAATTGAGTTTTAGTTACTCCAATGGCCATTGGAGGGAATGCCCGCCTGCCCAGTCAAGGCAAACCCCCTCAGGTGGGTCCTATACTGACCTTTCACCTTGCTTCCTTGAGCTTCTGGCAAAAGTATCTCTGAGACAGGGGTATTTTTTATATGCACCCCTATATACTTGTTAAGCCTTAATAGGGAACACATAGGATGGGCGGCAGCATTATAACCTAGCTGTGTGATAAAAAGTGAATACAAATACGAAAAAACTAGTCCTGCAATCACTCCTGGGCGGCAGCAACGACCACCGTACACATCAGCAGACTTGTTTTTTCGTATTTGTACTTTAAAATAAACTGTCATGGAATGACTATTTGTACATTAATCAGAAAAGAGTTATTGATCAATATGTTCTTTACAGCCAAACTTGAGACAGAAGCCTGAAAAGGATCTAGAATTTTTGAGAGAGATAAAGAAACAGAAGATGTTTGAAAAAGAGGTACATTATATTTGTTGTACGTAATTCCATTTAAAGTATATTGTTCTTATTCTCTGATTACTGTAAGTAAAACAATCACAGACCGAAGCAGTCTCAATAAGTGGTTCACAGCTTTGTGTTTGTTTGTTTTTTTTTTTTTTTTTTTGTTTTTTATTACTTTAATAGTTTTTAAATAATTTCTAGATGGAAACCTTCATTTCAATGCTGGGGTATGTGTGTACAATATATAATATAATATAATTATTTATTTTATAATATACGTTTTATGTTCAGGATTGGATTAGTGAATGGAAAATTATTGGGGGAGGGTTCTTTAAATGATACAGAACCATCCATTTTCATTTAACTTGAATCCAGGTCATCTAGCAAAGCTTTAACATGAAAGCACTGCAGGATCCATGGTATACTCACCAGAGGTGAATTTCTACTCACAAGCTAATTTTTTACTCTACAATGTCTAGTGGCAAGTTGAAAATTTGAGTCTGGTCAACCTTTACGTGTATATTTTTTTTTTTTATTATTATTTTTTATAAACTTCGCTTTTTCTTTTGTTAAATATCTGGGTTATTGCAGTAATGTAGGTATTGCATCCATAAACACATTTGCATTGTAAATATAAAATGGGAATATTCTTGTTTCTTTTGGTTTACAGATTCGCTCACTTTTGAAGGAACGTGCAGAGCAGGATAAGAAACTGCTGGCTTTGGAGGAAGAATTAAAAAAGACTGAAGTTAAACTGGTTACAGCTGTGCGGGAGAAAAGTTCCCTCTCTGCAAACATTGCTTCTCTAGAACGACAGATTGCTGACCTGAAAAAAGCAAACGAGCTCTTAAAAACTAAAGTAAATACTTGTGCAGTGATTTAGTCAATATAAAATGTTTTTGTTTTTGTTTTTTTACTTTTGCCTGTAAGTGTTTTTTTTTTTTTTTTTTTTTTTTTTTGGTAAAGGCTGCAGCTCCTAACATAACATATAGCCCATAAGAACCATTTGGCCCATCTAGTCTTATGCCTATCCCAAGCATGCTTAAACTCCCTCAAGGGTTAGCCTTCGGCTGGAAGGCTATTCCATGCATCCAGTACCCTCTCAGTAATGTAATCCTTCCTGATATTATTTTTAAACCTTTTGCCCCTCTAATTTGACGGTCCTCTTGTTGTGGTAGTTTTTTTATGCTTTTAAATATAGTCTCTTCCTTTACTGTGTTGATTCCCTTTATGTATTTAAATGTTTCTATCATATACCCCCTGTCTCGTCTTTCCTCCAAGTTATACAGGTTAAGATCCTTTAACCTTTCCTTGTAATTTTAACAATTGCAAGGTCGTTTTCACTCACCCTCTGTTTCACTCCTCACATAGGACAAGTTAAATTGCTCAATAAGCCGCTGTACAGATGCTTTCAATGTATATCCAACATGGTTCAGATTTGTGTGGAAGTGCAGCTTGGCTCTCTGGAGATGAGCAATCATTCCAACTTCATGTGCACAGAACTTGGTTGATATTTCCATAAAAAGGAGAAAAAAATGACTTATTTACATTTTGCAGTGACCGACATTTGAATTATAGAGAATAAAATGTATTAAGAAACTTCTAAGACTAATTTATTATTGTCACTTTAAGTAAAATACCACTTATTCTCTTAGTTTTCTGATGACAGCGCAAAGAAAAGATTGAACAGTTTGTCTGCTGAGCTGATGGAAACCAAAAATAAAGTGGATGCTAAAGACAAGGTTAGTGTACTTGTAATTGTAAGTCCTTTTCTCATATATCTTTTTTATTGGTTTTGAGTAGTACTCCAGTGCATAATACATTTGCTGACGCAGCAGCACATTGACCAAGTACAGCATTACCAGTTTGCAACACTCTTCATACATTATAACCCGTACACTATAACACGTATATTATGTATATTAATACAGTGCTGACTTTTGCTTCACTGCGACTTTGGGTTATATTGTTGCCTGTGTGACAGCTTGTTAGAAACATCTTCGGCATGGAACATTGGTCACCTGTGCTCTCTAAGTTGGTGAGCCTACGTTGCCTATATACCTCTTTCAAATCATGCAGCCGGGTACAGGAAGAAAAAAAGAGTTAAGGGAAGGGTAACATTCAACTTGAACTGTAACCTGTGTCCTACTTGACCTGGGTTTTGCATGCTGTGCACACGGCTTTGGTTCCGCTACAGGACCTCTTGGTCACCATGATTCGTGGTCCTCCCTCCCCCCCCCCCAACTATCCACCCTTTTTGCTACCTCCTCTTGAGTTGGAGGCATTTCGTTTTTCCACTTTGATGCTATCGCAATTTTGGCTGTCGTTAGTATGTTTATGGCAGTTATGGTTGATGAGTTTCTCGTTGGGTTGTTTGCGGGGAGCATATGGAGCAGGTAGTGTGCCGGATTCAGTGGTATTGTCATGCTAGTGGCTTCGTGTATGAGCTTTTGGACAGAAGTCCAGAACGGAGTTATGGCTGGGCATTCCCAAAATATGTGTAGCAGCGACCCTGGTGTGCGTTTGCACCTCCAGCACAACGGGGAGGTGTTGGGGAACATCCTAGCCAGTCTTAGGGGGGCTAAATACCAGCGCATTGCAATTTTGCAATATGCTTCCCATAGTGACAAGCTTTTGGACGCTCGTTTAGTGATGTGAAAGGCTTCATGCCATTGTTGTATAGTGAGTGATTCCCATATGTCTTCTTCCCATTTTTCCATATAAGAGAGTTTGTGGGCGGATTTCCCTCTTTCTAGTGCATTATAGCATAAGGCTAGAGGTTTGATAGAGCGGGATGTCAAAATGTACCGGGCAGAAGGTGTTTCTAGTTGTTGTGTGGGTGCTGCTGATTTGGTGCATGTCTGTAGTATGTTCTTGACCCTTAGGTATTTGAATATGTCCCTTGAGTTTAGGGAGAATTCGCTTTGCAGGGTAGGGAATCCTTTCAGCCTGTTTTGGTCATATAAATCCCTTATTTTACGTATCCCTAGAGCTGACCATGTCTGGAGCGAGAGGTCAGGTGAACTAGCCTGCAGTGCTGTGAGTGGTGCTTCCTTAAGTAGTGTTTGTGTGTCTATTACCTCTGAGGCCCATTGTTTCCAAGTATTCAGTGTGTTTTTTGTGCACCATAGTGCGTCCTTCCCCATGTTCTTTGGTTTGTGTGACCAGAGGGCATTGGGCATAGTGGACGGGTATATGCAGGCATCCTCGTGAGCCAACCATAGAGGGGTTTGTTCTGCGCCTGAGGTTCTAATTAATCGTAGACCTTGTGCTAGTAGAGATGCTCGATAATAGTTGCGGATGTCCTGGATACCTAAACCTCCTCTCTTGTATGGTAGGCTAAGTTTGGCGGTGGCTAGTCTAGGAGGCTTCCTTTTCCATATATGGGTCGTTAATGATAGTTTGGAATCTTTTCAGCAGTTTGGCCGACAGTGGTATGGGAAGTGTGCGGAAGAGAGAGAGCACGTGTGGCAGAACCATCATTTTAATGGTATTAATGCGTCCCAGCCATGATACTTCCAACCTCTCCCATCTACTCATTTGGGATGTTAGTTTGTGGATCATAGGTGTGTGGTTTTCTGTGGTTAGGGAGTGTACGGTCTTTGTCAGTTTTATCCCTAAGTATTGGATCGATTTAGTTCACCATTCGAATGTATGTGTCTCCTCCAATGTATTAATTGTGGCTCTTGGTAGTTGAATGGGGAGTGCCTGGGTCTTGGCTGCATTATTTTTGTAGTATGACACTAAGCCATACGCGTTCACCGTTTGTCTAAGGGCTGGGATACATCTACCGAGTCTGTCAGAAATACTAGTATGTCAACTGCGAATAGGGCTAATTTGTGATCGCCTGCAGGGGTGTCGAGCCCTCAGATTAATGGATTGTGTTTAATGTTATAGATCAGGGCCTGCAAACGTAGGATAAAGATGAGTGGGGAGAGGGGGCATCCTTGGCGTGTGCCATTGCGGATGTGGAAAGATTTATAGAGGAATCCTGTATTATAGATCTTTGCTGAAGGGCAGCTATATAGTGCCAGGATACTAGTTATAAAGGGTTGGGGAAATCCCATAGTTTCAAGTATTTTTTTTTTATTTTATTTTTTTTCATGTATTTCCAGTTCAGGCGGTCGAACGCTTTTTCAGCGTCGAGTGCTAAGAGGAGCCCCTGCTGGTTTGATGTGTGTGCCCATTCTACTAGATTGATGAAGTGCCTGGTGTTGTCTCCCACCTGCCTTCCGGGGTCAAACCCTGTTTGCTTCTTCGAGGCTAGTTTTGGTAGGAATGGTTTTATCCTGTTTGCTAACAGCTTAGCGTAGAGTTTTATATCGGCATTTAGTAGGGAGATAGGTCGGAGGTTAGCACATAGTGTAGGGGTTTTATTGGGTTTAGGAAGAGTCACTATATGGGTTTCTAGCATTTCTGGCCGGACTTCTCCTATTTCTTTTATGTGATGGAAGAGTTTGGTAAGTTGTGGGGACAAGGTATCTCCAAATTTGTGGTTGTAGTAATTTGTTAACCCATCTGGGCCCTGTGCTTTGTGTCTTGGTAATGACGCTATCAAGGAACGAATCTCTTCGTCCGTGAATGGCCTCTCTAAAGAGACTTTCTGTTCTGGGGTGAGGGTCTGGAGGGTAGTATTGTTAAAGACTTGTATGTCCCCCTCTGTGGGCTGGTGTGTATTTCGGTCCCTGTCGAGCTGATAAAGTGTTGCATAATAGGAGGCTAATTCCTCCACCATATCTTGAGGGTTGTATAATTTGTCGCCTTTTGCAGATGTAATGTATGGACGTTTAGTGGTTTGATATCTCCTTTTAAGCCTCCTAGCTAACAATGTCGCTGCTTTATTGCCTCCAACATAATGGATTTGTTTAAAATAGCGCATGTGTCTTTCAGTGGTGTTTAGGGCTAAGGCATGTAGTTGCAATCTTATTTGTTCCAGCTGTTTCTGGGTATGGTTTTTTTGGGTTTTTGTTTGTGTGTGGCTTCTAAGCTAGTGAGTTTTTTGTTAGCAGCTCAGCTTTCTGTGAGCATACCCATCTTTTGCTGCTGGCTCCCATTTGAATGAGCGCCCCTCTTATGACCACCTTGTGCGTTACCCACTGAGTCGTAATGGCCGTCATGCAATCTACATAATTGGCGAAAAAGTCATTGATCTGTCTTTCTATATTTTTGGAGTTATCTGTATTATCCACCAGAGCTTCATTTATTCGCCACGTGCCTCTACCACGAGCCGGGTACGGGACGCGAAGCGTAACCGTAAGCAGCGCGTGATCGGACCATGTTATTGGACCTATAGAGATCTCAGTGAGGTGTGTTAGAGTACTTTTGTCGATGAGGCACAGGTCTATCCTAGAATAGGTCATGTGGACCGGGGAGTAATATGTGTAGTCCCTATCTCCAGGGTAGAGGCATCTCCATGATTCATATAAATCATGTATCAGGAGTAGCTTGGTCAGGTGCTGTCCTAGTGAGATGGATGTCCTTTTAGGGGCTTTATTCCCTGTTCGTCTCATGTCCATGTGCGGGTCAGTTGTGCAGTTAAAGTCACCGCATAGGATTACATGTCCACATTTGTATCTGTCTAGTTTATTCATTGCCGAGGTAAGGAAGGATTTTTGGTCCTCATTGGGGTGCGTATAGTGAGGCTATAGTGATCTCTATGCCATTTAAAGATTCCACCAATATGAGTAGTCGACCATCCCTGCTTGCGTGTTTTTTGCTCATCGTGAATACCCAGTCATCATTGAAAAATATAGAAACCCCCTCTAGATTTTGTTGGGGAAAGTGCGTGAAAGGCCTGCGTATATTGTTTAACCGAAATTTTCGGTGGGTTGCATCTACAAAAGCGGCTTTCCTGCAGAAAGGCTATCTCCGCTTTGTACTAGCGTAGTTCCTGCGCTGCTAACCTTCGTTTATGGGGGCTATTAAGGCCTTTGACGTTAAGGGAGAGCAATTTCAATGAGTTAATCATTGAATTTGGGATTCTGGGGAAAAAAAATTTCGGCTGGTGCTAGGCGCTCTATGAGGGAGGTTTCTATGGTACCGTGTGTCGGTGCGTAGCGGTTTCCGGACTGCGTTCTGAGAGTGTTGGATTGGGTGCACACAATGTGATCATATCCACAGGATATCAGGCAGTACAACCAGGTATTGGACAGTGGTAGAAACGTAAACATAAGCAAAAACATGTAAACAAAGTATGTACAAGGTGCCCCTTTGGTTGTGGTCATTCTACGCGGTTGGCCTGTGGTCCATGCCGGGACCGGGCAGCAGGTCAACCTGGGTGGCGTGATCTGAGGAGAGCAGCCGTGTCAACGACCCTTTAAACATGGTGTGAAACATAAGACTTCTTTGATGTGTAGGACCTTTTGTGTGTTTTTTTTTTTTTTTTTTTTTTTTTTTTGTTCGTTAATTATGTGTCGCCTTGCTCAGGGCCTGTGTGTATACTCCTGTGGAGTTGGTTTCTGAGACCTCTGAGGTGTGTCGTGTCAGTGCGGCAAAGCGTGTCAGTGCATACATACATATTGGCATCACTTCAGTTGGGGGATTTCACACACAGTCCTGGTCCTTCATGTACTGCAAGCAATGAGTCCCGTTATATATCTTGTTGTAGTTGTTGTGGCCTGGGCGAGCCCGCCATATGCCATTCCGTCGACAGCTGACAGCTATTGGGGCATCTTAGGCCTTTGTGCAGGAGAGTCTTGGGTCTTGAATAGTCCCCAGTCTCGGAAAAGTTGCAGGCCTTCAGCTGGTTCCTCGATGTTATGGTGTTTGTTACGTATATTGTGGTTACGTAGTGTTTTTGTGACAGAGATTAATTCTTGTCTTCTTTCCATGATAAGCGCCAATAAATCTGCGTACAATTGGATGCATTGGTACGGTTCCGGGAGAAGTTGCTGTTTGCGTGCCGCGGTTATCAATGCTTCCTTTGATTTAAAGTAGTGGAATCTGACCACCGCGTCCCTTGGTGTATCTGTTGTGAAACGCGGGGGTCTAGGGATGCGGTGGGCCCGGTCCATGAGCCACCTGTCTTTTTCTATGGCCGGTGCTAGAGTAGTGCAAAGGTTTGTGATGTAGTCAGGGAGAGCATCGTGGGTAATGCTATCTGGGATTCCCCGGAATCTTACATTATTCCGCCTGGAGCGGTCTTCTATGTCTGCCGTTTTCCTCTTTAGGAGCATGTGCTCTTCACGGAGCGATCGCAGTTGCTCTGCAAAATCATTTTGTGTGGCGCATATTTCCTCCGTCCGCACTTCCAGGCGGTCCGTGCGCTCTCCAATGTCGGCCAATTCCCGCTTAAATTCTGCAGTCATTTGTTTCATGTCCGCATTCAAAGTTGTTCCTAGATCTTGCAGAATAATAAACAGCCTTTTTTCAGTGGCTGGTGCTTCCACAGGAGGTTGTGTCAGTGTCTTGTGGCTGGTCTGGGACAGAAGAGAGGCCCATGCTGTCGTCGCCATCTTGCAGAGACCTGCTCTTATCTTTTTTGGCTGTTCTTATCTGGTCAGTCATCTTCATTTGCTTGGACGGGGCCATGCCGTTGGTACCTGTTGGCGGGTAAGCTTGTACCGGGTGTCTGGTCGCCTTATTTGCTTAATATGAAGCGTTTGGATCCGTTGCGGCCGGGAGCTCCTACTCTATGCGACTGCTCGCATCGGCTGTCAGACACGCCCCCCTTAATTGTAAGTCTGCATGTAATTATATTGTAACCGCTGGTGGTTCCCTTATTTACCACTATAATGTCTTAAAGCATAGAACTTAGTAGGGCTAACCATACAGATATCTTAGCCATAATTTTATATAGTGTAAGAGATCCTCTATTTAACATATATAAATAATTGAGAATACAATATAAAATAAGGATTGTCTTGGAAGCAAGATTGTCTTTTTGGATATTTATTATATAAAAATATAAAATCCATTATAGCAGAGTTTATAAGATTAAATTACATGATTGCAAATATCATTAATAGGTTAACATACCCTTCTGAACATGTCATCATGTCAGCCTCTCTGTCATTTTAAGATGGAGCAGCGTCTGTCTCCAAGTCTCTCCTCTGTTTCTTAACGTTTAAAAGTACACCTATTTATACCTTAGGTGTCATCATTTTAGAGTTACCATAGTTCATATGTGAAAAAGTACCACTTCTTTTACTTTATTCATTTTAGGACCTCCCTTAACTTGGCAAACATACAAGGCCATAACTAAAGGGTGTATACGTCACGGAAATTTTCCGGACTTAGTTCAAGATGGCATCTTAAAGTCTAAATAGGTTATCTGTTGTTTATACTAAGTCGTAAGTGTACAGTCGTGGGAGATTCCCGGATTTGGGGAAGTTCCATTAACTTGGGGTTACCACAGTATATTGTGTACTGCAAGAGTCGTAGTATAGCCTTGAAGCTTGTTTATGCATTATTGTTATTGTAATTCGTCTGGGACAAAATGGCGCAAACATATTATGCACTGAGGTTATTGCTTAAAGAAACAGTTATGAAAAACAATATGTTCCATTTCTAACACCTTGTCAGTTTGCAATATCTCTTAAAGACAAAGTACACAGTTTAAGAAATACAACATTTCATTCTAAAACTTGTAATATTTGCATTTGCCTGTAACAATATTCTACCAAATATCTAATATTCAACACTGCATAATTTGTTTCTGACACTGTTTAAATTGGACTGGTTTTGAAAATCGTTCTTTAAGGACAACAGTCACCTCAAAACTTGTATTTTATTTCATCCAGATTGAAATGCAAATAGATTTTTTTGTCATATACTGAAAGATGTGATGAGTTATGTGTTTGTGTTTTTTATATGTTAAAAACTTTACTTTCAAAACTTGATGAAATGTTCTATTAAAAACCATTTTGAGCTGACTGTTGTCCTATAATGGGATTTGATATATTGTAATGTACCAAGTGTGCTATATTTTAATCTGCATGAGAATGTTAGACATCAGTTTATTAATGTAACACTCTGTCATACTTGGTAAGCAAACCTATAGGGCAACACACATTAAAGGACAACTGTTACCTTCAACCTGTTATTTGATATAATTCTTCACTAAGTTTTGAAAGGAAATAGATCTTTATTTTTTTATTATTCTATCAAATGGAGTATATTCTCCACAGTTAGTCTCCATGGTTTTCCCTTCAAATAAGCAGGGATGACCATTGAGACCAGGTTTTTTGAGCACTGTTTGACCCAAGGTGCATGTATATGGCTGAAGGATCCACACTGTATCGTGCAGTGATGGCACCCATTAATTTAATTGCAGACTTTTCTCCACACTCTTCTTAAACGTGTCCAGTCATAAAAGGTATGTGTATGCATATAAAATATGTAATCATTTGTGTATAGAACTCTAACTGAATACAGACAGGGATGTTGGTGTCCCTTAAAAAGTGAGCTTGTTTACTGACTGAGGAGAATGTTGGGCATTGTCACAAGCTCACACTACTCAAAGTGTGTCAAAACTTGGTTCTGATTATTCAAATTCAGTATCGGTCTGCACTGGTTTAAAAATGATAAAAACAATCCTACTGAAAGGACTGTCACCTCAACACTATATTTTTAAAGGATCATAGTGTCAGGAAATCTTGTTTTCCTGACACTATTATCCTTATTTCCCCCCCTCCCTCATGGCCCTCCTCCCCCTGGTTAAAACCCCTTCAGCCACTTAACTTTATCCAGCGCCGAGCTTCCGCGGTGCTGGTGACCTCTCCTCCACCTCAGACGTCCGCTCCCGAGTGGAGCAGCATGCGCAGCAAAAAACGCGCGCATTAAAAACACCCATAGGAAAGCATTTCTCAATTTTTCACCATTAGCGAGGACACTAGACCACCAGGGAAACAAAGTTCTTATTAACCCCCTCTCTGAGTATAATTTTTTTTGGGGGGGGAGGGAGGGAGGGGCGAGTTGGATCTTGGGTGAGTTCCCACCCTTTTTTTTTTATTTTTTTTTATTTATTTTTTTTCAGGACTTGACCCTTGAATCTAACACACATATTATATACAAATCGTGAACATTACAGGGGCGGGGCATGCCTGCCAATCGAGACAGTAGCATGGAGCTGGAGCTCCTCCGGTAAATCTTTTATAAAGACCGAAATTGAGCAATTTTGCTCTTTTATTTTATTTTTTTTAATTTTTGGGGGGCAGTATTCATGTTTATAATACCGGGGAGTACTCAGCTGTTCAATAGTTATTTTTGTCGGTGGCTACAGAGATTTCAATGTGGCCTGCAGTTTCAATCAGGAGTGTAGAGGAGGACGATCTTCAGGCTTGAGTTGGAGCTAGCTAACAAAGAGCCCTGTTTATCCCCCCCCCCTTCTTCACTGGTGGGGAATATCCTGGTCCCCACTGGTGGTACTAGTGAATCTTAGCGGTAAGCCAGACAACAATAACGACACCACTGGTGACTTGAAGGGTTGAGGCCTAGGAGTTACAATGGCTGACCTGCATGAGATTCAGTTCCTCCTGGCTTTTGATTGCTCTGAGATCAGAGACTTGCCTCTCCTCCTGATGGCAGTCAAAGCCCCACAAAGTCGTCCTGTCCATCGACATGGCTTACTTACTCGTCTTCAGCGGTTCCCCAAAGGGACTCTGCAGAGAAGAAGGCGTGCAAAGATACTGCGGAGGTCGGTAATTGGACTCCCCTCGACCCGCCTGGAGTGACGTACAGTTAGTCACCCCCAGCACTGCCTGCCTAACCCCACGCAATCTGGCCTATACGAACCAGGGGCTGCTACAACAAGCTCCGATGACCACCCTGGGAAAAATATTACTGCACTGTCTGGTGGCCAGGATTGGATGGAGGCGCCTTCATAACATGGCTGACTGTAGCAGCAGGGATTCACCATCTCTCAACATCGTCTGAGCAATCCTCATGCCCTTTATGTAGTCTAGTAGTTTCTGAGACTATGTTGTTTTAACCTGTCTTACTAGCGGACTACAATAGTCTACTCTACTTACCCAGTGGTATCTCTTCCCAGAAATGTTCCTTAGCCCTGTTCTATTATACTCTTTCTTTTCTCTTTCTTTTTGCCTCCTAGAATAATGCTTCTGGTGTCTTCTTCATTTAGTTCCATCGACAACACCTCCTGTTTGTGTCACTCACAAAACCTTTGTTGTAATGTCTATGAAAGCATGTATGCAATGCAAAAATAAAGCATTATAAAAAAAAAAGTGAACATTACATTCAAACATACCCCTGCAATCAAACACTAAAATTATATACAAGCAACCCTTCAATCAAACACCAACAATATACATTGTATTATAGAGCCAGTATATGCCACAGTTATACAACCTAGAAATTTGTTTTGACTTGGGGTGCCTTGGAAAAATATTTAAGTATTGGGTTGCCTGGAACCTAAAAAGTTTGGGAACCACTGAGATAACCTTTCAGCCTGTAACAGCCACAATTATTGGTATGGCTAGAAGGACATGTGTAATCTGTGCCTTAGCCATATCTTTAGAAAGGGGGGGAGGCCGCATGGGAACTATAGTGCTATAAATACAACTTTTATACTCTTAGCAATGTAGTATCCCTTTTAATGTGCACTTCTACTGGTGAGCTAGCGACTAGATCTTTATGTCTTTAGATAAATTTGTATGTGTAGTGACTGCAGTTATGTGCATTGTCACATTCAAAAAAAATATCTAATATATGCGTTAATCATAGAAATTCAGAAGTTATTTTAATATGACAATAGCACAATAAACAAACAAGCATTTTATGAACTAACCTGCATATAAATTTATAATACTAGTACCATAACAAATATTTTGTTTGATCTAGTATACTTTTTTTTTTTTCTTTAACTTGTTTTGCAGGAATTAAGTTGTCTCCAAGTAACCTTCGAAAAACAGATTACTTTACTTAAAAAGGATTTGGAATGTTCTACAACAACTTTAGAGGCTCTCATGGAAAACAAAGTATTTCTGGGTAAGACTTGTAAACTTTGGGTGGCCAGTACTGTCTTTAGTATTTGCCATCTGTTGCAGAGCTCCAATACTCTGGCTGAGTATCTCTGCTAAAGTCCATTCAGTCTGGAAGAAATGCTGCTTCAGCGATCATAGCCCACCTTCACAAGCACTAGATGCCACTTAGTGATGGGGAGAACAACAGCTTTTATTGAAAACCGCACATCTATTTATGTCCCCACAGCCTCATTTACATATATAGTTGCACAGGCTGAAGTTCAGCCTTCTTCACATTTGTTTTTTGCTGTTGATCCAAAAGAAGACTAAATTAAAGACACTTTGAAGCACTTCCAAACTTGCCACAAACTAAACTAGGGAAAAAAATCCTTCTTGACCCCAGAATTGCAGTCAGATTTATACAATAGGGTTACAGTACTACCCAATATCCATATACAGTAGGGATGACATGTGTACACGTAATAATTAGCACTTATTGTAATAGATTGAAGAAATACTTTTATGTTGTTGGTACAATTTGTTGTATGGTGATTGTTTGTTTATATTTGCATATATAGCCTTGCTTATTGGTTTTTTTGAGGATGTTCTAATCCATTTAGTAAAATGCAATTATTTATTATCTTGTATTGATTCTAACTGCAAAGACCTGCTTTTGAAAAAAAAAATTTGTTCATTATCCGGTCTCTGTTTTCAGAGGAGAACCATCATGTAGCAAATATGCAATGTGAAAGCTTGCAGAAGGAGCTGGACCAAGCACAGAGTAAGATTTATTTTTATTTATTTTCTTTATTCCCACTTATTTTTTATTTATTTTTTAAGCAACAATGTTGTGCAGAGTTATGTTAGTGACTTTGCACTCAGCCATATCATTTAAAATGGGTTTTATCATGCATTTATGACCTGTTACAAAGCAGAAAGAAACCCAAATCATCAATGCAGTGTTTGCTCTTCTTTTTGATTACCAATCAATTCAATAATGATAAAGCGATGTTCATCAGGTTTTGCCTTGACATTATATAAATATTTTTTAAAAGCCTTTAGTCCAAATTAATTGAAAATTCACACCAAGTACCGCAATTAGTACCTTGAGTTCCACCAGGATTATCTTAAAGGACCACTATAGTGCCAGGAAAACATACTTTTTTTTCTTTTTTTTTTTTTTTTCTGGCACTATAGTGCCCTGAGGGTGCCCCCATCCTCAGGGTCCCCCTCCCACCGGGCTCTGGGGAGAGGAAAGGGGTTAAAACTTACCTTTCTCCAGCGCCGGGCGGGGAGCTCTCCGCCTCCGATCCTCCTCCTCTCCTACCTTTCGGCTGAATGCGCACGCGCGGCAAGAGCTGCGCGCATTCAGCCGGTCTCATAGGAAATGCTTTCCTATGGACGCTTGCGTGTTCTCACTGTGATTTTTCACAGTGAGAATCATGCAAGCGCCTCTAGCGGCTGTCAATGAGACAGCCACTAGAGGCTTTAGAGGCTGGATTAACCTATTTATAAACATGGCAGTTTCTCTGAAACTGCTATGTTTATAAAAAAAAAAAAATGGGTTAACCCTAGCTGGACCAGGCACCCAGACCACTTCATTAAGATGACGTGGTCTGGGTGCCTAGAGTGGTCCTTTTAATGGAAATGTGTTTTGTTTTTTTTTTGTTTTTTTTTTTTTGTTTTTTTGGTACATTCTCAACATCAAACAATATCATCAAAAGAAAAATAAACATGCCTCCATCAGAATTTTGAGTTGTCCAGAATAAACATACTGAGCATGTATAAATTCACAAAATAAAGCTTGACACACAAAGCTCTACATTATTGCGGTCCAATTCACACATTACATCAATGCATCATGCTTAAAACCGAGATAATTCCTCTATTTATAATTTAAACAAGCGATACCAATATGTATATAAACTTTTTTTATATATATATATTTATTTATATATTCCTACTTCTGTTCTTTAGGCTCAATTAAAGCATTAAGGAGAGATCATACAATTGTTCAAGAACAGATGTCGGTTTCCCAAGAGCAGCTAAAGGTAAAATTACATCGTAATTGGTCTTTGTGTGTGTTTTGTCCACAATTAACAATACACGCTTGCCTTGCCACAACAGTATCAGCAAGCATGAACATGACACCAAGTGGAAAACAGTGTAGCATTGGAAGAAACAGCAGAATTTTTATAATAGTAGTACAAGATTACAAATCGGGCAAGGGTAACATGTAGTGGTACTATTGAAAGCATGGTATAGTTCAGACATGTTTAGCGTGTTAAACCTTAATTAGTGTGCTTAGATAACTTTTATGTATGATTACCTTAGCCACCATGTATCAGAGAGTGGTGTAAGGTTTAACAGACTGGGTGACTGGTGGCCAGTAGGTGTCGCTCCCCACAGGACCCCATGGGAGAACTATAACCGGCCAGAACATAATAGTGTAGAGCCCACTTTGTCAACTTAAAAGAAAATGAACCACACAGAGACAAGGAGTAGCCAAAAAAATAAACTCTATCAGAATATAAATTTGATCCGTTAGGCTAAACACGGGGGAAATACTCTGGCTCCAGTCAGCCAATACCAACCATAGGTAGTATATAGTCCCACAAGGTGCTGCCAGCCCAGCAGCATGGAAGGTGTGTGTGTGTGTAGTGACTTTGTTACTCTGCAGCCTTGATGGTCTCAGTAGGCTGGTTGAATCAGGGGGTATACCACTGACGACCTGTCACCCTAGTACAAGTTAAAGGTGCCGGGATATCCCTCACAGACAGGGGGGAGAGATAGGAGATACTGCGGGAGTATTATGCAGTAATATGCCAAGGGAGCACTGCAAATAGGCCGCATATCTGCTCCCAAGAACTGCTGCCGGCTGCGGTCTGGAACAAAAGTAAGTTCGCCGCTGTGATCTCCTTCTGCTACCAAGGTAGAATGGCAATGAAACGTTAGGCTTAAAATTGCCAATTTCAGCTATCTCAGAGCGTTTTGTCTGGAGCCCACAAGGTGTTTTACTGTTCCGCGCGGCTGTCAGGCTCCGCTACCCACCTCCCCTTTTTTTTTTTTATTTAGTTTCCTCTCTTCCTTTTATTCATAGTTGGCTAATGTCTAATGGTCACTAATGAATATATATATATTTTTTTATATATATATTTTTCCTTTTCCTAGAACGTCTCTGCAGAAATGAGACAGAAACTAAAGGAGCGTGATATTGCACTACAAACTGTAACAAATAGATTTTCAGATCAATGTTTGGTAAGACTAGATAATGTGTTTTATTACGTTTTTGTTTTTTTTTTAAGTTAAATTATTTTCCTGTAATTTGAAATTGTAGTCAAACAAGCTAAAGCCAAGCAAGACATTATTTAATAGGCTAATTTTTTTCTTTTTCTTTTTTTCTTTATTTTTTAAAGACCAGTGATGGAAATATTGTTACAACAAACCAGTTTGTAAAAGTCCTATGTCAAAATAACTATTTACTGGAGTGTACTTTAGAATTTGCATCCCTATAGAGCCCTGCCCTGACATTCGATACTAGAATATGGTCTCAAGGGTCTAGATTGGGATGATGGCCTGTAATCTAATTTGATCTGAAAGAGTTACAGCTGTACCCAAAAGTGTGTACTTTGACTGGGGAAAAATGCTTAATTAGCTAAATTTCAAACTCTGAATCAAATGCTTTATGCAAATTGTTTTTATGCACAGTTTTCTAATCAACAATCTTATTTCTTAAACAATTTTTAGTTGCAAGAGAAAACCGAAAATCTGCTTTTTGACTCTGAGAAAAGGTTGGAGCAAACGATGCAAAAAGTGACTCTGCTTGAAGAACAACTGTAAGTTTTTATTTTTGGTTTTAGAAAGAAAATAATGGCTTTAATAAATGAAAAATCTTTCATTCCCCTTCCCTATATTTTTAATTTCCTTTTAATATGGATATTTTGACTTTTATTTATTTTTTCTGACTTCTTTATTAGTTTATTTGCAGATGATGTATTATCTATTAAAAACCTAAACAAATCTATTAAACCAATTCACTCCATTCTAAAATAATTTAGTGAAGCATCAGATTATATAATTTGCACTTAACACTGGCCCTTTCATTTTATATTCCATGGTTTTAACTGTAAAGACATGGAGGAGAATACCCTTTAAAATTGAGAGAATCCATTATTCAATACCTTGGTATAAAGTTATGCAAATATTTATCCAAAATTCATTCAATAAATGTAGTAAAGGTTTGGCCTGACTTACAGAAAGAGTTGGAAAGATGGTGTACACTCGAACTCTCTTGGTTAGGTAGATTGGCATCTATTAAGATGGCCATTCTGCCAAAAATCTTTTACTACTTTAGAACAATCCCTTTATTACTTTACCAGTTACTTGTGTCAACAAAATTCATTCAACTATAACCAAATATATATGGAAGAATAAACCAAGTAGGGTAAAACTAACAACAACCCCTCAAATTGAATTCTGGCTATGGTGTTCCTGATTTTCAGAAATATTATGCTACAAATGTTGCCTCCGTCTTTACATTTTAATTTGATTATTAACAGACCACATTGGTTAGAAATGGAAACGGAAAAAATACAACCCAAGTCCATAAAAAAATACTATGGTTACTACCAAATAAGCACCCAAATATTTACAGTATATTCACTACAAACAAAATCAAGGTGTATGTTTTATAAAACGGTTACACCAGGGCTCATCAAATCCCAGGCATTAGATCGCCATGGCGACTATGAATTTTGCCCTGGCATCTGGGATTTGTCAGCCTTTGCCCTCCTCCTCCTCCTGTCTCAACGCCGTGCAAGCTCTGTCCGCCCATGCGCCGGGAGGAAGTGAAGGGAACTGTAAATACTTCCTTCCAGCGCTGTGGCCGCGCAGTGGAACCACAAGCTGGCAGGACACCTGGTAAAATCTGCTCTGCTTGCTGTCCGCCCCTATTCCTCTGTCGCGCCTGTACCGCAGTGCACGCCTCCAACCTGCTCCCATTCTGCAGAGCCGGCTGCCCGCCCCTTCCCCTGCGCGGCCTAAGAATAAGGAGAAAGTAATTAAAGTTCCCTTCCTCCCGGTTAACAGAGATACAGGAGGGGGAGTCTGAAGAGAGGGCAGCCCTCCCTTCAGCCGCAGCTAGCACTACTGCAACCACCTGCTGCCCAGTCCTACTAGACCCCAGGGAAGCCACCCTTCTGAACCCAAAAGGTAGGAAACTGGAGGGTGGCTAAAACTATGTATTTTTTTTAATGTGGGTATCTGTGACATTGTGTGTATCTATAGTGTGTATGTCTCTATGTGTGTCTGACTGTGTGTATCTAGAATTCTTTGTGTGTCAGTGAGTGTGTGTGTCTGTCTGCCAGTCAGTCAGTGAGTGTGTGTGTGTCTCAGTCAGTGTGTGTGCGTGTCTCTGTCTGCCTGTCAGTCAGTGTGTGTGTGTGGGTCTGTCAGTGAATGTGTATGTTTAGGTCACCAGCCCCCTTTCCATCAATTAGGAATGGTGTTTTTACTCGCCTTTTTTTTCCCCAACGCCATGCTTGTCTCTGAGACAATCTTGATGATCCTGTAGGAAAGCATTGGGAGCTATTGAGCATGCGCAGTAAAATGTTGCATCAATCAGCATCTCCTCATAGAGATGCATTAAATCAATGCATCTCTTTGGGGAGCATTCTGCGCCTCCATGCAGATAGTGGCCGTTTGAGTGACTGCCACTAGAGATGTTACTAGGCAGCAATGTAAACACTGCCTTTTCTCTGCCAAAGGGCAGGCTAATTGAGCTGTTGTCCGTCCTCAGCACTCTCTTGCGACTTGTTTTTTTGCTTTTCCACGTAAAGACCGTGTTTATGTGGAAAAGCCTGCAGGGACAGGCTATAGACACCAGACCCACTACATTAGCCCGTAGTGGTTCTAGTGCCTATAGTGTTCTTTTAAGATTGTATTTTTGTTGTTGGGGGAAAAAAAAATGGCTCCTAACTTTTTAAGCTGGTTCCTAGATCCAAAGCAAATTTGTCAAGCCCTGGGTTACACCATCCTCCAATTTTGAGCTTCTACCACTATCCATTTTAGATTCTCAGATACCCCCATTAAACCTAAAGTATTGGCGTTCCCATTCTATGTTTTGACTTAAGATGATTTATTTTTAGGAAATTCAGTCATTTAGTAATTTAAAAGATAAATATAGCTTATGAGATCATATTTTGCCAGAATTTAATTTAATAATAGATAAACAAAAAGGAATGTTTTTAATGTATTTGGTCTATATAAGAAACCTCAATCATTTGAAGTTACTAAATTAAAAATAAAATGCATCTCCTTAATTCAAATCGCAAAAAAAAAAAAAAATTTCCACTTTCTCTTTATTTCCTCAAGGCCTACCACTAAATTAGAATATATGATAACGTGGAAAAACAATTGGGCACACAATATACAGTGCCTTGCAAAAGTATTCACCCCCTTGACTTTTTACCTATTTTGTTACATTACAGCCTTAAGTTCAATGTTTTATTAATCTGAATTGTATGTGATGGATCAGAACACAATAGTCTAAGTTGGTGAAGTGAAATGAGAAAAATATATACCTATTTTTTAGAAATCAAAAACAGAAAATTGGCATGTGCGTATGTATTCAACCCCTTTGTTATTAAGCCAATAAAAAGCTCTGGTGCAACCAATTACCTTCAGAAGTCACATAATTAGTGAAATGATGTCCACTTGTGTGCAATCTAAGTGTTACATGATCTGTCATTACATATACACACCTTTTTGAAAGGCCCCAGAGGCTGCAACACCTAAGCAAGAGGCACCACTAACCAAACCCTGCCATGAAGACCAAGGGTTAGGTTATAACCAAATTGAAAGAACATGGCACAACAGCAAACCTGCCAAGAGACTGCCCCCCACCAAAACTCACGGACCGGGCAAGGAGGGCATTAATCAGAGAGGCAGCACAGAGACCTAAGGTAACCCTGGAGGAGCTGCAGAGTTCCACAGCAGAGACTGGAGGATCTGCACATAGGATGACAATAAGCTGTACGCTCCATAGAGTTTGGCTTTGTAGAAGAGTGGCCAAAAAAAAGCAATTACTTTCAGCAAAAAATAAAATGGCACATTTTGAGTTTGCGAAAAGGCATGTGGGAGACTCCCAAAATGTATGGAGGAAGGTGCTCTGATCTGATGAGACTAGAATGTAACTTTTTGGCCATCAATGAAAATGCTATGTCTGGCACAAACCCATCACATCACCCAAAGAACACCATCCCCACAGTGAAACATGGTGGTGGCAGCATCATGCTGTGGGGGATGTTTTTCAGCAGTCGGGACTGGGAAACTAGTCAGTTGAGGGAAAGATGGATGGTGCTAAATACAGGGATATTCTTGAGCAACACCTGTACCACTCTGTGCGTGATTTGAGGCTAGGATGGAGGTTCACGTTCCAGCTGGACAATGACCCCAAACACACTGCTAAAGCAACACTTGAGTGGTTTAAGGGGATACTTGTAAATGTGTTGGAATGGCCTAGTCAAAGCCCAGACCTCAATCCAATAGAAAATCTGTGGTCAGACTTGGATTGCTGTTCACAAGTGCAAACCATCCAACTTGAAGGAGCTGGAGCAGTTGTGCAGGGAGGAATGGGCAAAAATCCCAGTCGTAAGATGTGGCGAGCTCATAGAGACTTCTCCAAAGCGACCTGGAGCTATGATTGCCGCAAAAGGTGGCTCTACAAAGTATTGACTTTAGGGGGTGAATAGTTATGCACATTGACTTTTTCTGTTATTTTGTCCTATTTGTTGTTTGCTTTACAATAAAAAAAAAAAAATCTTCAAAATTGTTGGCATGTTCTGTTAATTAAATGATACAAATCCTCAAACAATCCATGTTAATTCCAGGTTGTGAGGCAACAAAACATGAAAAATGCCAAGGGGGTGAATACTTTCGCAAGGCACTGTAGCATTGGTTCAATTTACCTCTTGCCTTGAGAGGTATTACACAATGTGCCAGTCATTTTGAGACTTCCTTTATTCTCTGTAGATGATACCCAGTAACTATAAAATGAAGTCCAACTTGACTTTGGTAAATTAGATATGGTATGGGTCTGTTTGTAGTTCAGATCCTGAGGTAGTTAAATTCTATTGGAGCTAGTACAAGCTCAGGTGTAGCTAGCATTCAGTGGCGTTGATCTCCCACTGGTAGGATGTAGGTGGTGGTTGATGATATGTGGCTTGAAGTGAAGGTTTTCTCGGTATGAGGAGAAAAATACAACAAAAATAGTGCTCTCTGTAAAAGGGTTGTAATAGAATGGTATTATACTCACATTTTAGTGAGCAGGATATACTGCTCACGATAATAGCGTGGGTGGTATAATCCTCACCTTGGGATTCTTTGGATGAGTATATACTGCAATATTCTTGATGACCAGGTTAAGAAAATAACATAAATAGGTTTGTAAAAAGGTATATGGCACACACAAGGTTAAGGGGCCAATATTTCTTTAATAGTACAAAGTAAAAAGCATTTAAAAACAGCCAAAACGCGTTTCGCCAACACAAGGCTTCATCAACTGGCAATAAAAAACATTAACCTGGTAAATGAGTTTTTATATAGGCAATACATTTATTCAAATCTTGGCGCCAAAATTACGTCAATTATTTAACATCTAAATTCAAAACAAGTTAATATAAATACTAAAATAACAGGTAAGTTATACACAGTTTTAAAATGTAATTCTTTTATTAAAACGAGGGTTGTATGTAGAAAAAGCTTATCAAGGAATGTAAGGGCGCGGTCAAGTGGTTCACAATAGATTGTGACGTAATATATGACGTGATCGGCCCTAGGGGATTGTGGGGATAAGTATGCTTATCTCTATTGAATACTTTAGTTGTGTTACTATATTACTGTTAACTTTAATTTACATACCGTATATACTCGTGTATAAGTCGATCTCATGTAAAAGTCGAGTGCAGTTTTGTGACCAACAATTGTGAAATATGCTATGCCTCGTGGATAAGTCGAGGGTAAAACTTGGGGCTATGAAATTCTGTGATTTTTATAATTATATACACACACACTCATACAAACACACACTCTGCATTATATATACACAAACTCTGCATTATATACAAACACACACTCATACAAACACACACTCATACAAACACACACTCATACAAACACACACTCATACAAACACACACTCATACAAACACACACTCTGCGTATATAATGCAGAATGTGTGTTTGTGTAGTGTGTGTGAACTGGGTGGGGGGAGGGCATTTTAATTTTAATTTTTTTTTATTTTAATATTATTTTTTTATTATTTTAATTTTATTTTGTCCCCCCCTCCCTGCTTGTTAACTGGTCAGGGAGGAGAGCTATCTTAATCCCTGGTGGTCCAATGGCATGGGCTGTGAAGTGGGGGGGCCGGCAGGAAGCATTTACTTACCTTTCCTGTAGCTCCTGTCAGCTCCCTTCTCCTCCGTTACGGTCAGCTCCGCTGTAAGTCTCGCGGATCGTTGCCATGGCTCTGACGGCCGCGGCTCTCTAAGTTGCCATAATACAGACAGTGACTCGAGTATAAGTCGAGTGGGGGTTTTTAAGCACAAAAAAAGTGCTGAAAAACTAGACTTATACTTGAGTATATACTGTACTCAAAATATTTATTTAATTGGATTCCCTTATTCTCTGATACCCTTACCCTATTTAATACTTGTTATTGTTTAAAAAATTAAGTACATTCTCTAATATAATATATTTTATGAAAAACAGACCATCAAAACCTGTATGCACTTTATTGTTAAAGGACCACTATAGGCACCTAGACCACTTCAGCTCAATGAAATGGTCTGGGTGCCTGGTCCCTCTCATTTTAACCCTGCAGCTGAAAACATAGCAGTTTCACAGAAACTGCTATGTTTCACTGAGGTTTAATCCAGCCTCTAGTGGCTGTCTCACTGACAGCCGGTAGAGGCGCTTCCGCGATTCTCGCTGTGAAAATCGGTGAGAAGACGCTGGACATCCATAGGAAAGCACTGAGTAATGCTTTCCTATAGGCTGTTTGAATGCGCGCGCGACTCTTGCTGCGCATTCGGCTCTGACGTCGACAGGGGGTGGAGAGTTCCCCAGCACAGAGGGAGCCCGGCACTGGAGAAAAGTAAGTGACTGAAGGGGCTTTAACCCCTTCAGCCCAGTGGGAGGGGGGCCCTGGGGGTGGGGGGGAGTTTGTTTTCCTGGCACTATAGTTCTTCATTTTTGTGCCCCACCTCCCAACTCTTAGATTAGATTTTTATCTTGCCATGAAGTTTCCAAATTTCCTACCTAGAATATTTTATGAAGTGATATTTTTTTTTTTTTTCTCATAAACTACCTATATGTACTTTCAAGGCAACATATATGGTCTAAATCAGGGGTGCCCTAATGTTTAAAAAATACAGCTTCCATGATGATTTGTAGTTCTACAATATTTCTGCACCCCTGGTCTAAATGGATGCCAATCAACTATCTCACCTGATTTGGCTGGTGACTGACCTGAGACCGTTACTTGCAGAGCTTCACAATAGGAGATACAAAATTACTATAGGTAAATCTTTAACATTTAGCATATTTTTACAGTTTAGTTGGGTTTAAGATTAAGTATCATACCTTTTTATAAGTACCGTATATACTCGAGTATAAGCCGACCCGAATATAAGCCGAGGCCCCTAATTTTACCCCAAAAAACTGGGAAGACCAGGGTGGGAAATGCAGCAGCTACTGGTAAATTTCTAAATAAAATTAGATCCTAAAAAAATTATATTAATTGAATATTTATTTACAGTGTGTGTATATGATAAATGTAGTGTGTGTGTGTGTGTGTATGAGTGCGCAGTGTGTGTGTATGAGTGCGCAGTGTGTGTGTATGAGTGCGCAGTGTGTGTGTGTGTATGAATGCAGTGTGTGTGTATGAATGCAGTGTGTATGAGTGCAGTGTGTGTGTGTTTGTGTTGCAGAGCCTTGGTGGGGGGGTGGGCATTTTTATAAAAAAAAAAAAAAAATTAATATTATTATTTATTTTAATTTTTTTGGTTATATTATTTTTTTATATTTATATATTAATTAATATTTTAATTTTTTGTTATTATTTTTTTATTTTATTATTATTTTTAATATTTTATTATTATATTTATTTATTTTGTTGTCCCCCCTCCCTGCTTGATACATGGCAGGGAGGGGGGCTCTCCTTCCCTGGTGGTCCAGTGGCATTGGCAGTTCAGTGGGGGGAGGAGGGGGGCTGGCAGAGCTGTTACTTACCGCAGCTCCTGTCAGCTCTCTCCTCCTCCGCGCCGGTCCGTGCAGCTCCTCTGTCAGCTCACACTGTAAGTCTCGCGAGAGCCGCACTATGACCCCGCGGCTCTCGCGAGACTTACACTGGGAGCTGACCGAGGTGCTGCACGGACCGGCGCGGAGGAGGTGAGAGCTGACAGGAGCTGCAGGAGAGGTAAGTAACAGCTCTGCCAGCCCCCAGTCTGTATTATGGCAATGTAAATTGCCATAATACAGACAGTGACTCGAGTATAAGCCGAGTTGGTTTTTTTCAGCACAAAAAATGTGCTGAAAAACTCGGCTTATACTCGAGTATATACGGTATGCTAGAATTATCTTCAATACAAAATGTAATCCTTGATTATGTGTGTCTCACTTCTCTCTTAACCATGTTAATCTCAGTATGGCTGCAAATAATGAAAAATCCAATCTGGTGGTGGAAAAAGATGAAACCGAGAAGAAGCTAGCTAACATTTTGGAAGAAATTAGGTAAAGCCTAAGGATGGTAAATTTAATATTGTAACTCAACTTTGTAATGATCAGTTTACAAATGTGGTGCAATATTGCATGGTTATGTGCACCTAATAGTTTTGTTGTGAATACACTAAATAAATTACAGGAGAACCATCACTGATTAATACGTACTAATTCAGTTGAGTAGTATAAGAATGTATACAGATGATTTGGATAATATTCTCTTCACATTCACTATATGCTCAACAGCTTTAAAGGAACACTCTAGACCCTAAAGCACTTTTGTTTGCTGAAATGCTTTATTTGTGTAGTTTATTTAGTCTTTAATTGATCTCCTCAATCTAAATTTACGTAAATTTACATTTTATTCTGTGCACAATGTTTGTATGAATAAAAGACTTGGATCATTTTAGGCCCTATGTTTTCAAGGTATGTACTATTCACATTAATTTGCAAACCCGCTTCTAAATTGATCGGAATATCTGCAAAATACCTCTCACCTGTGGCCTACTAGCTCAGATGTTGCTTGAGAATAAAATCCAAAGGATTTTGTGCAGAATAGGTTCATATGAGGGAATAATATCTACTTTTTCTCAATCGTGCATCTTCAAATATTACTTTTTTAAATGGTTCTAAATCTCTAAAGTCACATTTTTAGCATGTGCTGTAGCAGCTCAAAAATATATGTATATCGTTTTAGGGACATTAAGGCTCAAGCTGAAAAATATAAATTGGATGCAGATCTAATAGAAAATCTACTGATGCAGAAAAAACAAGAGCAGATCGTGCAGAAGGATTTCCTTACTCAGAGGGAGCAAGACTTCTCAATACAAATTAAAGAACTGGAAGAGAAATATGGGCAACAATTGGAAAACAAGGGTACTTAAGCAGAACATTAGCAACACCAACACATTAAAGTATTTTGAATACATTTTAATATGTATTTTCACTTTAATTTCCAGAAAATGTTTTAACTCAAAGTCGTGCAAGAGAAGAAAGCTTAAAAATAGAGCTTGAACTGATAAAACAGAAGCTAAGTCAACAAGAAGATAGTATTTATGTTTTACAGAAGCAAGAGGTGGAACTGCGTTCCAAATTACAAATCGAGGAGGTACGTGGTGGTATGATCTTGGAACTCATGCAGTGTCTTGGTCTGCTGCCATAAATACAGTCTCCATTTTGAATATTAATTGCTGGTATTGTGAGCTGTTGATTTTATGATGGACTTCCTTAAAGTGGTGGTTCTTAAAAAGAACCTATAGACCTAAAAATGGCATTCGTTATTTTGGTTACCCTTTCATCTGGGATAACTCAAGTAATAAATGAGTACTCACTCAATAAATTAATACTCAAACAGTTTCTAGTGCTAGGACAACACTACAGCCTACAGCCTCCAGCATCCGAGCTGACATCACCTATGATCTTCTCCAATTCATTGCTTATCAATGAGAAGCAATGGCTAGGAACTAGGCATGCACGGCCAAACACTGTGCTCTTCTAATCAAATGCTGCTATCCTGAAAATAAGTCAACATTATTAATTCTGACAAGATCCAGACAAATCTCTTCTAGTTGGCGCTTCTAATAGAGACCTGAAATTATCTTTTTATCCGGTTCAAAAACCTATTTCCACTAGGTAGGGAGTGCCATGAACGTGGTCTGGGGGCTGTGTGAGCTGTACGGCCGCACAGTGCCCCATGGTAGTTAGGGTGCCGGGCGGCCAGAACAGCTCGCACACGCAAACACCAGCTGAACTGGCCGCAAGGAGGGAAAGGGGGGCGGAGCTAAGCAAAATCTGGGGTAGGGCTTAATACGGCACTTACCCACTGCTGTTTCTGCTGCACATGGAGGTGCTGCAAGAAGGAATCCCTGCTTCTCCAACTAACAGGCTCCAGGGAAAGGACTTCAGGGAATCCACTCCTCCTCCAGCCCACACTGTCTGAGAGAGAGAGAGAATATAAACTGTCTGCCTTTTACTGTGTGTGACTGCATGCCTGTGACTAACAAAAACAGAATACCCTGCATATATTCTCTGGCCTTCCACCAAGAGGGCGCTCTGTGTGTAGGATGGACACCGCTGAATCCACCAATGTAGTATCAAAGAAGAGAAACACAGGCAGCACTCCAGGACATAGAAGATAAATTTATTTGTAGGTTCACCACCTCACCAAAATAAGTGCATTAATCATGCATAAGGGATACAGCATAACAGCAGTGTTTAAAAAAAAACACCAAAACTAATTAAGTTAATTAAAGATTACAATCACATGTTAAAACAGATCAGTGACATTTAAAAACAAGACGTGGAATCTACTCCAGTATCGGATCAGGATTTAAAGATGCAGTGATATATTCTACAATCACATCGTAATACACTCATCTCTAGTTGATATTCCATAGCATAAAAGGGTTAAATATCCTGTCCAGTACAGCAAGCTAAACTGCATATATATATACCCATGCAATAGGTTAAATAACAATAATTAATTAGAAAGTACCATATAAACAAAGTCTGATCGACTAAACAGTCAGTCTTAAAGATACAGTGACCTATTATTTAATAACCTGGTAATGCGCTCATCTATGGTAAATATTCCATAAGATGAAAAAATCAGATATCCTATCTAATGCAGTAAGTTAAATTAGCATTTTTTAATTCCAATTGCTGGCAAAAAGCTTTTAGATATTAAATAAGAAAGTACAATACAAATGAAGTCTATTTAAATGATAGATCCAGATCTTAAAGGTACACTAACTTAATATGCAGTACCATAATAATTTAATCCTCTACAGTAAATATTCCATAACATGGAGAAAGTATGATGTCATGTCAAATATGACATATAGGACCAGTATCTAGAAATATATATAATTAGCAAAGTATCAATGATTAATTTAAGAGTACTCAATAGAAAAGAGAGAGAGCCTGTGACTATGTGGGGGGATTACCTTTGACTCTCTGCCTGTGACTGTTTGATGTTGCCTGTAACCGTGCATGTGACTGCTGCTGCCTTTAAAGGCACTCTCCAGTGCCAGGAAAACAGTTTTTTCCTGGAACTGCAGTTCCACTCCCCATCCCATGTTGCTGAAGGGGTTAAAACCCCTTCAGTGACTTACATGTATCCAGCGCCGATGTCCCTCGGCACTGGGTCAGGCTTCGCCAACTCTCCTCCCCCGCTGACGTCAGCCAGTGGGGGAGACCTAATGCGCATGCGCGGCAATGGCCGCGCGCATTACACCACCCCATAGGAAAGCATTATTCAATGCTTTCCTATGGGGATTCAGGCAACGCTGGAGGTCCTCGTGCATTGCATGAAGACGTCTAGCATCTCTTAAAACACTAAAAGTGTTCTAAGAACCCGAAAGCTCCTCTAGTGGCTGTCTCATAGACCATCACTAGAAGAGGACTTAACCCTGTTAGGCAACTAGTGCAGTTTATGAAAAACTGCACTAATTACACTTGCAGGGTTAAGGGTAGTGGGAGTTGGCACCCAGACCACTCCAACGGGCAGGAGTGGTCTGGGTGCCTGGAGTGTCCCTTTAACTGTGTGAGACTGTCTGCCTGTCAATGTGTGTGTGTGTGTGTGTGTGTGTGTGTGTGTCTCTGCAGGGATTTTGTGGAAGGGGTCAAGGGTTTTGTATTGGGACATGAGTCTTTTTATAAGGAGGGCTGAGCAGGGTTTTTGTGGAAGGGGGTTGCAGGGGTTTTGTAGACAGGGGCAGTATAGGATTTGTAGGTGGGGGCAGGGCAGGACAAGGGTTTTGTAATTTGTAGAAGGGAGGATGTGCCAAGCACAGGATCCGCCCCTGCCAAATGCTCTAGGTACGCCCCTGCACCCCCCTCCCCACTTTGGCTTCAGCTTAATTCCCTCTTTTCTATGCTATCTACACTTCTTTGAGGTCTCAACTCCCCCCTTCCCGCCACCCCCACTTGTTTTAAAGGGATACTATAGTAACCAGAACAACTATAGCTTCATGTAGTTCTGTTGTCTATAGCCTGTCCCTGCAGGATTTTTAATATAAACACTGGTCTAGTAGGAGTCACTTAGATGGCCACTAGAGGTGCTTCCTGGGTTAGTGCTGCACTGACATTCAACGCCTTCATGCTTTTTGTGGAGGTGCTGAACATTCTTCATAGAGATGCAATGACTCTGCATTTTCATCAGGAGATGCTGATGGGTGCAGTGCGGCATTTTGCTGTGCTCGCGTAATAGCCTCTAAATGCTTTCCTATGGGATAGCATTAGATTGGTTAAGAGTGTCAATTTTGATGATCTCAGCCAAGGAGGCGAAGCCAGCTACAGTAGACATGAGCAGCGCTGGAATGAAGGCAGGGTTATTTCCTTTTCAGCGTGTTATGGGGCCTAAACTGCGTTTGTAATACTATAGTGACAGGGATACACGGTTGTATTCCTGTCACTATAGTGTTCCTTTAAAGTTTCCTCCAACATAGCTATCCTCTCCTTAACACTAAAGACCTTCTTCCCTTCTGGTGTTATCCATTTCGGCTACAAAGATTGTACCCAAGCGCAAAATAGTCCCAGTATTCTGAAAACCCCAAATCCTCCTTCCTGCATCAGGACTTTAGCCACGCATTGACCTCTCTAAGCCGCTTTTACCTTATCACTATAGCAGGTGTCACAGATATCTCAGAAAATACCACTTTGGAGGTCCTCTTCTTACGTTTGCTACCCAATTCTTTAAGGTCCTAAATCTTCCTCTAACTTTGTCATTACCAATATGGACCATGACAGTTGGTACTTTCCCAGCCCCTCCCAATAATTGCTCCACTCTTTCAACAACATGCCAGACCCTAGCACGCGGGAGACAGCAAACTGTCCGGTTAGTGCGATCAGAGTGGCAGATCACCCGGTCTACCCATTTTAATAATAGAATCCTCTACAACCACAACCTGCCTAGCCTTTGCTCCATACTGGATCCCATCCATAATAGAGGTGCTGTTCCCCCCCAGCTGTTGGATGGTGCAGTTTCCTACAGCACAACTGCACACTCCCGAGCCGTTACTCCCAACATCTTCACTCAAGCAGGCAAATCAGCTGGGTGTACAAAATCAGGACTGGCAGCACCTTTCCTCTTCCCTCCCCCTTTGCTGCCAAGCCGAATTGTCAACGAGCTACCTGTCTGTCCCACAGCGATTTCATTTGCTTCCACTCAACTACCTGCCCCCGCTAAACTCTGCTTAGTGAGCAAGTCCTTTTCAAAGTTGTCAATCTGCCTCAGTGTTGCAATTTGCTTCTCCAGCTCTCCAATCTGAGCTTCCAGAGAAAACTTCAGTTTTAAACTGATAGGACCGAGGTACCTAGGCACCTTCGTTGAACCAGTAACCTTGTTTATAACAGGTTTTCATGATCTTGTTCTGTTCAGAGTTTTGATTAGTAGTGCTACTGTTCACACACCCATATCATTTGAGTGTGTTAAATGAGCTGTAATTAGCAGGTTCACAGAGTGAGTCATATGGTAAGTTTTCTCTCGCTGGCATCTGTTGTAAGCGTTCTATTCATTGGGCACAGCAAAATAATATATAAAATATTTGCTGGACAATATCGATGAGGCTTAAATCCTGAAGTGTAATTTTGAGGGTATGAAGTTCTTTTTGAAGTCTGATGCACAGCTCTTAGTAAATCCGTTGAAAAGCTGCCGCAGGGTTGTGACTACTATTGTAATCCTGCTACCAGACCCTCATTTCTGACATCTGCCAACACCTTTTTATTTTAATTTTTTTCTGTATATCCTTCTTTTAGTAATGTTCTCCAACCAATTGTGTATATATCTTTTGCAAAACTTTTTTAGGATACATCCTGTACACTACGTTCACAAATGCAGAATGTTCAAGAGGAAATGATGAGAGAGCGCCGGCTGCTGGAAGATGAGTTGGAGGGAATGCTTGATGAACTTGATAGTCTGCAGATTGCAGAACAAGAAGCAGATAAAATAATTTTGCAATTGGAAAATGAGAATAAGCGTCAAGCAGAAGAGCTGGTTAATCTTGAAGAAACCTTAAAAGAGTAAGTTGTTGTTACTGGGGTAATATTCGTTACAGACTTCTGAATTAGTACTCAGTTTTTGTATAATAGAAAATAGTGTCAAGTGGTATATGTTTTACTCTGGACATTCTTTTAATGCATTTATTCTCCTGCATGCGTCCTTTTTGTAATGGTAATATGAATGGATGATTTCTCTACCCAGGAAAACTGCTGAGCTGGAAAGGGTCAAAGAAAAGCACAGAATTGCTGTTTTAGAACTCAAAGAAGCACATAGTAATACCCTACTTAAACTGTATGAATTTGAAAGGTAATATTTTCCTTCATTTTCAATGACCTGGGTCATTTAGGGGTCATTTAACTTAGATTTTGGCATTGAATGTATAGATGGGGGAAAAAAATAAATGCACAGTTGTGGTAGTGTAATTGGGTAATAGACAATGATGCTATGTTTTGTTTTCCCCAAACTGAGTGTACATGTATAGTAGTAGCTATTCTTTATTTCTAGTGTGGTGCTATTAAATTGGTAGATTTCTTTTTACATTATCATCATTGGCATTTATATAGCGCCAACATATTCTGCAACGCATTACAATATTATAGAGGAGAAAATGTAACTGTATGGAGCCACCCTTGAAAAGTCCTGCAAGCGCAAGTTAGCAGTATGGGTAGGAGCATTGGAAGGAGAAGGTCATCGACAGAACAGAGCAAACTGAGAAGGGTGTACCTACAAATGACTGAAGAAATGTAGTGAAGGCTAGAGTTAGAGCTTTATATGTAGGGGTTTGTATAGGGTACAGGAGTATTCTACAACTGCTTTTTGTGATTAAAAAAAATTCTGTATGTGTTTATTTGTAGCTTTAAGACTTCTGCAAAAACAGAAATAGAATCCTTGAAATTGGCAAATATGTCTTTTCTGGAAAGCCTTGCTATAGCACAGAAAAGTAATGAAGAACAGCAAGAACAAGTTCAACAACAAATAAAGTTGAAAGAAGATCTCGAGCAACAAATTTTGCAGGTTAAAGAAGTAGCAGTGAAAACAAAGGAAAATTTAGAGCAACAGCTTCTAGAGAAACAAGAAGCATCTGCTAAGATCAAGGAATGTTATGAGCAGCAGCTTCGTGAACAGCAAGAATTAGAGGCCAGAACCAAAGAACAGTTGGAGCAGCAGCTTCTACAACTGGAAGAATCTGCAGCCAAAGCTATAGATTGCTTGAAGCAACAAATGCTTGAACAAGAAACTGCAGCAAAAACAATTGAACACTTGGAGCAGCAGCTTTGTGAACAGGAAGAAGCTATGGCCAAAACAAAAGAGAGGATGGAGCAGAAACTTTGTGAACAAGAACAAGATACACTGAAATCCAGGGAAAGCTGGGAGGAACAGCTTCATGTACAGGTAGAAGCTATGGCCAAAATGAAGGAAAGCTTAGAGCAGCAACTTCTTGAACAGGCGGAAACTGCAGCCAAAGCCAGGGAAAGCTTGGAGCAGCAACTTCGTGAACAGGCAGAAGCTGCAGCTAAAACAAAGGAAAGCTTGGAACAGCATATCCATGAACTCAAAGTAGGGGCTGGTTCCTATGCTGAGCAACAACATGAACTAGTAGATCTAAAGTCCCAATGTGCAAAACTTCAGGATTATTCAATAAAGATGAAAAATGAATATACAAGGTAGGCTAAAATGGAAATAGGAAATTTAGATGGGATTCTGGGAAAGGATTTGCATCCTCCAGTCTCTTCTCCCACCCTCTATGTATTTGCCCTCATAAAAGTCAATTTAAGTAGTCTCAATCTTGAGTCCCAGCTTAAAGGACAACCATCAGAAAGATGTTGGTTTTTGTTTGTTTGTTACATTAAAATTGCATTTTTGTTTTTTATTTTTTTAAGAATTTGGGTCAGACTTTTACTACAGCCAGTCAGACTTTACTGTTGTTGACTAATTGCTGGTCAGGTAACGGAAGAGGGCATGGCTGCTCAGTCAGATAAATCAAATGCTCTTCTTTAAAGAGAATTGGGGACTTTTATGCACCTTTAATTTGTCACATCGGAAAGCATTGAATTCTATTAGCTGCAACGACATGTGAGTCTGTGCAATGGATGCACCTCTAGTGACTGTCTAGAAGTCAGATACTAGATGTGTGTTTAACCTAATTATTGCAGTTTCTATAAACCTGCCAGTAGTACTTTGCAGGGTTAAAATGACATGACCACTGCACCAAGACCATTTAATTGTGATGAGTAACCTTTGTGATCCTTGAAAGGACAACCATCACCAAATTTACACATCATGCTGCTTCATTTTCACATAGAGCAGTCACAGCAGCAGGGAAGTTAGGTTTAGCAGCGGTTGATAAGAGTATAATCTGACTCAGCATGGCTCCTTAGGTAGAAAAAAAAAAATAAGTTTCTTTTAAATGTAATATGCTTTTTTTTAAAAATGAAATTTTGTTGACCTTTTAATTGTATAGCTGTACACTAAATATGCACACAGGTTTTATGTAGACTCAAATTGAAAAATCTTGACTCTTAAATGGAATTGATAAATGTCAAACTTTAAACTAAACTTTTAAACCTCTAGAAAGCACATGTCCATATTCTATCTATAACCTCACCTGCTCTTGTTTCAGCATGTTGGAATCTGCACAGTTAAATCTGGAAAAGAAAGCGGCAGAGATGAAAGCTTTAGAAGAGAGATTTTTCACCAGAGAGTCAGAGTTAAAAGTTGAAGTTGCGCAGATGCAGAGCTTGTTACAAACCCAGGAAGAGATTTTAAAGTTGAGGTAATGTTTAATAGGATAAAAAGGGACAGGTGCAAAGAGCGCTTTAATTGATCCTTACTGTTGATCCAAATGAGTGATTAATTCCTAGGGTTTTTTATTAACTTAATAAAAAAAAAAGCTTTTTTTTATTTTAATTTTTTTTTAAATTTATTAAAATTTTTTGTATAAATATAGAGCATTTAAACACATTGTTTCTCCTTCAATGCAATAAATGTTAAAAAAAAGAGAAGTTCACTTATCCATTTTTTTTATTATTTTTTTATAGATATATAGCGATATATAGATCTCATGCTCTTTTGAAAGAGCTACACTGTACTAGTAGATTTACTAGGAAATGTGTAGATTTGGAGTAAAACCTGTTTAGCAATAGATCTTTCTCCCACATTTAAGTTAAATCTTCGGCAGAGACTCTATACCAGTGATGGCGAACCTATGGCACAGGTGGCACACGGCCATAGTTTGCCAGGAGAGGGGGCCTTTGGCTGTCTGCAGAATTGACACCCACACACAGCACCCCTAAGACCCACAAACAGTACCCCTACCACACACACACCACAGCACCCCTTCCGCCACCCACCCACACACACACACACACACACACACAGCAACCCTCCACACACACACACAGCTGTACTTCCCCCCACACACACAGCACACCTTCCCCACACACACAGCACACCTCTACCCCCCACACACACACAGCATCCCTTTTCTATTGTAAAATGTTGTCTCAACCTGAATAAATTATTAGCATGCAGCAAATGAATAGACTCTATAGACTGCATCATTTAATATTTGTATATAAACCTCCAAAGTAGAACTTATGTAGATCCCCCACACACATGCACACACAGCAACCCTCCCCCCCACACACACACTGCAGCTCTTTCCCCTCACACAGCACCCTACCCCCCACACACACACACACAGCATCCCTTTTCTATTGTAAAATGTTGTCTCGATCTGAATAAATTATTAGCATGCAGCAAATGAATAGACTCTATAGACTGCATCATTTAATATTTGTATATAAACCTCCAAAGTA